CTGTTGGAAAGAGGAGATTCCTAGCTTTCTAATGATATCAAGATTGTTTTTGTACTCCAAATATTAAGCAAAATATGTCACATTATATAATGACTGTCACCGAGTCATCGTTTTGAGAAAAAGGCCTTCAAAGTTTCCTCTTCTCTGGAATCCATCGATCTGATTGATTATTAGCGGAGCAAATGATCAAAATAGTCCGGAGGGAAAATATTTCCGTTTGGATTACTGGTCTGGGGGAAGCTCGCGAGTGTGTGTGTGTATGTGTGTGTGTGTGTTTGTGTATTTTTGCGTTTGTGTATATTGTGTTTGTTTCCCGGGGAAAACACTAAAAAAAATTGCCGAAACAAGTTTAATATTCTGAAAGCCAAGACTTTGTTTAATTGAAATCAGATGAAAACAAACTGTAACGGACCCTGCCGTGTTATCTATGATTACTATATGCCTTACATTCATAATTTCAGCCGGAGGGAGGGGGGAGGGGAGCGAGAGGTGCCTGTCATCGTCCCTTCACAAGCTTCACAAATGTATTTATCGTGTGATTTTGGAAATAAAAGTTTCATATTCTGAAAGCCAAGACTTTGTTTATTTAAAATCAAACAAAACACCCGAACCCCGAAAAAATAGTTTTTTACGCAAATCCACGTTTATTTTGAAATGAGCCGTTGCGACTTCCGACTGATTTCGATAGAGCGGGTCACATATATAAAACATGCCTCTGAAGTGTTTGGCTCCAAACACCAAACAGATCATTGCAGCATTACCCATAATCCCCTCTGTTTCAGCCCTGTTTCAAAAGTGCTGATTCTCTGTCTGTTACTTTAGATGAAAATAAGGAGCCACTCCCCACGCCCCTCTGAGAGAGATTTGGTTAGAAAGAACACAATGGTGCTCTAGGAGGAGATTCAGGTGATAAGGTGGGGGGGGGGGGGGGCTACCTTGGTTGGTGATTGGCTAATGTCATGGTTACACAAGCCAAAAAATCGTTATGACATCATAAAGTGGTCAACATCTGATCGGCTCATTTTCAGACAGGTTTTTATATAAATGGATCAGGACAAAAAGTGAGAGAATCTTTTTTCCTGAAACTTTCAGAATCTCTTTACACAGAGGGGACACATGTTGATTTAGAAGAGACGTGAAGAAGTGGATTTTGCATAATAGGTCCTTAAGACAACTTCAACAAATACACACGTGTCAATGAGAGGAATAGCTTCTGCTATAAAATGATTCACTTACACTGGGTATATCATCTTTAAAAATGCCATTTGTAATTCCCTTCATGCTCACACTAATACCACTTCAGCATGGTGTTCAGTGCCAAGAGTACTCCATCATTATTCACGGGCCACTACACCACACTCCAGTACAGCTGATGTTGCTAACAGGAAATAAATAACAATGAATAAGAATGGTGTTATCATTTCATCCCCACTTCATATTAACCATGTGATGACTTCTGTAACCCAGCCTGTATTAAAGTGTTTTAAATCAAAAGGGTTTAAGTCATGGAGAAAAATTAAACATGTTAACTGTGATATTTTAATTGGATTATTATAATGTCTCTACAATCAGTGGACTCTAAGAGTTTTTAGTACAATCATGCACTGATTCATGCAGTGGTAGCAACTTGCCAATAACAAACTAGAGCATTCCCTAATTTATCATATATTTTACTCTAAATGGAACCATAATTTACAAAAGAAAAGATGTGCTAAATTAAACAACACCTGTAACTAGCGATTGAGATCATAAACCCATCAGGAAAATGTTCACTGAGGTAAAAAATTCAAGGGAGAAGTAGGGTAATTTTCTTGTAGACTTCTATGCAATCTGACTTTGCATAGAAGTCAGATTGCTGGTCATATCAATAACACAGATTTAAGGCACTTCTGTATTGACTTAAGTTCTGAGACACCCGCTTGGTTTTTTAGTCTTTATGCTAAGCTATAAATGTAGTTTATATGAGAGGGGTTTTGATTTTTGTATCTTAATTTCTGCTCAAAAGGAAAGTGTAGTTTCAAAAATGTCAAAACTATTCCTTTACGGTTCAAATTGTAGCTTTAAACAGAAATGTCCCTGCAGTGCAGCTGAAGCGTACAATCTAGAAAGTCATATTTTACCCTCAAAACAGTTTTGCTGAGTAAATACATAATGGGTTCCATTATAATTCAGATTTCAGAATATCAGATCATTCAAAGTTTTGTCCACAAAGTAAATCAGTATATTTAAATCAGCATGTGGGCCGTTGCTGCATCACTGTCAACCAAAAACTGAAAAAGAGTGACTTTGATTGCTTCCCAATGTGCTGTGTACAGCTTGGGCAATTACAATCATAATGGCAGATTTTAGACACCAAACTAATGAGCTCGACTCCTCTGAGTGGAAAAGCCATTAGAAGTCCTAATGGGACTCCTTCGCCGAGTAACAAAACAAATCCTCGGCTGCTAAGATATGAGATGTGCCGCTTCCAAAAAGACCAGAGATCCTCACACAATCGCTATTTGATTAATACTGTTTGTTTACACGAGGATACAAAGCGAGCGTCTCCCCCTACTGCGCTGCGAGGCCTGATACATTGTGATGTTTAATTGCTGCATGTGAAAGCAGGAAAAAAGAGGCTTGAATGATGAATAGCTAAGAGAGGGAAGAAGTGGATTAGGGTTGGTAAAGTGCTTTTTCTGTTTCTCTTTGCAGCGTGATTGAGTAGACTCGCTGTTACAACCACTGATCTGTGTTCTCACACGGCTACTGTAAGTTTTCATTACGCCCAATGCGTCTCCTGAGAAATTTGACAGCTTAGTTGCCACATAAACCAAACAGACATTTCTTGAAGAAGTCTCCCTCCTCCGCTCCTCCCTTAAGCCCTTCCTCATCCCCCCCCCCCCCCCTCAGTCATCCTCCGCGGGGATGAGGATCATTGGAGGGGGAGATTTCATCATCTGGTGCTGCTTTGGTGTGTCCTCTGAGATCTCTGCTCGGTGCCACAGCTGATGATGATCCAGGCTCCTCCTCACCTCCTCTCCCCCCGGAGCACATCAATCACCTCCACTCCTGGAGAGGAAGAGGGTGAAGGGGGGGGGGAGAGACGCCTGCACCCCCCACTTCAGTCATATCAAGCAAGAGAGAGGAGGAAAGAAAAGAGGTTCGGGTCGCTGCAGAAAGTCTTATCTGTCTGCAGTCACAGGATGCCAAGAAAAGACCCCAGAAGGCAAGCTGTGATATTATGGGGGGAGTGTGTGTGTGTGTGTGTGTGTGTGTGTGTGTGTGTGTGTGTGTGTGTGTGTGTGTGTGTGTGTGTGTGTGTGTGTGTGTGTGTGTGTGTGTGTTGCAGTGACGTGCGGTGAGGTTCATGGCTGGTGAGGCACTGACTCACTGAGTCAGATTTACAAATATTATATTTTGACCTTAATCGAAATATTCGGTTATTTTCAAAAGCTTTTTTAGTCTGATGCTTCGATTCATTTTAAACAGACCGTTCAACAAAAGGATACCCAAAATCTAAATATTGGATTGTTCTTTCTTAGTAAGATCCCATTTTCATTACAAATGTGGTCTTACCTTGACTTGAAGATGAAGTCCATGCTATCCTTCTGGACAACAATCTCTATTACTTTTTTGTAAAAGTCCTCCTTATCTTCCAGTAGTTTCAAAAGTCTAGTTTGTTGTTACGTCTACCGTCTCTGCGTAGAACTACAGTAGCAACAATAACCTGTGGGCTCACGTGCGCCCCCTTCAGTGCGGCAGAGGTTATGGCTGCCTCCCCTGGTGCATTTTCATTGCCGTTGAGACCAGCGAGCCTAAATATCATATATACGTGAAATAAGTTATTTAGAGACTATGGATGGCGAGGATAAATATAATAAAGGGATCTACATACATTACATTGGTGACCTACAGTGAGATGGTAACAGGCATGCGCTTAGGGCCCGCTTTCCAGCCAGTTTCTGTGGGGTGACGCATTCTGAGGTGAGGCAGATCTCATCTGTGCCTCACCTTACCCCACAGTAACTGGCTTGAGCGCGCTCACAAAATAAGTGCCCGCGCTAAATTAGTGCCCGTGCTCCAGCAAGTTACTGTGGGCTTACGAGAGGCAGAGCACGTCCCTGCCTCACTTGTCATCGCTCCCGTAGCGGAGTTCGGCAAATTTGCTGATTTTGACTATAAAAAGCGATTAGAATCATACATAAATCACACTTACAACACAGATCAGTGGAGACATTTTATTATTATTACTATTTCGTTTTTCTTTAGTTGTTTTTCCGTTACATTGGAGTATGACAGGTGAGGCTCTGCCTCCCCTGCCTCCACTGACTGCACGTCGCTGGTTACAACCAGAGGTGGGACCAAGTCATTGTTTTGCAAGTCCGAGTCAAGTCTCAAGTCTTTGCGCTCAAGTCCAAGTCAAGTCTCAAGTCTTTGCGCTCAAGTCCAAGTCAAGTCTCAAGTCAGGATGGGCAAGTTCAAGTCAAGTCCAAGTCCTTTACTTTGACAAAACAAGTCTTAAACAAGTCCTTATGTGCTTTTCAACAAATGTAATGACATCGATCAACAGAATAATACTTAATAATCAAACTGCTCTTTATTAGTCACATTAATCATTTAATAATCCATTTTCTCTCTGCTCTCTGCTTTTTAATAAGCCTCAATTTAGGTTTTTCTATGCTATCTGATGGTAGATTGCAGTTTTCTCTGACCTTTGAAACAGATACACCTATCAGAAGAGTGCCAACTACTTTTACAATTGTGTAGCACCATATTATTACATATACTCCAATCATACACAACATTAAAAGAGGGAGGCTGTCTCTTTTTCTGCAAGCCAAACACCAAATAATTTTTTTTTTAAATGTCTTAAAATTCCCTGATCCATTTACTTTTTTTTCTTTCAATGAATCTTAGAATATTTAGGATATTAATATTATCGATGTCTGTATTATAATTGTACATCATATTGCAACATGGGTTATATTCGTTACACAGTGTACCCAAATATGATAATTTTAGTCTGGTGTAACAGAGTCCTTCAGAAACATCTTGCACCTGTCCAGAAACTGGGCAGCACCCGACAGCACTGGAGTTATCTCAGTTTTAGACAGAATGAAAGCCATTGCAACTGTTCCTCCAAGTACAAGCGCCCAGGGAGAAATCGCAGACGGCCTGCTCTCCGGTACCGCTCTGGTTCTGAAGGGTTGAGCCAATCGCTCCCACTGAGTGAGGATCGCCTGACGGGCCCCGGCCCACTGTCCAGGCCCCGTGAGACGATACTGATATGGAGTGCAGGGACCAAAGAAGACCCTCACCCAGAGCACAGGATCTGTCAGCAGTAGTGTCAGGAGGTTTGGTCGAACACCCACCTGTGATTGGAAGTATATCATGAGGTTTGTGTCTTACAGGTGCAATACAAATGATAACGCAATTTTATATCGAGATAAACTGAACCAACCTCCTTTGCCATGAAATCCAGGTAAGGGATGTATTCTACCTGGAGAGCTGCCGTTCGTGGGCAAGGATAGCTGAGAAAGCAAGTAAATTGGTTCAAATTTCAAAAACGATTTACTTTATACGTGCAGGAAGAACATCTGCCTGTTCTTTTGAATGAGCTTCATTGTGAAGATGATGTCTACCTTTTCATGTTCCTCTTCCTTTCAGACTCGATGACTTCCAGCATTTTCTCCTTAGGTGGAAGAGAGCTCGAACCTTGAAGATAAAACACAACAGCTGACACCTTGCACTTTTCAGTCCCGAGTGGGTGTGTTTACATTTAAAGCTCATAATAATTTACCGGTAAAGACCTTGACAGCCCATCGCGCCTGCATTTCCACAATTGGCGTGTTTGGTCCAGGTTCTTTGGTCTGGAAAAGACCCATGATGGCCAGTGTGGGTCGTACCAGAGAAGGAGGAAACAGTGTCCTGAAATTACCAAAGTATATATTAATATATGGCAGTACTAACAAAATATATTTTAATATATATATATATACACAATAACTCATAGGATGCATATTTTTTAACTAAAATGTTATTTTAAAACAGCACAATTTAAGCACAATTCAATCTTATGCTCTGTAAAATGTTTCTATATTTTTATTTATTGAAGTATAATTAGGATCTTTTTTTTGTTTTGTTAAAAATGCTATCTATCTTCTCATATGAAAGGTAATCTTACAACATTTACAACCCAGGGCCTGAGTTTGTTAAGTTTTAGTGTGGATTTTCAACTAATAAAACTTAAAAAAACTAAAATCACACATACAAACTCTACCGACAACATACTAACTTGTACAATGTCAGTTCTCGTCGAGGCCCGTGACTTAAGACTGAAGGCAGGAATGGAAATGTTCCATTATAGCCTGTACAGAAAACCACAGCATCAATGTTCTCCTCCACGCTGCCATCTTCAAATTCCACTCCTGAGTCTTTGAATCCTTTTAGATTGGTTTTCATTGCAAGCGCTCCCAGAAGGATTCGACCAGGGAGGTCATCATTGATCAGAAACCTTCTGTCCATAAGTCTGGGAAAGAAATGAAATGAAAGGAATCAACCACCTATACACCTTGTTACAAAGATTTTATTCTATTCAAAATGACACCATTGTATTAGATACAGTAACAGTCTGCACAGCTGACAGCATTTTCACACTGGAATCATGAGGCACCTGTGTTTGGGCTTCAGACCATACAGTCTGTGGTCATATTTGTAGTTCAGTGCTCTCTCTGCTGCCCAGTTGACCAAAGTATTGGGCAGAAGCAGTGTGAGCATGTTGTTGAGTCTGGTGATAGCGGTCATGTCCAGAGGAAGACCATTACTGGACATCCTGCCAATCACCCAGGCCCCCTGGCGTGTGCTGAGAAATGTCTGTCAGAGATTAAAAAAAATAGATGTGAATTCATGGGTTACATATTTTGAAGTAACAATGTGCAGTGCAATCTTATAGCAGTTAAGTACACATTGTTTTCATCTATCCCCTGCTCCTCTGCCAAACTAAATTAAAGCTTTTCCTTTTGTTCCCATCTTACCTTCTTTGCAGATCTACTGATCTCCACTGCAATATCTCCTCCAGAATTGCCAATGCCAACCACCACCACCCTCTTTCCTCTGCAGGCATCTGCATCTTTGTATTCCCAGCTGTGAAAGCACCTGCCAGAAAACGTCTCATATCCTGGAGAAGACACAAGATGGTGCAAAAGGAAAACAGTTACAGTATATGCAAGAATGAAAAAATAAATAAATGTTGCTCTTTCATCAAATTCTGTAAAATGTTTGAATTGGACAGACCTGGAAAACCTGACAGGGGTAAGGACGGATGAGTGTAGTGGCCCGAACACACCAGAACGGCATCAAAGACGTTTCTCTCCTCCTCGCCATCCTTGTTAATTGTCGCTATGTCCCACTGACCTGACAGAGAGAAATCCGGCCTCTGGGCAACACTCTTCACTGTGGTCTGTATCATGCATGACCACATTCAGAAAAGAAAGAAAGAAAGAATTGATAACCTTAACTTCACATAGTATGTTGTATAAACTTGTGAAAAGATAGTGAACTCCTGGAGGATGACCTGGAAATGAATGTATCTGAGCAGGTCAAAGTGGTCAGCGTAGAGCCTGTAGTACTGCAGAAGCTGGGAGTTGTGCATGTAGTTTGGATAGTCAGCAGGCATGGGAAAATCACTGTAACACATCATCTCTTTGGAGGTGTTCACCACCAAGGAGCGATAGATGCTGGACCGCTCTGGCTCAGGTGACTCCTGTTGGCACAAACAAAACTTTGATAAGGACAATTTACTGAGGTTTGCAATCATTCTTTTGACACAAGCCACACAATCTATTTTCAAACTGAATATCATTTTATTCCAGATTAGGTTGGGAGCTCTTAGGCCATACAGTATCATAAAACCAATCTTTAACTGGTCACTACATTCATGTGTGGGCTACTCAAGGTGCCCCCCACTCACCTTAAATTTCCACAAGCCGCCAATGTCATCACTGCTCTCAAAGCAAACAGGCTCCAAGCCCTCCTCAACGCAGATCTTGATGCAAGCCAGACCAGAGCTGCCGGCTCCCACCACTGCCACACGTCGCACCATGGCTGAGAACTGAGAAAACATGGCTGAGAACTGAGAAAACGTATGCTGGTATACCTTACCAGCATACGTCATAATTTACTTATTCATATTCAAGAGAATATCTGTTAATGTATCCACTCCTCTTAAATAAACATAGCTTTTTGCTAAGAGCATTTTACTTCAGATTAACTCAAAATAACATGCAGAACCAAGTGTTGGACTACTCCAGTAGACTAAATAGACAATTAAATAAAATGATAAAACAAAGGATTATGATTATTTCAGCAAAGCTACGCATTTTCTGTACAAGAAGAGGTAACACTTATTCAAAAACAGCAATGTAAAATATCAAATTTTTCAGCATGTGTAATATGTGAACATCAAGAAAGATAAATGTTTGCATTGTTGAAGTCTGAAAAACTGGTTTCACCTTCTACAAGTCAGCTGCGACTAAAATGCCAAACAGCCTCTACATTCACATGAACTGCATGTTTTTTATCTACAGAAGGCTATTGCAGGCGATGCACTTTGACCCTGTCACCCTGCAAGCCAGTATTTCTGTTTACACCTCAGCGGGACAGCTCTTGGCCCCAAAATAAGTTTTTTCTCTGGCACCATAAAATAAAAAATATCCAGAGGGTCACTTGTAGATTATCTACAATCTCTCAACAAACTCAGTAGCATGTCAATAGAACATCTGTTAGTTATATTAGGTTATCTATCTACAGATCAGTAGACCATCAGTAACAAGAGCTGTAAGACTCTGGATGGCAATATCTGTTGAGATTATTAATGCATATCAATTGTGCACCAATGCCTTAGCCTTTCCCTATGCAATACTTTAGATTACATCTTGTTCTTATTGTTTCAAAGGCATGGCCAAAGGTTTGCCTTCTGGACCCTGGAGGCCAGAAGCTTGCTCGAGGGAACCCTTCAGCCAGTGTTCAGAGTGCCACGACAGAGTGCCAGAATGGCTATCTCCCAGGAGAAGGTGGTCAACAGCAGACCAACAGCAGATTGAAGAATCCACAGTGTGGAAATTGTGCCCAATAAATGTATTCTGCACTGAAATGCCTCTCGGTCAAATTGCATGTTTATCTTGTGACAGTCGCAGATTGATCTAAGTGTTTCTTATAAACTGTAGTGGCTGGGAAAAAGGTTAAGGCATGTGTTTACACCTCAGCGGGACAGCTCTTGGCCCCAAAATAAGTTTTTTCTCTGGCACCATAAAATAAAAAATCTCCAGAGGGAATTAAAAGAGAAAGGAAGCTAAAGTTAACTTTTTACATGCCCATTAAACCACATAGTACGATCCTCTGAAATTCAGAGCATCATGAATGAGCATTTCAACATTTTGAGTATATATTCAGAATATATGCTCAAACTCTTATTATACATCCATGGTTGAAACACTCGGATTGTAAACTCGAGTAAACACTGGAAGCGGAAGCGGTGTATTTTCTTCTCCAGGTGCCGCTGTTCCCGATTAACTGGTTTCCCGATCAACTGGTGCACAGATGTGGGGGGCGTGGCCTTCGACTGAAATACACATTTCGATCGCTTCTTCTGTCGTTTACATAAATCTTTTGGTATATTTGGGTCGGTAGCAGTGACGTGCGGTGAGGTTCATGGCTGGTGAGGCACTGACTCACTGAGTCAGATTTACAAATATTATATTTTGACCTTAATCGAAATATTCGGTTATTTTCAAAAGCTTTTTTAGTCTGATGCTTCGATTCATTTTAAACAGACCGTTCAACAAAAGGATACCCAAAATCTAAATATTGGATTGTTCTTTCTTAGTAAGATCCCATTTTCATTACAAATGTGGTCTTACCTTGACTTGAAGATGAAGTCCATGCTATCCTTCTGGACAACAATCTCTATTACTTTTTTGTAAAAGTCCTCCTTATCTTCCTGTAGTTTCAAAAGTCTAGTTTGTTGTTACGTCTACCGTCTCTGCGTAGAATTACAGTAGCAACAATAACCTGTGGGCTCACGTGCGCCCCCTTCAGTGCGGCAGAGGTTATGGCTGCCTCCCCTGGTGCATTTTCATTGCCGTTGAGACCAGCGAGCCTAAATATCATATATACGTGAAATAAGTTATTTAGAGACTATGGATGGCGAGGATAAATGTAATAAAGGGATCTACATACATTACATTGGTGACCTACAGTGAGATGGTAACAGGCATGCGCTTAGGGCCCGCTTTCCAGCCAGTTTCTGTGGGGTGACGCATTCTGAGGTGAGGCAGATCTCATCTGTGCCTCACCTCACCCCACAGTAACTGGCTTGAGCGCGCTCACAAAATAAGTGCCCGCGCTAAATTAGTGCCCGCGCTCCAACAAGTTACTGTGGGCTTACGAGAGGCAGAGCACGTGCCTGCCTCACTTGTCATCGCTCCCGTAGCGGAGTTCGGCAAATTTGCTGATTTTGACTATAAAAAGCGATTAGAATCATACATAAATCACACTTACAACACAGATCAGTGGAGACATTTTATTATTATTACTATTTCGTTTTTCTTTAGTTGTTTTTCCGTTACATTGGAGTATGACAGGTGAGGCTCTGCCTCCCCTGCCTCCACTGACTGCACGTCGCTGGTGTGTTGTGGATTTCATATATTTCACCTAATCGCTCTCAAATCGGGACACCTGAGGCGTGAAATGGATGCCTGTCCCAACAGAGGGCACCCAGGACTTCAGACACAGTCATTCCAAAGGGCTCTGGATGGACTGGATGTGTTTCCATTCACGGAGAAACTAAATCCTTCCCATCATGCTTTGCTCTTAAGCATCACATGACTATCATTTGTTTCGGGGAGATGCGGGTTCCAGGGGTCAGCCGGGCTTCTGTTGATACCAACGTGACTCTGCTGGGGAGGGGATTGCATCCAGAAACAAACTGAGTCAATAAAACGGTAAGAGTTGACTTCCTTGGAAACACTAAGAACAAGAAAGACAGGTTTTGTTCAGCCGAAAAAATATCAAAAAGTTATTCATCGCTCAACTGAATAAATATTGTACTTCAAAAGTTGCCCTGAGGGTTTTTGCGAAAGGAACTTCAACACAAAGACGGTCCTATATTTAGGCATGATGCAAAATGACAGGTTTTCCATGGATGGGGTGCAGACGTTCATGCTCCCCAGATGATGAATCATAATAATTTGGGGGCTTTCTAAACTTTCTACAGATGAAACAAACATATCAAATGTCCACTGGGTTCAAACAAAGTCTTTAAGCTAATGTGTTAGCATGCTAATAGGCTTAACGTAGATGGTGATCATCATACCTGCTGATGCTGATCAAATATTTTGTGATTTTTTTTTTCGTTTTCTATTACGTGTGATGTATCTTGAGGTTTACCGCCTAAGGTTTCAACAGGCTGTTCTTCATCCAACTTGTCCTTTGCCATGCTGGACATTTGCCCAATGGACATCCAGTATGGTAGACACTCACAATGTTCAGTCAAATTTATTCCAGTACTAATCTACATTTCCCCCCAAAAGGCATGGTTTAGTACTCATAAAAACGAAGTATCACATAAAGATTTCCAAACACGAAAAGCCTAAACTCGTGACTCCCTTTCACAGGCAACAGGACAACCGGATTTCACTTTGAAACATTACCATTCAGAGTAAATATAAATGTGAGATGGATAAACAATTCTATGAAGCACATGCAGGTTTTTCCAGTTATTATGCACCTTATAAAAACCCTGCAGCCTCTTGCAAATAAAAAAGTAGAACATTACTGAAACTAGGAGGTTAATGCTAGTAACTACCAGCTGTGGACTGAATCACAGGGGAAGAGATATGTTAAGAGTGTGTGTGTGTAAACATGCTGAGAGGCAGAAGCTGTGTGTGTGGAGGCGAAAAGAGATATAACCTTTGTTTACGAGTGCAGGCGGGCCGGCTGACAGCGTGTGTAAGTCAATGGAGGCCGGCCCACACGGAGATCTACTGGCAGGCATTAATCAAACACCGGGGGGGAGAGAGACGCCTCCTCACACCTCCGCAGGACTTTCTATCCAAAGGGAGGGATGACCACAAGGTTATCATACCTCCACGAGACGGAGCAGCACTTTGATTCAACAACGCCTCTCCATAAATGTCTGCTAACTGTGCGCCGCGAGGAGGCCGGCGATAGACTTTTTAACGCCAGAGAATGGATCGTCTGGAGTGATTTCACAGCATGAGTTATTACCGCAATAATATCCAGGAGTGCGTCCTTCAGGGTGATTATGGCTGTGACAGTGATGCAGTAGATGTGAGAGCGGTAGAGGGGGATTACTGCCTATTATTGCTGCTTTACAGCTGCTAAAATATACAATTCAGGAATACAAACTTTATTGAACTTAGCAGTTTTAGAATTATTGGTTAAAAAAATCTAAAGTGGTCCTGTGATGCTCATTTTCAGGTTCATATCAGTTTTTAGTGTCTCTACTGTGACATGTCTGCATGCTCTAATGTTCAAAAAGCTCTTTATTTTTCTCATACTGCCCTCTTTTCACCCTCTGTCTGAAACCAGAGCCCAGTCTGCTCTGATTGGTTAGCTGGCCGGCTCTGTTGTGATTGGTCAACCGCTGTCCCGCTCCTTAGCCTATGGGGGGGGGGGGGGGGTGTTGTTTTAGCCATTAACATGCACTAAAACCTATATATAACACACTACAGGAAAGGGAAAACCCCAAAAAGCATGATAGGAATTAAACATATTAAATAGATTTTGAAGGTGCGTGAGGTTATCATAAAAGAGCATAAGCAGATTCTGTATTAAAAAAGAGCATTTTATTAAAACAAAATGCTTATTTACATGGGAAGAAATAACACTTCTGTTGAAAAAGCATTGTACCTTTACAAAAAGAGGAGGATATGCATACACAGCTGACTTTAAAGCCGTTACAGCTCCTTACAGTGTCACTACGCCCTGAAGTTTCACATTGTTACATTACAACAGGGCTGAGGGGGGGAGAAAAGAAATATAAAGTAACATGGCTTTGGGAATAGAAAATAAAGAGCATAATCTGTTTCACAGGACAATAAAATCCCTCAATGTGCACGAATAGAAAAGAGGCGACACAGTTGTCGGCTTAAATACACATTTAAGAGGACAAATGGCTGTTTTGGGAGGAGAACAATCAAACTGATGCGGGTGAAATTCAACACAGACCGAACAGATTGAGTGAGTGGCTCATTTTGACACCAACAATAGTATTTCTACCGGCATCACACAGAAAGTCCCCGTCATTGAATTATAAAAATAAATAGAAGGTGGGGGAGAAATTGTGTTTGATTTAAAAAAAAAAAAAAATCCAGATATAACTATCAATGTGACAGCCGTTTGTTTCCACCTGATTTAACTTTTTCAGTGTACTTTGATCGAGAGTCCTTCAGGTTTTTCTGTGATAGTTTTCAGATAAACGTAAACAAAAACAAATCCCTGGATCTCTTCTTCTTCTTCTTCTTCTTCTCCTCTTCGTCACATGACTCCTCAGAGCCAGGGGTGCCAGGCGGGGTCCATCCGGCACAGGTTGTCCAGGCTGTTGGCGGCGGCAACCAGTGTGTTCACTTTGCTTTCCCCCCCCTCGAACTGAGCCAGGTTGTGGAGGCGGGTCATGATGGCGGTGACGGCCTTCTGGACCAATGAGACGAGCTGCTGGGAGTCCATGTTCTCCGGTTGGCCGGCGGGCGACAGAGGCATGGACGTGTCCTCCTGCGTCTTCTTGTGCCACGCGATGATCTCGTCGCGGAGCACCGCCTTCAGGATGCCGTCAACCTGGAGGAGACGGAGGAAATGAAGATGTTAGTTTCGTGAATCAATGGGGGAGAAAACATTTTTAATTAAATATGAAAGATTTAGTCTGTAACTGGATGAACCAATAGGCGCACCAAGTACTTTGCCATACTTAGTTCATCAGAACTTAGTTCATCAGAACTCTTTAGTTCTCATGAACTAAGTACAGATCGCGTTCACACCGGAATAAGTCCCTGAGGGAGGATTAGTCAAATGAAGCCGCTGACGTCACTTCGTCTTCTTCTGCTTTGGGTTTACTGGCAGGCCGCAAACAACTTCACGGCGTATACTGCCACCCGAAGTCCCCGGCCGGAAGTCCCCGGAGTTAGGGACTGGCTTCAGTAGAAGCTGCTGGGACTCCCAGCAGCTTCTACTGAAGCCTTCAGAGTAAATCGCCAGAACACCATCTCCTCATCTCCACTCTTTTCTTTTGTGTTGCCATAAGTTAGTCTCTCTGCGTTTGTGCGCTGGGCTAATGCTAATGCTAATAATGCTAATGCGAGGATAATAAAATGGCGGCTTCACAACACTTTTTGGGAGTTTTACGGGACGTGGTTTGCAATCCGCCCAGCCAATCAGAAATGGGAACCTTTTTCTCCCAGGAAAGTCCCTGCTCTCTAGCAGGGACGGAAAAGGGGGTGAAAAGGTTCTCATGAACTAAGTTCTAGTTCCGGATTTTTTTGGTGTGAACGCACATTTTCGGAACTATACTGGGAAAAGTACTCCAGTGTGAAAGCGCCTAATGGTTTTATTTTGAGATATTTCTCAGATAATTGTGGTTAGTTTCGTGTGAGCACCTCCCTAAATGTACAGAAGTTGTTAAAAAATATCAGGACCTTTTTAGATTGAATTCAGAGCAAAAATATAATGATTATATTATGTGTTATCTTGTCGAACTGATTTAATTTACAACATCGTTAAACATTTTTATTTATTTGTTGTTACTACCTCTGGATGAAAACACAAATATGTAAAAAAAAACATCTTTATTTTGTTTTATTTGACTTTTTTATAGTTTTGACAAAAGGAAAATCAATTGTAAAAAATCCCAAAATAGTGCAAAAGTATTTAATTGGATTGTTTTTGTGTTTAAAAATAAATAAATAAACATTTGAAATGAAGTGCCTGATAAAAGTATGCAAGTAAACCCAGTGTTAGTATTGGTTTTGTCAAATTTGTATATCTTTTTAAAGACTTCCCAGACGTGTTTCATTTACTTTATATTGCAAGAAAAACGATGCAAAGTTGGTGTATAAACCATTTTATAGCGGGTAGTTGACAGATTTGAGTGGCTCATTAGATAAACAAAGCATCTATTTGAGTAAATTATACACAATAAGCCAGTCTTGCTGAAAGTGTCCGTTCTGGGAATAAGAGCAAAGTAAAACCTCAGTTTATATCGAGTCTCTGCCGACCTCATAAAGCAAAGCTGTTCGCTCCAATTAAGGGTGTGCCAATCATCTGGAGGAAATGTCTCCGTGTTGTTAGCAGCCCATTATGGTGACACTGAAGTGAAACACATCACCATCTAAACCATGATGGAGCCACAACACCGCCAATCATCTCCTAACGAGCTCCTTCTTACCGTAAGCCTTTATACGGCTTCAATATATCTGAGTGTATGATTGTTACGTTTTTATTGTGTTTCCTGGAAACGTCCGCTGGCTCTCGGCCGTGGCTAGTTCACATGGTTGAGTGTTTTGTTTATATGCATCTTAAGCACTCCTGCTGCCTCCACATAAGTCAGACTTTAGAGTCGGACCTAAATTTAGACAGCACAGATCTGTAATTACAGCCATGCTGCAGATTATACAACCAGTGCCTGCTCGGGCTTTGATTGCATTGTTTTTGTTTTGCTGAACTTCCTCTCTGGGTTTATTTAAAGTGGACCTATCATGTTATATTTGAATAATATAGTGTAGGACCATACCTATATAAGGCATATTTATACTTTTTTTTTTGCAAAATACCAAACAGATCATGCATTTTAGCCATGCCTCATTTCGCTCAATTTGACATTTTTTAGCTCTGTGTTTGTAAGGGCAGATTCAGTGAGAACAGCACCATCTACAGGCCTGGCATATGTACTACAGCGTCTCCAGCGCTTTCGAACGGCAATGGCCGGCCGTGGCTGTCTCCTCCTGATTGGTGGAGTTGGCCCAATAGCCGTAGCGCCACTGTCCTGACGTCAGGACAGTGTTCAAATCTGGATCAGTTTTTATCAGATCCGTTGCAGCCCCTTTTTTAGAGATTTGGGTATGGAGGAAAATAGAGAGGGTTGTGTTTTCTGACACTTGGTGAGTTCCCTGGAACACCGGGGACACATATTCATGTAGAAAAGACGTACAAAAGTGCATTTTGCATGATAGGTCCCCTTTAAGTGCTAAACAGAATCTGCAGGACTCAGCAGCAGCTTGAATTCAAAACAAACCACGTCATACTTTTACAGAATGATGTGTATCCTCGCTGCCAAATATGAAAACACTTCTCCTTAAACCCTGCCAAGAGTAGAGCCATCTTGGTCAATTTGAGCAAGTATTTTTTAATCAGAAATGATCAACAAAGATATTTCCCTAAACCTACAATAACTCATTATTTGGCCACTTGAGGGTAATGGACACAAGCTAGAAACATGACATTTTATTACATCAGATAAAGTCCAATATTCAGTCTCCTTTTTGGTCTCCACCATCTCACCCCAATTCTGGCCTCACTGCACTGGCTTCCAATTCGGTTCCGAATTGATTTTAAAATCCTTTTATTTGTTTTTAAAGCACTAAATGGGCTGGCTCCGGCCTATATAGCCAAACTCCTCCAGCGCTACACCCCAGCCAGAGCTTTAAGGTCTGCTGACCAGCTGTTGCTGATAGTGCCCAAGACCAGGCTCAAAACCTGAGGGCACCGAGCCTTCGCAGCAGCTGGCCCCAGGCTCTGGAACACTCTGCCCCTCCATGTGAGGTCGGCCCAGACCCTAGGGGTTTTTAAATCTTCCCTGAAGACACACTTCTTCTCTCTGGCTTTCTAGTTAGAGCGGAGCATGATACCTGACTATTCCCTGTGTTTTTGTTTTTTATATTTCTGTTGTAAATTATTGTCTTTTATTGTGATTGTAGTAAAGTGTTTTTATTACATGTACAGCACTTTGGCTCGACCAAAAATCGTTTTGAAATGTGCTATATAAATAAAACTTGATTTGATCTCCATGAAGAAATGTATGGTTTTGAATCTGCTGAATGTCTCTTTTCCTTTCCTTTTTGTATTGTTATTTTTGTTCCTTCATTATGTGTAATTATTACAAATGTTTGTGTAAATATGGTTGATGATTTTTGTACTAAATTCTCCAATGTGTTCCAATGCTAGTCGCTAACTTTGTCTGTGTGATGCTAAGCAGTTAGCAGTCAGGATCTATCAATGTTTTGTCTATATGATGCTAATGAGTATTGTGACTGCTATTAGAAACAGTTTAAAAATCATATCTAAAACAATGTTCAAAACCCTATATCTCAAAAGAAATGGGAAATATTATCGGCAATATTTATCCGTAAAATAAAATATTACTATTCCGAGCTGTAGTTTATTTGAAAACACCGGATAATCTTCAGAAAGTAAACATTTCGTAGACCCGATGAGTTACCTTGAAGTTCGGCTGAGAGAAGCATCGAGCCACGGCGATCATGGAGGCGGTGAGCGGGCCGGAGACCCCGATGGTGGTCAGGAACTCGGAGATGTTGGGCGTCAGGCGGAAAGGAACCGGGCGGTTAGCGTCCAGATCGCCCGTGGCGTCGTTGATGTCGAAGCGGAAGTAGGAGACGTTCAGCTTCCCCGTGTCCTGAAAACAGAGAAGGGGATGAAGTCAGAAATCAAAAATCACTGTGCGGTCATGAAGAGGATATATCCTAGCCTCCTTCATATGTCACCGTCTTGCAATCAGCTTGAATCTTATACTTAATCTGTAAGTGTTTTTATTTGAATCCCCCTTAAGAACATTATTTAGGTTTTGAATTTATTTTCAGAATTCTTTTTAAATGTTTCTGTTTTTTTTTCTTTCGTTCACGTAAAATAATACAAAATTACTCAATTTAAACTAAGGGGATTAATCAGGTATGTCTTCTTAATACTATATTTATCTCAGAAAATTTGTTTTTTGACAGTTGCTCCATCTTAAAATAGAAAGAAACAAAAATGCAAAGTGTTAAACCAAAAAGTGGGCAGTAAAAATGTTAATAAAATAGATTAAAAATATTTATAGTGAACAAATGTAGGTGCTTTCAGATTTAAAAGTCACCTATCATGCTATTTTTAGGCAATAGCATAGGTCTCAGATATATAAAAATATATAAAAAACATGTCTATGAAAAGTGTTTTGCTCAAAATACCAAACAGATCACCCATTCTAGCCATGCCTCATATCCCTCTATTTCACTTCCTGTTTCAAAAGTGCTGATTTTAAGTATAAAGCTTTAAAAAAAATTGGATAATAAAAAAATAGGAGGGGGCTGAGCTCATGCGGGACCCGGCAGCTACTGTCTAAACTAAATACTGCCGTGATGAAACGCCATATCATGGATTATCAAGGATTATCTCTGAAACAGTATGGAGCTCAAAGGCTTTCTCTCTTGCCGGTTATACCACAAGGTGAGTTCCTTTTTATTTCCTGCTTCTTCACACACATGCTCTCCAGTACAGGTTAGCTCTGAGTGTTAGCGATGCTAATGTAAACACCGACCATATTACGTCCAAAACAGTCGGGCATTGTTTCTGATAGCAACGTTTCTGATAGGGCCGTGGGTCCACATTTCAGATATTACGTCATATCGGACGCAAATCTGGATCAGCTCCGTTGTAGCCCCGTTTTTAGAGATTTGGGTACGGAGGAAAAGAGAGAGGGTTTTATTTTCTGACGCTGCGTGAGTTTCCCGACACACCGGGGACACATGTTTATGAATAAAATACATGAAAAAGTGCATTTTGCATGATAGGTCCCCTTTAAGGAAAAAACAATAAGGCTTTATACGTTTATTTATTCTGTTTGTAAATAAAAAAAAATTCGGAACAAGCACATGAATGGATGATATAAGTTAATAAATAAAAAATAAATATATACTCCTTTCCGTTCCCCACAGTCCTCAGACCACATTAGCCCAGCAACAAATAGCTCTCCTTCAGGAAGGGGGAGTAACAAAACAAGCTCTCCCAACAAAATGGCTTCATGTATTGATCTGGGTGGACCAGACACAGTAACACGTCAAACTATCAGCAGCAGGACATCAATAATCCTCAATTCACTCCCGCTCCCCGCTGACTTAAATATATACAGGCGCGTTTTCATCTTTAAGCCTGCGTTTATGTGCGAGAGGACGGCTCTGGAGCAGCCACTGCAGGAAGATAAGCTCCTCGTATGAAAAGGTGAGCGGCTCTGACAGCTTTATAGCCCGGCGTTTCATCCCAGCTCGTTCTCCTCGTTCTCCTCCGCCTCGCCTCTTTCCCTCCCTTCTCCTTAATTCTCCTCTGCCTCCCGCCTCCCCCCTCCCCCCCTCTCTCTCCTACTGTCATCTGCTCCTCTGGGCCCGGCGGACGCCCTCGAGGCGCTGGGCTGAGACACCAGAAGCCCCCCCGAGGCTCAGATAAGCCTGCAGACAGTTGGCTGTGGAGGCAGCGCTCAGAATGCTAAATCTCCGCGCTACTGGCCAGCGATGGCTTCATTTTGGGGCCGGTGTGAACTGACTGACACAACGTTAACGAGACACTCTCTGTGACTTTGGGGATGTGAACTTGAGTGTGAGAAATGACAGATACTGGGTGATTTTCAGAAGATACTGCAATGATATGAGAGGAGATAGAGAAACTCTTACAGAAGGAATTCTCGAGATGATGGTTTAGGAGGAAGGGCGTTTAACTGAACTTCCCCCAGGGGATTAATAAAGTATGTCTTTTTAATACTTTATATATCTAGGAGGAAGTTAGGCTTCATGACAGTTGCCCCGTTTCACAAAAAATAGACATAAAAGGAGGAAGAAATACCTTTAGCATCTTAAGAACCAGATATTTCACAAATATTCATAGAAAATACAATTTCTAAATAGAAAATACAACGTTTTTTTTTGGTTATGTGTTTCATTACCAATAACTGATGATGACTGAGCCAAGCGTAATATAAATACTATGCGAGAATATAAAGAATTAAAATAGATAATTGAGAAAAAGATACATAGTAAATATAACAGGGAATATAGCAATATGCACATGCAATATATACAGGGGTGTATTGCTATTATTATTATTATTATTATGATGTACACCCTATATGACCCCTTTGAGTGCATAAAAGAAAACCCCTTACAGGTAGTATTATTTACTAACAACATAATTCTTTGATTGACTTCCAGCCTGATAAAGCAGGACTTTCTAATCGATGCCTCAAACATCAGAGAGCTCTCATAGCAGCAGCTAAAGGAAGTGAGGGTCTCTGGAGGCAGGGTGGGGCTCAGTGCTGCTGCTGTGATGTCCTGTCCTTGCACTCTCTCTGTTTGTGTGTAATGTTTGTGTGTGTGCACCGTAATCCTGCTGTGTCTAATGGGATCTGCGGAGTGGAACAGGCAGAGAGGGGGCTTAATACCAGCGCTTAGCTGCCCGGAGGAACGCCTGTCAGCAAAGGCCGATTAGGATCAGAGGGGTGGGGTGGCCGACTGACACAATCATCTTTCATAATGACTTTCAGAAAGCTGTCTGCGGCGGGCGGAGGCGCGCACCAACACGGCCCGTCTCAAATTGAAACGTCTTTGATAGCTGTAGAGCAGAGGGACTGAATACAGCGTTCTGTCAAAACATCCTGCGCCCCGACAGCGGCTCTGACTGATAGGCCGAGCGTCAATGTCACGGGGGAGAATGGTAATTCACACGGCCAGATACGGAGACGGTAATGGTGATCTCTTAATGCATCTATGAGGGTGTATATCTACTGAATTAACCCCCCCCCCCGTCACATGGAAGCGTCTCGCCCTTGACGGAGAGAGTCGGACATGTTTCTGTCTCTCCTACCTGAGCGATCTGCAGCATCTCGGGGTTCAGCCTGTTGAGGTGCAGCATGAACTCCGCCAGGCCGATGAGGGCCAGCTGGATGGTGAACATCTTCCGGAAGGTCCAGTAGTCGGTGGCGTTGGGGAAGGTGTGCAGAGCCCACTCCTTCAGCATGCTGCGGGGCACCATGTTCCCCTGCACCTCCTTCAGGATGTCCCGCAGGACCTGGTGGTAGACAGGAGGGGGGGGGGGAGGTCAGCAGCTGATTTTGAGCTTTCATTTCATTTTGACTAAATACTTTACAGAACAAAGAGCTGCCAATGACCCTCTCGCTGAAAATGCATGTGTATACTGTAACTGTGTGTATTCCACCAGTCAATCTTCTTCTCCAATGGCACTTCAGACATTATTTCATGTACACAGTGGGTTATTTTAATGCAGAGGTCAAGAGTAGATGACTAATTTACAGCTTATATTTTTTTTAGGTTATTGTATGTTACAGTCAGAGTGCAAAGAGTCTTAAAACAATGTATGCAATGCAGCCACTAAAAGCTTATAATACTATATTGGGGGGGTCTGGATGGGTTCATTTTTTTCCTTTTCATGGATAATTTAGGTCATTAACAGTGACAATTATCATTATCTTACAGTTCACCACCGTGAAGAAAAGACATCAAGTAGTAGCCAATCAGTCGAGGAAGGATTTATGTTGTATTTTAATAAAGAACGCATCTATTATCTGTGACTGGTTTGTATAGCAGCATGCAAATTCACTTTGATTGACCAGACAAAGCCACTAGCAAACTGTCCTTGTCACACTGAAAACCATGCATGTTTAAATATTGTTAATATTCCTTATTAAATTATTCTTTATCTTAGACTAAATAAAAGCTCGTATCCTCAGCTAATGAAAAGCTGACGGCATGGACATAGTTTGATTCCTTGATGACACGGCTGCATGAAGCTACCGTTTAATTACAATTCAATCACCTGGGAGGAATGTCAATGCGGGCCATCAAATTAAGTCACACTTGTGCTGCATAATGCAAATGTGTGCAGATGTGTTGTTATGATCCTCGTGTGTGTGTACCTGGTGGCTGGCCTGTGTGCCTCTGGCTTGCACCGTGGCCAGGCGATCGTAATATCTGGAGATGGGGTTGTCGTGTTCGATTCCTTTCTTGGCACAGCGCTGTTTGTAGATTTCCACCAGAGACAGAGACGAAGGGTTGTCTTCTACCAGACGCATCTGAGGCGACACTGCCACCACTCGGGGCACTGAGGGAGGGAGGGGGGGGAGGAGAGAGGGAGGAGAGAGGAGGGAAGAGGAGTGGTAGTAGGGGGGGGAGATGAAAAACAAGCAAGTCAGTCACACAATTGTAAACATTCGTGCCTGTTTTACCACAGTGTGAACCACCGGTCTAAACCTACATCTAAAATACTCCAGAGCTGGTAAAAACAGCTGCAGTGAAGGCGAGCCATCACTCAACAACAACCAGGGTCAAAGGAGCAACAAAAAAAAGACAGTCTCTCCGTGAACGCAGTCTAAACATTTACATACACTGGCACCAAGAATCAAATCTATAGCAGCAGCCATTCCAGTTGGGAGGAAATGGGTTGGAAGGGACCGCTGAATTCCCCGTCCATATTTCCCCAAACCCAATCAAGTGCATAAATTGAGAGTGGGCAAACATCTGGGCGGAGGAAAACCTCAAGGGGATGACAGGAGAGGAAATGGAGCTTGAAAGGGGGATTGAAATTGTGTTTGTGTGGTAACAAAGGGAAGCAAAATGATACGGTCGCTGACAATTGTTTTTAGTTTACAGCAACACTTTAGGGGACTGAACACAGGAAGCTGGTATCAGAAGAACACATATGGACAACTATGTGTTCAAAAATAACTGATTTTTCCTATTTTGTTGACCAAAAACTCACATGGGGAGGAAGTAACTCGTAAAAAAAGAGTGAAACATACCAAAAAAAACATAATTTTAGTCAAAGTCCTCCCTAGATCCTATATGACAGGGGTGTCCAAACTACGGCCCGGGGGCCAAATGCGGCCCACGGACCATTTTGAATCGGCCCTCATCAAATAAAAAAAGTATAATGAAATACGGCCCACAAATGAAACTTGTGCTCGTCTTATATCGTACTTCTTCAATATGAATGTAAACATATATTACATTGTATTCATGTGTTAATAAAACCACTTTTCAAATAAATTCAGTCAGTTCAAGTTGGAAACATTTTCTAACAAATCTTAAGAAAAAAGCCCAATAACTTATTTACATAACAAGCTTGAAATAAACCCTTCCTATTTCTCCTTATTATAATCAATGTGAGGCTTCTGTTGTAAGGGATGAGCTGCCAACACTCACCAGCATCATGTACCTACATTTCATTGATTTAGCTAACTTATAACTGAACTTATGAGGCAGTATACCTCTAGTGAGTGGGCCCAGCCCTTCGTATATTTTTCAGCCCTGCTATATGACTTTCAACCCAATGCATCTGCGTCTTTCACTCTGGTCGTACCGGTGAAGAAGAGGTGTCTCTTGGTGGTCTCCTTCCTCTTCTCCAGACAGGGGTTGAGGAGGCGGAGCAGCTGCAGGACCCTCTCCTCTCGGCGGGACTCCGTCAGGCAGGCGTCGTTCATCACCAGGTACGGGTAGATTTTTCCGTTGTGGCCGCGGATGTAGAGACGACGCGCCGCCGTGTTGTGTTTCTGAACGATCTCCACCCGGGGCATGAACCTGGAGAGAGGAGCAGAGGGAAGAGATGACATGATGTGGGAGAAATAATATGTAGGGATGATTCTACTTCCAGATAACCTTTTTTACCAAGTATTTTTTACTTGATACACTTTTGTAAAGAGTCCCTTACCGTGCGATCTTGATGTAATAGTGTGTGGGTTTGGGCATGAGGAACTCCCCGGGGATCTCCACCTCGGCCGTCTGAGCGGAGAAGTTGCTGAGGAAGCGGCACTTCTCCTCGATGAGGAAGAACTTGGGCAGCTGCTTGGTCTTGGCCTCCAGGATCTTGATCCACTTCTTCAGCTTGGAGATGAGATTGTGGAGCTTCATGGAGCCCGGCACGCTGAAGTCAAAGTCTGCCAGGGAAGGAGAGAGAAGTCGATGTTACAGCAAGAAACTCCTTATTCCCTCCAAACCTTAACAAGTGTAACTATTGATGCATTTATTAAATATTTACGCAATGAGACTTTGATGATTTAACTAACCCTATTCTTTTAGTGGGTAAAGACAAATAATCCCAAAAAATTACATTAATTGAACCGTAGCCTTTACGACCAGGAATAGACAACCTAAAGAAAATATTACGATATTGAAAATGTAACATGATATCTAGTTTTGTATACCTACAGTATATCAATATTATATCGATGTATTGCTAGTGCCTGAATTTGAGTAACAAACATGTCCATATGTCAGAGATCAAGCTTCAACAGATACCTTAAAACAACCAATCCAGAATATAGACACGTTTTTAATGAGCATTGTTATATGTTTAACTTATAGACCATTTCTCCTTCCTCCTCTCTGCAGGTGACAAAAGCCAACCCTATGCTCTAATCAATTTCTAGACTCACATCACGATATCGCACTATTGTCGACATATAGCATGGCCCAAAAGAAGGGGTAGAAATAGACCCAATATTTTAAGAGTAGTGGCCTAGTGATTTTTCTTTTTCCAAGTAGTTTTTTGGGCTAGACAGTGGCTGTATTGGCGATACAGTGGTGAAACGGGGAGATTGAGTTTTTTCCCATGGCTAGGGATTGAAAAGCGTGTACTTGGCAGCGGACTCTGCACCTCGGCTGCCAGCTGTAAACACTGAGCTCCCCAAAAGCCCAAACCTGGCCTAGTGAACTTGATGATTAAGTATCAATGGCTTAAAGCACACTGTGATATTCAACTGTAAAAACATAGATAGAAAATAAATGTGAAACTTGTTGCAAAAAATACAAAAGCATATGCCGGTTCCAGTCATTTGAAAGTGATTGAAATTCAAAGACTTTTAGGGGGAGTCAACGTTTTACACTTCCCCCTCCCCAATCAACTATTCTTAAAATGCCCTTCAGCGGGACACTAACCCCATAAAATGACCCAGTGGAGCCGCATTAGCTGCCAACATTACAGCACTTTAACAGCAGCTCCCATGTGTGTTTTTGTGTGTGTTTGACCTTTGACCTGCCCCGTGGCAATGCGCTCCCAGAGCTGTGCTATAACTACCAATGTGTTTCTAGGTAACCTTGCCAAATAACATACATTTTAAAACACATGCAAGCAGCATACTGTACGCACAAGGGACAGGATTTAAAAGCGAGTCAAATATGATTAAGCAAAACAGAACCGAAATAAATATTGTAAAAGAGAATTGAACGCTTATCGGTGAGGTGACACTTAAATGCAAACGCTGCAGGGTCTGTGTGAAACCGGTAAAGATTAATTCAAGTTAGATCCGGGTGTTTGCTTTAGCGTTATTTACACAGTCAGATGGACGAAGAACACCTTGTTTTTCTCACAGTGATGGCCTCGGGGAGGGAGGTGCTTTTCAGAAACTCACATCTGGGAAATGTCTGATGTAAATACGCCGTTTCACTGTGGGCCACATCGCTGCAGCAGGGTGGGGAAGTGCCTTGCTTAAGGGAACTCCACGTATAAGTTATTCATTGCAGGCTCGAGGAGAAACGGTTTTCTCCATCAACCTAAACCCCCCCCCCCCCCCCCCCCGCCGATGCAGGCTGGGAGCTGATTAAATTAGGGCTATAAAAATGAGAGTCTTAAAGTATTAAATTCCTGTTTCAAGTCACTACTCATATTGCACGTAACGTATTGTGATGGGCTGCAGCAATAACAACGGAAGGAGGGGAGCCAGGCAGGTTTTCCATTTTAGGGTAAAGCCCCCAGGACCCCCCACACACACACACACACACACACACACACACACACACACACACACACACACACACACACACACACACACACACCACACACACACACACACACACACACACACACACACACACACACACACACACACACACACACACACACACACACACACACACACACACACACACACACACACACACACACACACACACACACACACACACACACACACACACACCACACACACACACACACACACACACCACACACACACACACACACACACACACACACACACACACACACACACACACACACACACACACACACACACACACACACACACACAATGAATCCATGAAACTGCAAGGCCTTGCCATTTCAAACCTGCTCAATCTCTCCCAGAGTGAGACCTCCTAATACTTTAAATAAGCCCTTTAAAACAGCCAATGTTCTTTTCGGCGCGACCCTATTTCGCTATCCGTCTGCCTGCAATTCTCCTGCCTCGATAGCGGAGGGAAAATTGAAACGGTCCTAAAGAATTGCAACCCGACAACAATTCGGCACCATAAAAGGGTATAATGCTTACAAATAGACAAAGCGAGACTTGGAGGAAGAAAGTAATATCATTCCGTCTCGATCAGATATAAAGCATGTTACCTGTTTAAATCTAAAGACGGCTGCACGTAGGACTCAGGCATTATTACAACTCGTAAAAATACAATGTATTAAAAGCAGTAAACATGCTGTAAAACAAGAGCAAAGAAGGCCTTTTAGTAAACAAATGGTAAATGGTAGGGCTGCCTGATATGGGAAAACTTCTACATTGCTAATACTTTGACTGATATTGCAATTCAGATATGATTCATGGCATTCGAGGGATTGATAGTTTAGAATCATATATCTCAGTGAAACATATGTGAATCTAATATAGTGAATATTTTTAAGAATCTTAGTCCATAGTATTAAATGTGTAGGCCCCGGATATATCTGCAGCTCCAAAATACTTATATACTCACATTTAAAGGGACCCGATTGTGCTCATGTTCAGGTTCATCATTATTTGACATTTATTTTGCTCGCTGCTATTTGAGTTTTACAGTAGTCTGAATAACGATTTCGATAAAATTGTAATAATTGTGCAGTCCTAACAATGATTTCACCTTCTTTGGAGCTTTAACTATACTTAATATAGTGTGAGAATATGAGGTTAAACACTAAAGTTTCTGAGTAAAAGAAATACAGAGGTGTTTTGTTGAAAGTGCCCGTGCAGCCACAGGAGCAGAAGACAGTTATTTTCAGTCCCGCTCAACTCGTATTTGACCCCTGCTCTATGAGTGAGCGGTGGGAATAGGATGCTGAGACACACAGCGTAGTGTGGGAAGCCTCCAGGTTGACCTCTGACCTGTGTGCAGAAACCAGCGCTGCTGCTCTGCCCTACCTGATAGACCACAGCAGACGCTCTGCACTTCAGGAGCAAATTATGAATCCACACTCTGGAGGTGGGTCACCTCTGTATAAAGAAGCATCATTCCCTCATGTACTGCCCTGGTTCCTCACTCAGTGTGGCGTGGTGTGAATGTGTGTGGTGGGACGGATTCAACTCAACTTTATCTGATTGGTGAGCTGAAGTTTGGAGTGCAACAAAGGTCATCGCGGCAGAAGAAAGTAGGTTTTCTGGTTCGAATTAAAACCTTAGGAATAACAACCGGCTGAAGGTGCATAGGTGCTTAGCCAAACTGCTTAACAGAATCACATGTAACTATGGGAAATGTCATTTCAGCATAACAAATGACTATTTAATAAGCACGGAAGTAAAAAGCCAAGAAGAAGCTCTGGAACACATCCGCTGCTAAAACAGTAACTCATGCAAATAGCATTCGCCGTAATTGGATTTGAATGCCTCCCTGCTGCCAAACGTTATGTGTGCACACATAAACCCACATTTTCCGGCCCACAAACCCTGTGAAAGCGCGTGAGCCACTAAGTCGGTTCGGGGGAATGAGAGCTGGGCTGCTCGGCTCTGTAAACCCTGTTTGTTCCGCTCGGGAGGCTTGTGTGGTTTCTGTCTCTCTCGGCCCTGCTCCCATGATGCAGCTGGGTAGCGATGGTCTGGTGACGTGAGCACAGCTGGCACCGCAACATCTGGGGAAGATTCACCAGCAGGACGATCACTATCGTTTGTGTTGTTCTTTGCACGTGCCGTTTCCATGTTTTTTTCTCGCAAATACCGCAACACCTGTCTATATGAGACTGTCATTCCCATAGATTACTATCTGTTAATCTCCCCTCTATCATCGTTTAGGCTCCTCTGTAATTGTATATGATTACCAGCTCTGGTACACACACAAATGGCTTTTTTCTCTACGTCACTAGATCATTTTTTCCCTAGCTTCTTTTCATTCACTCTCAGTCCTTGTCCTCTGCTATCCCAGGGCCAAACACATTAGCTCTATTGGCCACTTTAAGACGAGTAGAGGTGGAAAGCATTAGACAGAGGGGAGGGGGGGGGGAAGGGGAAGGGAGTAGTGTCTGTGTGGAAATGCAATAAAAAGTAGGAGGCGGCCTGAGTGTAATCCAGCGAACATGTACTGTATGTGCAGTCAGTCCGTGGGAGGGGAAAGGAGAGAGCAACGTTTATTTGAACGCTGAAAAGCTGCAGACGGTTCTTGTTTAAACCCAGTCTAGTGAACTGTGGTTCAACTCCCTCATGTAATGTAGGAACACAGACACGTGGCTTCCAAAAACAGGGGAATGATTGTGGAGAGGAAAATGTCTCAAAGGGGGGATTTGGCTGGGATCGAGCTGCACCTGTCCTGTTGGATTCTTCAGCTTGAATATGAATCTGAACATACAGGCCAGAAAGACTCAAGGCCTTATCAATGGCTTACAAGCAAAGACATGACAAATAATTTTCAAATGTTTCATCCAGAATTGGGCATGATCAAGAGACCGCCTTTCCATCCAGAGTGTTTTCCAAATCCACATTTTTTAGGTTACATCAGCTCTGAATGCATCGGTGACTTCATTTTAAGGTAGACAACAAAGTACAGATATGAACAGCACAAGATAAAAAATACTGGTTCAATATATAGCAAGAAAGGCCCCTGTCGCATTATTTAAACGTCTAAATATCTAAAGTGTAGACATAGTGATACTTTGGGTTACTCAACGTAACATCAGCTCTTTGATAACAGATCGAGGTGCGCTATTATGGATTTTCTCAGCTATCAGGATTAAACATGTAGCTAATTTAAGCCACAGGCTATCTTTAATTCACACTGTCAAAGGGTCACCTCAAAGGCAACATGGCATTTGACATTAAACTAACAACTCAAGGCATCTACAGTGATGACTACAACGACATGGGTGGTTAATGCTGGCAATGCAATGGCTTTCTCTGTAACGAGAACATAATAGATACCCTTCCATTGTTGTGAACTAACATACGACAGGATAAGTGTGTCGTCTCTATGCCACGGTAGCTTTAGTAGCAATACACTCTCAAATGTTATTCTCTTCCAATATTTTATGAGCTATATTCACTTTCGGAACAGCAAACAGCCCGTTAACAATGCTTGGTTCCCTGACAAAGAGGATCAAAATTGTAGGCGCTACATCCAGCTCCAACCACAGTTATACGGCACTTCACTGGTGCTAGTGGTACTTAGCCTAACTGGGCTTTCACTACATTTACATTTCAATATAAAAAGGGCCAAAAAAGCCCAGTGCCAATATGGTGGAAGTCATTGTTCTCAGTCTCTAAGTCTATAAAACCTGCTTTGAGAAACCATTTTACTGTTATATAAGCAGCTGCCAAGACATTTCATTACAGTTCAGTATGGAGATGTGCTGTAAGAAATAATGTTTTACAGACTTTTAAACCCTGAAGACTTTTACAACAGTGTTTCATCATTTCAGCTGAGCCAAGAGCACTCATCAAACAGATCACTGTGGAGCTGCAGCAGCGTAGAAATGCAGCTGACTGGAGTATAATCAAATCCAGTGTGGGCGTGTGCAAACACAGTGTAATAAAGACACAGACTGACTCACACGTATACCTATTTCTGACCAGTCACCACCTCTAACCCATCGCTAAATCAAATCATCTGGTTGGAAACTTTAATTACGTTGCAGCACACCAAAGCTCCAGCTTCTCAACAAAGCCGTACAGATTTGAGCTAAGTACAGGAATAATGTAACCAGTTCATTATCTACAGATGCCATTTGGGTACCCGTCTCATCAACTTTGGGTTAACCATGAGAGTGACGTGTTTTACGCTTTCCCCACTGTAAAACACCAAACAAAGTTAGAAGAATAACACAAACACTGCTCTGGTTAACTGTGAGGTGGCTGGAGTGTGGCTTTAGGGTGAAAGGCAAATAGGTGCTGCTGATTTCACAACCTGGGCCATTGTCCCACCTTGTCAAACACAAAAAAACACAGCCTTTTTTTAGGTTGTTTGAAAACGTACGACTGTCTCTTCCAATTTCCAAGTGGTACTGTATGACGTGGATGCAGAGAGGTGAAGCATGGATGCTTAAAGTTAACATAGCTGACATTCATGAAACTAAAGTGTTAAAAACAAGAAAGTAAACAGAGAAAATAAAAAATAAAGGCTCTTCTTTCTTCTTCCTGTCTTTTTGTACGGTTGCATTTACGACTGCATGATTTGGAAACAATTGTTGATTGCTATTATTTTTGACTGATATTGCAATTGTGGTATAATTGGCGATACAAAAGCAAATAGATGAGAGTAACACCTACGTCACTTCCGGGCGAAAATTACGGGCCCGCCCACTGTGGGGGGAAAACAACGCTGTCATTTGAATGGCGGTTAATACACATTCTGAAGTTTTTGCCAATCCGATCAGAAATGTAAGAAAACCGTGGATTTTCTGATCTTCAAAGAGCCCGATTACGATGGCCAGTCAGGCAAACAATTACATGAAATCATTGGAAATCGACGATCGGGCTCGATATATGGTTAAATTAAAATCAGTAGGCGAGGCCGTAATTTCGCCAGCTGTTACTCTCATGAGCGAGGCGGGAAATAATGGTTTTATCATGCCAAAAAGCTGCTGTGTCGTTTATTGCACCTCAAACATTAAAACAAATCCAGAGTTAAGTTTTTATGTATTTCCTCTAAGAACAAAGGACAGTAGAAGAACAGTTCTGTGGCTTCAGGCTTGATCGCCATTCAAATGACAGCGTTGTTTCCCCCAAAAGTGGGCGGGGCTGTAATTTTCGCCTGAAGTGACGTAGATGTTACTCTCATCTATGGACATCGATCGCCTACTGCTATATTTAACCATATATCGAGCCCGCTCGTCGATTTCCAATGATTTCATGTAATTGTTTGCCTGTCTGGCCGTTGTAATCGGGCTCTTTGAAGATCCAAAAATCCACCGTTTTCTTACATTTCTGATCGGATTGGCAAAAACTTCAGAATTTGAATTGACCGCCATTCAAATTACAGCTTTGTTTTCCCCCAAAAGTGGGCGGAGCCGTCATTTTTGCCTGGAAGTGACGCATGTGTCTCATCTATGATCACTTTTTTAAATTATTTAAAAATATATTAAAATACTGCTTTTAGGTCTATACCTCTGCAGAAACATACCTTAGTCTAGATTTTTGTCCAGCCTTAGGTTTATATTCATTCAAAAGCCGACCAACCTGTAGTGAACTGTCCCTTCATCTTCTGGAAAACGGGGTCCTGCGCCGTGGCCTTTGCTCTGCGGGCCAGAGACTCGGAGGCGGCGCTGGAGAACATGGTGGAGACGTTGGGAACGTTCTCCAAGCCCACTCCAAAGGTGCTGACCAGCTTCTTCACAAAGTTCAGAGTGTGAGGAGTGATCTTGGCGTCGGACACGGCGCCGCTCTTCTCAAAGGCAACGGAGTAGCATTTAGCCAGACCTTGCTGGAGCTGCCTCAACACCTGCAGAGAGGAGGAAGAGAAACAGAGAGATTTGGTTACAAATATATAGTGACTTCTTTGGAATTCTGACTGGAGCTGCAGAAAAAAGCAATAACTAGAAAACGGCTCAAACCAGAACATCCTATCGCTTGACATCTGGTCTGATACAATCCGTTAAATATTTGTTATGGATAGAATTACTTTTTTCCACGAGGCTTAATTCGAGGAAACATTGAAAAAAAACAGACATCCATCCTTTGTTGGATTTAACTTACCGTATGTACACTGTCAGATTTGTTTTTCCAATTAAAAAAAAAAAGCCTGTATACTTATTAAATGTTTTCTCAGTTTCTATTTAAACTATGTGACTCCAGATAAAGAGAGCATCGCCACACACACACACACACACACACACACACACCACACACACACCCACACACACACACACACACACACACACCACACCACACACACACACACACACACACACACACACACACACACACACACACACACACACACACAGCACACACACACACACACACACACACACACACACACACACACACACACACACACAACACACACACACACACACACACACACACACACACACACACACACACACACACACACACACACACACACACACACCACACACACACACACACACACACACACACACACACACACACACACACACACACACACACACACACACACACACACCACACACACACACACACACACACACACACACACACACACACACACACACACACACACACACACACACACACACACACACACACACACACGGGACTCAGGGTAGGTGATGATGGCTTCTCAGGCCCGTGTGCCGGTGGAACCAAGCATAGAGCCTGCAGCTGCTGCCGAGTGCCCCAAACCATCACAGATAATCACACACACACTCACACACCAGCAAACTTCCGGCCCTAAATCCCTTTCCCCATCTCACACTCTCACCGCCACCATCCATCACCTGTCTCAGCCTGCCGCCTCCTCCTTCTCCCAGTCCTCTCCTCCACCCACAGAAAACAGACACCTTGCATGTATTCTGCCGAGCATGGCTTTAAGAGTTAGCAACAGCATCAAGCTCATTTGTGACCATCGTGTCCGGGCTGCATCCTACAAAATCAGATGTTCATCTGCTCCATACATCTGGAAACAACTCCCAGTAAAGTAAAGGTATGATGTCACGCTTACTTCTTTTAAATCCAGGCAGAAGACTTTTTATTTTTTATTTGCCACTGTCTTTTGCCACTGTATTAAATCAATAAATAAATCAATAATACATATTCACATTATCAATGCTCAGTAACTTTTTTGGTTGGTCTTTTATACCCATCTTATTCTATTTCAACTTGTTTTAAAGTAGTTTGTTGGCTTTTTAATAATTTTTTTAAATGTCATTTGATGTGTTTTCTTTGAATTGCCTCGTGTTGAAATGCCTTTATTGCCACTGGTGTACAATGGTGCATATATAAACACAGTAAGATGAATAAAGTTGTATATTATATATTTATTATCAATATGTTTATTATAAAACTATTAAAAAATCTGCTAGAAAGGCAAAGGGCAATTTAAGCTGACTAGCCAACACAAAAAGGGATTTGAGAATATACGAGCAAAGAAATAATGAATGAATCAACATATCCTGCCGTTAACGAGTTCAACACTAGCTCAGTGTGTGAATGTGAGATGTCGAGGACCTATGAACAGTCAGGTCGGGATCACACCTCGGATCAGACAGATGTGTCGGCCCACCAGAGAGACAGCGGGGTCGTCTGGCGTGACACACTTACACACACACACTCCTGCGTTCACACTTATACACACACATGCATTACAAGTCTCACAACCTGCTGTATTGTCTTCTCACCGTCTGAAAACCCACGCGCTGTCAGACACACAGAGAAAAACCAGCAGCTTTATTCTTCTCACCTCCTCGTGCCAGTTCTCCCTGAACCACACCATCTGGTCCACGATGCCCTCCAGGGAGGAGAGCAGCGTGGGGTGGAGCTCGCGCTGCATGTGCATGATGCGGCTGCAGCGCCACATGGGAGCCGTGGCTCGGATGGGTCCGGGGTCCGAGGCCCCCGAGTGAGGCTGGGCCCCCACTGAGCTGGGCTGCTGCTGTCCTGAGGAATCTGGGGAGGAAGAGGAGGTAAGGATGAACGGTGGAGAAAGGGATGTGACGGGATAACTCAATAGGGTAGGTTAGGTTGTTTTATTTTTTGTATTACTGCCGAATTTTATTCCATTCTATTCCTATGTAAATACTGCTATATTTTTAATGCTATGTTTTATGTATGCACCATAAGTCAAACTCCTCATACGTGTAAACCTATTGTAAAGCTAAAATAAAATATCCTTACTAGTTGCTCACCCCAATGTTATTTATTTTCTTTCTGTTAAATTTGGTTTTTGTTTTCTGGGAGATTTACTCTGAGGGTCTAAGGAAAGAGGGTGCAGTTCGCTGTACACACCGTTAACTTAACGGTGTGTACAGCGCTAAGCCCCCTAAGCAAATGTGTAATTTGGGATATGAATACAAATGTAATAAAATGTGATGGGAGAAAATAGATGCTCAGATCGGTGAAAAGTCAACACATTACAGTCGGCCGTGTTAGCTTACCACTTTTGTAACGCTCCCTCTGCTCGATCTTGAGCGTCAGGTAGAGGGTGCGGATGGGGAAGTAGACAGCCTGCGGGTACACTCGTCCCACCTAGCAGATAAAAGAGGGTCACAGATTACATTTCAAAGATTCCCCCTCGGGACCACAACGGAGGGGGGGGGGGGGAGAGGGAGATACAGTGTGTGCATGTGTGTCAGAGAGAGATCATACTGATACAGCCAGAGACTCTGCTGTAACACACGCAGTGTTTGAAGCTCAGAGTCAGGGGAGTTAAAAACATGCCATGAATGAATTACAAAAAAAACTGAATGTGCTTGATGATGAAATTGCCCTGAGGACTTTCACGAGAAGTCACTGACAGCGGTGGAAGGCTTAATGGTTGAAGTCAGGGCGTATAAAAGATTTTAAGTTTGGCAACACATTGCAAAATCACCTCTCCAACTTGGTGGAGGAGGTTCCTTTGATAAGTGAAGCAGCAGGTGCGTGCCGTGTGCCGAGTGATTTACATAAATCTGACGCAGATCACAGTTCATTGAGAAGGCAGGATTAGTTAGCTGCATAGCCTGTTGGACAGCGTTTAAACTAGATCATATTCTGAAATCTGCTTCCACTGGCAGGGTATATGCAGGAATCCTGAAGTCAAATGTAAAACCTTTTAAGACCTTTTTTAAGACCCTTTCCATACATTTTAAGACCTCATCGCCACTTTGAGTTCTAACCGGTTACATTGGCGACACACTTTACCTCACATTGACTATATACAGTATTGATTGTCCTTCCTCCTTATCTTCCAACCATTTGGACGCAGACTTGCATTTCCCCATAACGATGTTGCTTAACAACCGGCGTAAACGGACCTTCGCGCGCTATCAAGCAGTGAGCGTGCGATGTCCTGTTCAGATGACGTCAAATCCAACGGGATGCCATAAATAAACTACACAGAATCACACTACACACCTACGCAATGATTACATTCAGGCACACTGTAGAATACAACCTCTTTGGACAATTTATATACTTATTGAAAACAAGCTACAAAATGTAATACCTTGGAAAATGCCGTTTAATACTTTTTAATAGCCTTCATTTTCGCTAAATTGATTTATCAACTTTTAATACTTTTTAAGACCCCGCGGACCCCCTGGATGTCTGCAATGTAAATGTCCCCTCTGTTGGACTAATAAAGGTATTCTGATCTTCTGCAAGTATATCAAGCAATTAACTAAACTTCAATGTTTCAAAGAAAGTAAGCAAGCATACTTTGCGGATGTTTTCTTTTCTTCTTCAGTTTGTCATGCTGTAGTCTGAACGGCTGTGTAACATTACATTAGGTACGGAAGAGGGTTTATAAATTCAACTGTTTTCCTCTAGTTTTTTAATTAGCCCTTTTTAGTTCAAACATGTGTGCATGTAAATGGTCTGAAAAGGCTAAAATCCAAAACTTCTTCCAGAGGGAGTTTCTCTCCCGTGCTGCACATGAGAAAATTAAAGATCTTTTTGAACATTAAAGCATGGAGACATGTCCCAGTGGAGGCACAAACTACAAATATGAACCTGAAAATGAGCATGATAGGGCCCCTTTAACCATCTTGAACATGCAGTAGTAGCTCTGAACAGATTCCCAAATGCTTTACGTGGCTGTAAATACCAATTCTTTCTAAACCTGTCACCAAATGACATTCAATTTCATAAGAGGGCGACCACTGCGACACATCGCACACAGAAACTGTAAAGGAATCACCTCTTGAATATGAGAGGTAGACTCAACTCGACACTGATACATTTGTGTGTGTGTGACATTTGGCTATCTCTGCGACGGCACAAAGCGAGAGCCTAAAGGAAGAACATGAGCTGTGACAAGAGATCCCTAAAATTCAACAGAGGCGAACACAGAGATATGCTTTGAAACTGTAAGCAGAGGTAAAGCAGGCTCGAGCAAAAGCTTTTATAACATTTTTTAAAAGCGCTGGTCTTAAAGAAAATTGTTTTTTATATTTATATGATTTAAAGGGGGACATGGATATAGAAATGTGGAAGTAGCATTAGCCTGTTAGCGTAGCATGTAGCATAAAATTAGCATTTCTTTTTTGAGTTATTCTTGTTATTTTTAATATTGTTATGTTCTTGCTTGTGCTTCCTGTATTAGCATATAGTTTAGCATGTAGCATGAAATTAGCATTTCGTTTTTTGAGTTATTTTTGTTATTTTTAATATTGTTGTGTTCTTGTTTGTGCTTCTATCATTAGCATGTAGCTTAGTATGTAGCATAAAATTAGTATAATCGTACTTAATGCTAAGTGTCATATCCAAGAAATTCTTATGAAAGGTTTGTTTAAAACATGTGGGATGGCAATATACAAATGTGGGATTGCCTGACAATGTACATATCTTTTGGACATGATACACCATGTGATAGTGATGTCAAATGTTATCAAATCTCAGAAATGACGAGTGGAATGACAAGACAAATAAGCAAGTTGTAAAAAATAAATAAAAGCAGATCTTATTTCTTGTCCTTCTAGCCTGGTTTTAAGCCCACGAGGACCAAACCACACGGTCTCTCAGGTTGTGCGGCTGGCTGAAGTTACAAAGCTACTTGATCCCTCTGTGCGCCTGCAGGGAAGAAAGAGATACCTCAACATTTCAACAACAACACTGAGCTCACTACGACTTAAAGTGGATGGTGGTGATGGAGGAGAGAGAAGGAGAAAGACAGAGAAGCTGCTTTCTTCATATTTCCGCCTGAGGCTAAATGGATTTTTGGAACCTGTAATCTTTCTCTGACATCCATCTCAGGTCTTCAGACGAAGTCTCAAACTGCACAAATCAACACGGCAGGTCTCAATTTTGTGTTAAAGAGCCTCATCTCACTCAGGACTGTTCATGGAGAGTCAGCAGGAGACAGATGGGATGAACTAACTGCTCTAGTAGGAATAAGCCTTGGCAGTGTGGAGATGATGGAGAAGGGAAAACTATTGACCTCCATCTAGGAAACCATTTTCTATGACTTAGTGGGAGTTAACGCAGCTGTGGAGCACCTTCAGCCATCACCAAATTGGTTCAACCATTAAATGTGCAATCACATACATATTTTGGAACATGAATTGATTGCTAGTTTCTACATTGCACACATATTACACATTGATACAGCCCTATTACACTATCGCTACACCCCATAACACCATTATTACACCCATGTTACACTATTATTACACCGGTATTATACCCATGTTACACTATTTTTAAACCCTTATTAGACTGTTATAACAACCCTTTTACACCATTATTAAACTGGCATTTTTGTAGTCCATTTCCTGTTTGTCTTGTTTTACCCCGGCTGACATTTCATTAAATCCACTGTTTTAATTTTCCCTATATTACCCTATGCCCTGTAAGGTGTCCTTGGGTGCTATGAAAGGCGCCCCCCAAATAAAATGTATTATTATTATTATTATACCCAAATTACACAAATGTGACACTGTTATTACACTTGTATGAAACCCATATTTTACCCAAGTAACAACAATATTACAACCCTCTTAGACTGTTATTAAACCAATTGTACACATGAAGACAGGCTGTCAAATGATTGTTTCCCCCAGGACACACAAAACCATGTCAGGGTTAAATGATCTTTTGTGCCACAGCTTCTAGTAGAAAAAGCAACGGTCATAAAATAAATGCAAATTTGCATAAATGTATAAGCTACCCACATCTGTGAGGTAAATATAGGGACATTTGCACAGTCCAATCCAATCCAATCCACTACCAAAGTGCTTCACAGCAAACATAACATTATAATAAAAGACTTCAAACATTCAACTTCAACTGCTACTCAGTAGTATGTATCTAATACCTAATATATATATATCATTCCAATAACTTGTATATAGACTCATACTGCACTATTCCACATCATAACTTTATTTCATTTTTATAACTATTATTATTTTTGTATTGCTCTTGCTCTTATTGTTATTATGTTATGTTATTATGTTGCATTGTTGGAGAAGCCTGTGACATAAGATTTTCAACTGCATAATTACTCTGTAGCTATGTCAGATTGACAATAAAGAACCTTGAACCTTGATAATATTACAATAATAGATAAAAAGCACACATAAGAATTAATACAAGGCTATGGACAGACAATGAAAGCATAAAAATCAATAAAACATCGCTCAAACTGACTCGAAAGCGAGGGGAAAGAGGTGGGTCTTTAGGCGGGACTTAAAAGTTTGGAGGCTGGGCAGGTCGTTCCAGAGCCTGGGGGCTACCGCTGAGAAGGCTCGGTCTCCCCTGGTCTTTTTCTTGGTTTTAGGGACTACCAGCCGCAGCTGATCAGCCTATGCATTTATACAATTTCCCGCACTTCTGTCCCTAATATCTTTACATTTTAAATATTGCATATAAAGTCAAAGTAAAAAAATGCAGGACTAGAGTCAGGAGTACCGGGGCGTTCTGTGTGGCGGCTAACGGCAGCATTAAAGATGAAAGAGGAAGGGAGGCAGAGAGGAAGAGGAGGAACCAGAGATCAACCCGCTAATGGGAAGATAAGAAATGTCATATTTTGGCACAGCTGAAGTGGGGAGAGGGTGAGCAGTAGACAGCGAGAGAGGCTGGGTGAGATACTACGATAACTTCTGATTCATCTCCCCGCCTGCCCCCGGGCGCTTGTCTTCTCACCTTCATCAATATTTCAATTTTTTTTAAACATCCCGCCGCCATAGAGAAACTGTAAATAATTCAGACGGGAAGGCAGAGACAAAGCCTGCCGTGCATTAAGATGTGGTTTACCCTTTAGATGGGGAAGAAGATGGAGGAAGAAGAAAGACGTGTCAACCTTTTAACCTCAACTCATTACAGGGTGACGAGGAAGACCAGAGGAAGGACGGGTTTCTCTATAGAGGGAAAATCTCTACAGTCACCCATTGACATTCATTCATAAATATGTAGAAAGGCAGGTGCTGGTTATCTCACTCCGCTGTAACAAAGAGGTCACACCTTTGAGCCTTGGAACAACCATGGGTGTTTCTCAATCGCGAGTACGCTTGCTTGGTAGCATGTCTTCCGAGTCACTTCCTTCAGAAGCTAGGCAAGAATCCTTCCTGGCATTCGGAAAACGAAGAGTGGAACAGGCTAGCAAGTGTGCGTCATATGAGAGGCCCCGCCTTACATTTTCCGCCACAGATTTGGGGAAATTGGTCCGTGCGCAAAGCATTGTGGGGATTTTAAGGACGCGAAGTCTACTCATGTGCAGCCTCGAAATTTCCCCCAAACCAAGGACGCGGCCTCGGTGGAATTCCAAGTATGCTGGACATTGGAACGGTCCTGCTGCGCCACTTGATGACGTAGCATCCTTGAAATATTGGCTTGGAAGCCAATATCCTCGCGATTGAGAAACGGCCCATGTGTCCTAGTTAAAGGTTCTCCAGATGGATCAATCCCCACACAAGATGAATGGCAAAGATAAAAACACAACTGCAAATTATTCAGTATGTTTTACCAGTGTTTATTTATTTCAATGCAAAGTTGAATTAAGCTTGTTTGTCAATGAACTTATCGAACCATCAGCGGGATGCTTCCTCTTTATCTGAATGCTAAAATGTTGAGAGGAATTCCTAAATAAAACATGATAAACGTTCTATCTATACCATCTTTTTATGAGTCTTATTCAATAAGAGCTGCGCGATATGGGGCAGAAAAATGCGATAATGATGTCAAATATCAAAAAATAAACCAATTTAAGAACTCAGTTGTGTTTTTCCACTGCTTTTATACATATAATAAAAATATAATAACAAATTACTTGCTTTAAAAAAATGTTTTCCAACATTCCAACTGACACAAAAAATAATATATATAAATACACATGTATATGAAAACGCCATTTTCTACTCTTTCATCTAAGTGTGTGGATCTGATGTATTATTGCCTTGCGATGGACATTGTGATGAGATTGCAGTGTAAAATGGCAGGAAATTGCGATAGAAAATGCGTTATATATGTGGTAATGCCTCCTGTCTCACCCTCTCTGTCTATCCATACAAAACCACCAGTGAGCAGGTGAATACACCAAGTTAAAACACCACTAACTCCACCACAAGCTCCAGTGTACGCCCACCACCAATAATGAATACAACATGTCAATAATAAAAACCTTGCAATTGGCTCCTACAGTGTTTCTCTACTATATGTTGTGCAGCATTACATCCACCTCTTACTGTACATTTCGCACTTGTATTTCAAAACCGCTTCTCTCTTCTCTCAACCCTCCCCCCCACCTCTCTCTCTCTCTCTTTCTCATCCTCTCCACTATATTCCTGCTCTGCTGAGAGGACGATTGTTTGCTTTAGCACACTACACTTTGAAGATCACCCTCTTCAAATTGTGCGGAAATAATACTCCATTAAGCAAAGCAAATTAGTCTTCGGTTTAATTACCAGCTCTGTTCCTGCAGTGCGGGTGTGTACCATATTAACTTTATAATCATTTCTTGAACAAATAATTTAAAAAGCAATTCGCCGGGGGGGGACTGATGGAAGCCAATGAATGGCTGTAAAAGGGACAGTGAGAGAATCTGAATGCTTCCTTTGGTAAATAGGAAGCAGGGGAGAGGCCACTTTGGCGTGAATGCAGTTCGTTTATGTTGATTAGAAAGACGTGCATGGGCACTAATGCACACACAGCGGCCTCATGTGTTGCCCCAAATGGATTAAAAAATTAAATTAAAAAGCAACAAAGGGGAGATTACTTTTCAATGCTGTGTTTTAATTGATAAAGTGTTGAAAATCAGGGCCAAGAGCGTTTTTGGCTTAAGCGTAATGGACATCTAGATCTGTTTATGTGATTTTGTGAAAGCCTCACCTGGCTGATTAAGTTGAGCAGAGGTTTTCCTTCTGATCCCACCAGGCAGGTCAGGAGCTGCGGTATCCATGCCAACCACTGGATAGGCGGGACCCCGATGCAGTATTTGTCCACAGCGTCCGCTAAAGTGTTCTTGTCATCGAAGCTGAGCAGCCACAACACCTACAGATGAAGGGAGAAGACACAATTGTGTGAGAAAGGAAAGGAAGGATACTCATTTTCGGACTAGTCCTTGTGACGTTAGCGCGTTTCGTTCCACACTGCTTTGGAGTATTTTGACAAATATTGCAATTGCCATATGATTTGCAAAATTAAAAGGGACTGATTCGTTTTAAAAGATTATTATCCATTTCCATTACAAAATATATTAAAATGATCATGATGTGTGTTTTTTTTAAGAGGATCTTAACCAGTCAAGGATTTTGATGGAGGTCAGTGGAAAAGCGTTTGTAGGTTGGGACTTCTCTTCACATTGCACTAGTCAAAATTGCGAATTCGATAACGTTTTGATGAATTGTGCAGCCCTATACAACACTTCAGTCCGGTTATCGGGGTATGCACCTCTGGTTTGTTTGGAATATTGAATAAAACCATAGCCAAAAGCCCTTGAACTCTTAGCAAACAAGGAAACATGGAGTTTTGTTTGGTAATTAATTGCACATGGAGCCCCATACTGACACCCACTTGTGATATGAATGAAAGGAATAAACAACCGCAGCTCTCAAGGAAGTATCATTAACATGTTCTAAAAATGTCTCAACAGAGTAAAATACTTTTAGACACCATGTATAAAGAGGTAAGGTCTCTATCATCCATCAGACCCTCACTGCCCCCCCTCTGGCTCCGTCACAGCAGGAGAGCAGAAACATCCTGGCATCGTCTCTCTGATCAAAGCAGAGCCAATGTGGAGGTGTGCATCTACATCATGATGACTACATTAACCCCACTCGAACCCCCCAGGCTCTCTACACAGACTGTGTATAATTACTGATAATGACCGGGCATCTCACTTCACCCCCCCAGGAGTTAGCACTGCCAACCGGGCCTGCCAGCACATTACCAGGGTGGGGGAGGGGCTCCAAAATAAACATTTAACTGGGATGTGAAGCTGGTGGTGGCTTTTATTAGAGCAGATAATGGTAGTGATGCGTTCACATGTATTATTAACCAAGCCTGAGTCTTAGAGGAAGCTGCTCTGTGGATGAGTCCCTCTAATCTGACTGTACTATGACTTAGAAATCAGAGTCCCAGCAGGCAGTGGAGTCTTAGATTCTTCCAGCTCATAGATAAATAATGTAAGAAGATATCCAGTTTGCTAAAGTGTTCTAATAAAGCAAAAACTAATTTGCGATAATTTGTCCACTGGTGGATTGTATTAAAGTACTTTTACTCAAGTTCTGAACTTAAGTACACTTTGTATGTTACCATATACCAGTTACTTTATAGAATCAGATTATTAGCCAATTCAAAATACAATTAAACCAATATATAATCATATCGACAGTACTCCATCCTATCACCCAATCATATTACATGTTTTTATTTATTAAAAAGTAACTATGAGGGTTTAATAAATGTAGGAGGGAAAAGTATAACTACGTGTGCCTCTGAAATGCAGTAGAGCAGACGTATAAAGTAGTATAACATGAAAATGTGTAAGTACAATTATGTCAAAATAGTACTTACGTAAAATCGCTTTCCACCACTGTTTTTACTTTTAAATATCTGGTTACTTCTTCCACCACTGTAATTTCTTAAATGTTGTGCTCTGATCATCGGATATCAAGGATAACTTATCCTACAGCAGGTCTTTACCAACTCTCAGTGATTGTACTGTTATGTTTGTAGTTTGTTTTTCATGTATTGTATCGTAACTATAAGAGCAACTAAAGGTCTTTCTGTTAACCTCTGTAAAGACTGGAGGGTTTTTATGTGTGTGTGTGTGTGTGTGTGTGTGCGTGTGTGTGTGTGTGTGTGTGTGAGAAGGTGGGCTGCTTGTTAGCAAGGATCCCCCTCTTTAGCTCCCACACAGGGCTTCATCAACTGGTAAGTATGGCAGCACGGGTCTGACTGCTAGAGAAAGGTCAGTCCTTGTAGAGGGTCGACAGATTGAAGTATCAGGGGAGGCTATAATGGCGCGTTTCCACTACACCATTCCATTAGTCTGTTAAACCCCCCCCCCCCCCCACTGCATGAGGACGGCCTTCACTCCTCCATTGATCTGCCGTGGGAACACATCACACCGTCCAGGTGCACCTGTAATGAATCACTGCTCTCTTCCTGTACCTGTGGCCCAATCTGAGGAGGGGGAAACATAATTTCTGTCCCCTCATCAGAAATAATAATGTGCAAACTGGAGGGGGTTTGGGAAGTAGGGAATTTAAAGTGACTATACCTGAAAAATGTGGATCACATCACTTTGGTTTTGAGGCCTTTAAACTGGCTTTCTGTCTGTCAAAAAATGACCTTAAAATACTACAGTGGGTTTTTAAAGCACTGAATAGTTAAGGGCCAAAATACTGTGAGGACTTACCATGGAAAAGCATAGTTTAGTTTTTATGCTCCATATATTTCAAACAAACTCCCGGAAAATGTACACTGCACTGTAAATTGTATTCTTGTTTTTCATACCCGTCTTATTTTATTTTAACTTGTTCTAATGTGTATTCTCTTGGCATTTTAAAGACTGTTTTAAATGCATTTAAAAGTAATTTTATAATGTCTTCCATTTGTCTTAAAGCACTTTGAACTGCCTAATTGTTGAAATATGCTGTAGAAATAATCTTGCCTCGCCTTGATTGAGGCTATTAGTTGCAGGATTGTTTGTTGACATGCTAGTTTTAGAAGCAAACACCACCAAAAACACACATCTCATTCATAAATCCTCAACATCTGAGGACAAGAGATAAATAAATACCAGTGGTTATCTTTTACCATACGTCTTCACATTCTGCCTACCTCATCCTTGTAAATGTTATCTATAATGTTATTTTAATAATCAGTTCATATAGGATTAGATTAGTATCATGACTGTCTAGTTTTATACTTGTGTGTTTCCTGCTGAAGTTTGCAAATGGTTGACAAAAGCATTGATGCTACAGTGCCACTTCGACATGTAAATATGCAGTTTGGCTGACAATATAATTACTACTTTCTACTGAACTACTTCTATACTCTTGGCTGACTTGACGAATGTCTCTTATGCTGGTGTCTGTGTTTGTACTAAGTGTAATGGATCCCTGACACCCTCTTTCCCAGGTCCCTCCTCACCTTTGCCAGGTATTTGCGGGACTTGCTCTCGTTCTGGTGGCGGCAGGCGTGCAGGTAGCAGGTGATGGCGGAGACCCCGAGGTGGAGCTGCCGGTCTTTGACGAAGATGTTCTCCAGGTAATCCCCCCACATGGCCCAGGCCTTCACCAGGACGTCGTGCATCTGAACCGCCGCCGAAAAGGCTTTATTGGCCTCCTCTGACCTGAGGGACGGAGAGAAGCGTTAGAGAGGGAGGGACAGACAGACAAGTGAAGGGCAAAGGGAGGAAGGAGACAAGGTAGGATTGGGTGGAAGTGAAATCAGAAAAAAAAGAGGGGTTGGAGGAGATGGATGCATAACTTGCAGAGAGGGGGGAGGAAGGAGCGAAAGAAAAGGAGAAAGATGAAGTGTGGGAGAAACAGATTATGATGATCACATTCTGAATGATGTACTACACATCAATAAGCACCATATTTCCTTTGCTGTAAACTTCAAAGTTTACAAAGTGAGCGTTTAACCCAGCATGAATTAATGTCACCGAGGCGTCTTCCTGTGTTGGAGTTGAACCTAACGCCATCATACTGTGCAGATCAATCCATGTAATGCTGGGCGACATTATAGGAGCTTAACGTGTTCTCAGGAACGACAGCGGCAGCAAGGTGAAAAGAATCGCACATTTCTATTGGTATAAATCACTTTAAGAACTACAATCTTGTGCAATAAACCTGCACTTGTATTTCGAAAAAAAAACATACATTTTTATAATACCTCAACACCTTACTTATGTCATTTTCTTTAAATTGCTATTACTCATTTTTAAGCCATGGATATGTACTACTTATTCTATTTCTTCTCTATATTTAACAAGTTAACTTATTAAATATAACTGCTTGCCTTTTTTTACCTGCTGTGCCATTTTCGCGTGACACTGTAACTGTACCAGCTGATAAAAGTAAGAATATTTTGGGATTTGTTTTTGTCTTGGTACAGCAATCTAGAAGTCGCACTTTGAATATTGGATTCAGAAAATAGCAAGCGAGAAATAGACACAGGAAATGTGGCAGGAGACCCCGGGGGTTTGACTGTTCGTTTATGCTGACAGTGAAATATATTCCGGATCATCAGCGGTTTTCACCACAGCTCCTAACCTCACTTTGGCACGCAATCTGAATAATTGTAGTACACCTTTCAGCCTTTGATTAATAAATAAGATGCACCCTGCAGTCGGGAACAGGAGATGTCGACGAGCAACAGTTGGGAAATGGAGCTCAGATTTTAGGAGTGCTTCCAAAACTCCTCTCTGGATTACTTTACGGTGACATCTCTCCCCAGCCAATCAATTAAAAAGTGTTATTATAAAAGGCATTTTGGCATATGATTAAGAAATGGGAGTTTGATTGCTATGGGAGTGAGAGCCGGGACCCCGCGGTAATACTTAATGGGGTTTCCTCCGTCACTGTTGAAGTACATTAACAGTTTCTACTACCCGGCTCAACAGGAGCACCGGCACCCAGCAGACTGTCAAATCTCTGACACCCGTTTAATTGAATGATCCCAAAACCCTTTGCACATGTGGTTGCACACGCACACAGCCTCTCCCAAGCCCTCACCCCCACTCTGCTGTTAATTCTCCCCCGGTGTAGGGGAAACTTAATGATTGCAATAAACCCTGCTGAGGTGGAGGCAAGTTCTGCTGATCGCGGAGATTCCTGCAAATTGCCTCGAGCAAATTATTGAGCCGCATATACATTTAATAAGCCTTCCTTAATTTGTCTTTCACCCCTCAGGAAGACATGTCACCTCAAAAGTTGACGGGTGTAAAGGGGGCGCTGAAGGGGAAAAGGGTGTTGTGGGTGTGCATGGCCTAGCCCTGCAGCAGAAAACACATCTAAACAACGTCACAGGGGGTTACCTAGCGATGCATTCTCAGAGGTGAGTTGGCTTGAGGCAAGAAGTGGTGATTAAATATAAAAATATAAAAACACACACACAGTGTTAAGGGACCACTGACACAGTTTGAGGTTGAAGAAAAAGTAGGACAGGAGGACAGGTACAAAAAAACTAAACTAGGTAGACTCAAATGTCATGATGTCCACTGATAAGTTCAAACTCAATGAGAATTATTTAAAAAGACATGTTATGCTCCTTTCAGGTGTATATCAGTATGTAGTGTCTCTGCTGTGACATGTCTCCATGCTTTAATGTTCAAAAAGCTCTTTATTTTTCTCATACTGCCTGTGCTGCAGCACCTCTTTTCACCCTCTGTCTGAAACCAGAGCCCAGTCTGCTCTGATTGGTTAGCTGGCCGGCTCTGTTGTGATTGGTCAACCGCTTAGATAAGATAGTCAAAAAGAAGACAGCTGGAGCACAGATGGACGTACTTGTTGATTTGTGCCAGGAACATGCCCTTCAGAGCGTAGAACTCAGCAGTCATCTCCTTGGTGAAGTACTTCAGGTTGGTCGACTCGATCACCTCCAAACCCTTAAAATACAAACAAACAGAAGTTTAACTTCACACCGAACTCCAGCAAAGAAACTGTTGTCGTCACAGGGGAGAGGAGAATCGCGCAAAAAAAAAAGATACCTTTCCGATTTGGACAGGGCCATAATCACAGGTGAAAAACAAACAGTCTGCTCGGTGTTCATTAAGAAGTAAGAAAAGAGGTGTTAAGGGAACTAAACTTCCATTATGGTGAGCCTCTGATTAGGTGTCCCCTATGTGCTGCCGTGACAAACGATGTGTAGCCGGAGAGAGAGGAGCAGAGGAGATGAGATAGAAAAGAGAAAGGGAGAGAGAGAAGAGTGTCTACTGGCACTTTTAATGACTTGTGGTGTGCTGAACTGCTTCTATTAATCAGAGTACTCCATGGGCTTAAGAGCAAGCTCCTGAGTTACACTCTCTTATAAGTCTCCCTGCTATAAGTTGTCACCTAGAGCCTTCCCCCAAACACTCCCTACTACCTCACCCACTCCGAGTACCGCTAACTACGCCTGCAGCAGAATCAACACAAGTCCTTAAATCACACTAAATTCATAAAATGTGTTGTTTTTCTTCAGTAGATATTTCAAATTGAATCAGGGTCCAAGCAGCTGCACTGCATTATGGTGAAGGTGTTGCATGGGCACGATATATTTATCATGTTTGGAACAGCCGTAATTAGATTGGTACAAACTCCGTGGAGAGTGATTTTGCTAATAAAATATTTAATGAGTTACTTACAAGCTTATAAAACCGAGAGTGATTTTAAACATGACAAACACACTCGTTAACACACTGGCATTTGTAAAGTGTTATTAATTATGAGTTCCACCAAACAACCCTGGGGCTTAAATGTATTGAGGCTACAACTATTGCCGTTGTTATGGAAAGTATTCTGAATAAACATGTTTTCATTAGCAAAGCATCATATAAGGGTTTTAATTAGGACGGCAGAAGGAATAGAAATTGTAATATGGACTAGTGCTGTACTCAAATTGCAGTAGGAGCAATATTTAGTGAAGTCAAAATACGCTTTCAATGAGGTATTGTGGAGATGGCTATAAACGGCGGAGTTAATAACATTTTTGAATGACACCAATCTTTAAAAAAATCAATAATCATAGTAATAAAAATGTTTAATTTTCCCCGATGTCGCAAATCATATCGGCATTGCTGTATCAGTCAATTTATATTTGCAATCATTTTTTTTCCTGAATTGTGTAGCCCTACTTTTAATGCCTGTAAATGCATGTATATTCACTGCAATGGTCAAACACATAAATAAACAAATAAACAAACAAACAAGTTAGCAAGTAAGATAGCAAGTAAGTAAGCAAATAAATGTGATTCTCTAATTGAAAGTATATATTATAGTCGAGTAGAGAGTTCCCACTGTACCTGCATGCACTCGTTCTTGCCCATGACGCCCGCCAGCTGCAGGTAACATTTGACCTGCTGTCTGATCTTCTGGAAGCAGTCCACGATGGGCACGGTGGGAATGGTGTGGATACGACTCAGAATATCCAGCGCCACATTCACCAGACCCTGGGGGGGGGGGGGATCAAAAACACAATTATAACAGGATCTAAGAACGATACAGTTTGAAGGTTAGGATTCACATTTATTCTGAACCAGTACCTGTTTGCGTCCGATCTTTCCGTACTGAATGATAGCAGAGGCCGAGGCGTGAACTCCCAGCATGGCGTTGTTGTTGTTTGGATCGTGCTGTGTGTTCGTCTCATACGCCGTCACTATGGCTATTAGACAAACACATAAACAATGGTTAAATGATCGAGATGTCAGAATTGAGAAAGTTAGCAAATAGAAGTTAAGCATGTACAAAACTGGGGATTTTCTAGTTCTCTGAAAGCTGTCGTAACGCAGAGGAGGGCATCGGGGACACTGAACGTATTGAACAATAAATGGGCCATGGTGGTGATTTTCATCAAGAAAACTCCATTTCACTTCAACATAAGTTTGAAGGCTGTCACGTAGAAATGAAGTGATTTTTTTATTGGTGCTGCTTCGGTGCGAGTTGGAGCTCAAGTTGCTTGAGACATCACATTTTGCAGTGGCTGCGTCTGCGAATGGGTTCAAAGTCACTGCGGGAGAGAGCACTGAGCAAGGTAAATATGAGAGTGTGTGTGTGTGTCAGTGTGTGTGTGTCAGTATGTGTTATGTCCTGCAGCAAAGAGGGAGTGCTTTAGCGAGCTGACATTTTGGAAATGCAGAGAGACCCTGAGGGGGTTCTGCAACTCGTGGCCTTTTAAAGAAGACTTCTTCCTGGAACTAGTGGAAGCAGCACTCTGAGGAAGTGTCTGCATTAAGTTGTCATTAACGTACAATGAGTAAAAAGTCATGTGTGTGTGTCTGTGTCTGTGTGTCTGTGTGTGTGTGTGTGTGTGTGTGTGTGTGTGTGTGTGTGTGTGTGTGTGTGTGTGGTACCTTGTATGGAAAATGGTATCATACTAAGGGAGCATTTAAAGTTCACCATCTGTTCTATGTCTCTCAACAGGTAGCAACAAATGTCCTAAATGAGTCGTAAATAGGGTTAGGGATATTTAGTGTTGTAAGGTTAATGGTCTTGTCCTTTTGTGGAGTGTACATGTTTCTCCATTTGCTCGAAGATGTGTTTTAAAGAATCCTATATATAGTATGTTTATATTTTCTGTTTGTCATTGCCCCCCCTCTTTTATTCTTGGTGTGAAAATGTGGATATAAGACCCTCTGCAGACCTTCTGACTTTTGTACTTCGCTGCAGACTGCTTGACACTCTGTAACGATTTACCTTCTTGCAAGAATAAACTCCGTAAAAGACCGTCTTCATTTCAGTATAACGGAAAGGTTTCCGGTTTGTCTCAGTAAGTTTCCACCACATACCTTGGTAGTGGTGCTGGCGCCACATGAAGATGCTGCTCCAGTGGGACAGGTCGTCGGACACGATGGGCAGGCGGTTCCTCCAGGTCTTCACCACCGTCTTCATGTCGTGGAGGCTGGTGTTTCGGCCCAGGTTCGCCGGCTGCAGCCCCGAATTAATCTGAGCCGCTTCCTGCAGCTCGATGATCTGCTGCGCCGCCTGAAGGGGAAAATAAAGTACAAAAAAAATCAGCGCTTGACCATTTTATAGTCTTAATATAGTGTCTGGGTGACTTGACCACACTCACTTGACTCCAAACTTTTATGATCCATGCAAGGTGGCTGAATTACAGCTGAATGCTTCGTATGCTTGCAAAGGCTAGCTTTTTTTATTTACAGTTAACATTTGGTGTTCCCAGACAAAGATCTGGTCCAGACTGTGTGCCATCTGCACTTCATCTTGGTAATGTTTTGTCAACATAGAAATGTACGCTGCAAGCCAAAATGATCACCGTCCATCTGCTGTCAGACAGAGACTGGTCACTTAGATATCTCATGGTGTGTTGCTGATACCGCTTTGCTTGCAATATGTTACAAATACTATGTTTTTTTTAGAGCAAAGTAAGTATTTAATTTGATTTAATAATAAAAAAAAGATGGAAAACTTGGACTTGCAGTTTAAAAAAAAAGGTTTTTACATTCCATTTCTTTTATTCTATTATAATTATTATCAATAGCCGCGTTCACACCGGAGTACTTTTCCCCGTACTTTTCGCGTTTAGTTCCGTTAGTACCCCTTAACTTTTACCCCCATTTTTAGTGCCTGCTGAGAGATGGTACTTTCCTGGGGGAAAAAAGTGCCCTAGTTCTGATTGGCTGGGCGAATTGCAAACCACGCCCCGTAAAACTCTGAAATGTTTTGTAGAGCCGCCATTTTATTATCCTCGCATTAGCATTATTAGCATTAGCATTAGCATTCGCCCAGCGCACAGACGCAGAGACTAACTTATGGCTAACTTATAATTATGGCTAACTTATAATAGATACCTCTCTTATTCTGTAAAAACACCAGAATTTTCCTACGGGGATCAACAAAGGTCTATCTTAACTTAACATGTTTGGAGTGTGGCTATAGTTAAGGGACGGAGGAACACAGATGGTGTAAGAGATGTAAAGAACAAGGATTAGGAGGTATATAGAAGGAAGAAGAAGAAAGGTAATAGCAAGAAAGACAGAGTGTGACTGTAATGGATCAAATGACTTGTGTGGTAAAAGCATCAAAAGCATCAAAACAAAAGTAAAAGGCAGAAAGAAATGGGTGAGAAAAAGAGGACTGTTACTGTCGGGGTAATGACAGAAATGAAGACTAAACATGATGCTCGGCTTCAGACTCAACAATCCTGCTGCTGAAAGCCTGCACAAACGAGATGGATCAAAGAAACCAAAACAAATGTACCTCTCCGGAAACCTCTCTAACATTACCCGGAGAAACAGCAATGCCTTCATAGCCCCCTTCTAACGAAACATATTTACCATTATTCTTAACTTTTTTGGACTAATTTTTAGGACAATTTGATTGAATGTGTGTTAAAAGAAACCCAAACACACAACATCATTAAAAAAACAGTCGATATGATTTTATGCCACATAAATAATTTGGAGTGGAAAATCTTTCTACGTTAATTCAATATCTATATATCCATATAATATGGAGAAATGTGAAAATGATAAGCGAGGGCTTCTATCTCACCCCATGAAAAAGAAAGCCTCATTGATTGGCCCAAAGCCGCTTTGTGAACATATAATCAATCATTCCATTATAACTGCTCATCAATCAATATTAATGCCGAGCCTCGTCATCGATCGCGCGGCTGATAATCCGTTGATCGTCAGTCACTGCTAAGAGCTGGGATTTGATGATAACTTGATCCAAATGCTTTCTGAACCCTCCTGTATTTGCAGAGTCCGGGCTTCTCGTTCTCCGAGGCTCATGAAGCCGTGAATGTGAGATGTAGAGAGTTTGGGGGTTGGAGATTTACAACCGGCCGCTCGGCTGGGTGGAGGAATAAATAGCTTGTTTTCTTTCGGTGAGGGTAAATAACTGGACTGCACACACGCACACAATAAGAAAAGAAAGTAGTCACCCCAATTCAAATACCCATTTTGAAAAGATAAATGTAGTGAATCGGAGCGGTGCTGAAGACTTAACCCCCCTTTTGCTCCGGAGTCAAATCTCCCAAAACAAAATTAATTAGGCAATACAATATTTTTCACAATTATCTGTTAATATCAGCTGATGGCCCGTTTCTAACCCTTATTCAGAGCGTCCCATTCATCATGTAAATGTAATTCTGCTGCAGGTATTTAATCAAATGGTATCTGATGGCAGGGAAGTAATTACAGCTATTCTAAACTAACTCTTTCTTCCCTCCTCCTCCTCCTCCACGTCGTCTCTCTCTTCTGTTCACTCTACCTTTTTCAATTTTCTCCTTTTTCATCTTTGCCCCTGTCTATTGTAATCTCTCCGGGGGGACTCAAAGAGGCTTAAAGGGTTTTTGATTTTTTTTTTTTAATCATCCATCTACAATTTTTACAAAATGAAGTGCGAGAGGGAGGCATTATTGGCGTTACTCAACGACTTCTCCGGGCTACTGATGATCTTTGACAACTCTTCACACTGACCCCTACACACTCTCACACACACACCAGAGGTAACACCGTCTGTAGTCACATATGTACAGCTGACTGAAGCTCCTTCTTTGAGGTGCAGGCTGTAAAAACAGTTCTAAGCTTTGGGACACTTCAGGACTTCACAGGAACTGACATCACTTTTCGTAATCATAGTTTGGTATTAGCATCTTTTTGCCGAAAATAATAAGAATAATAAACATTAAGAAAATAATTCGAAAAAAATATATAATAATAATAGTAAAAAAAATTATAAATAATAATTCAAATAATACAAAAAAATTCTAATTACAAAAAATAATAATAATACAAAAAAAATTAAGTTGCATTTCGTTTTTTTGTGAAACCCCTTTTGGTTAATCTGATGTTCCTAAACTGCTCTGTTTTTTCAACAGACCCTGAATATATGCATGTACTATAAAATACAAAATGAACACTTATATCTGTTTTCTAGACTAAAAACAGGTATATTTGATCCTATAAGCAAAGAAATACAAATATAATGCAACTTTAAAGTAATATTTTGGATTAAGGCTGAAGTTGCTTTAAAGATTGAACCCAAAAGAATGGTGAAAAAAATATTTGAATATAATGTTTTGGCAGTGGAAATTGTTGTCTCGAATGACTAATTATGGTAGTGCATTTGAATGATACCAGAGGGTTAAGTCAACATAAAAACGAAACACAGTCCACGCAGAGTCCGGAAAGGACCAAACATAAGAACAGAACAAATCACACACACATCTCAAGTATAAACGAAAGCCAATGTAAAAAGATATGTCTTCAGTTGTTTTTTTAAAAGCTTCTACAGAGACAGCAGAGCGGGTACTGACCTGCAGCAGCGGCGTGTGCACGTGGGACACGATGTGCGGCAGCCGCCTCCACTCTCGGATGGCCAGGCTGGAGGCCATCTCCACCAGCCGCTCGATGAAGTTCAGCTGCTGCTCCTCCGGGTGGCAGATGGCCAGGTAGCCGCGGTGCATGTTCACCTTCCACGCCATCTCCTTAGGACAGCTCAGCTCCACCTGAAACACAACCAGAATGTTAATATACCAGGGTTACGGTGAGATGATTCATAAGAATACAGCTGCTAACGGAAATTCAAAGATTCAAAGGTTTTATTGTCATATGCACAAAGATGCAGTGTAGACATTCTTCTGACCTGAACATATATAATAAAATACAAAAATTAAGCAAAAAGTCTGTATATACGTCAATAGAATATGGGATATGTACAAGAGCAGAATATGAAATTAAATAATGTAAATTAAGACTAAATTAAATACGGTTTATAGCGGTGATATTTATATAAATTAGTATATTGCAAGATGACAACAGGAATGTTTATCTATATTTATTATTTAAATGGAAGTTTTGCTAGTGTATATTTATCTGAGGAGCATACACAGGGTATATGCAGGAATCCTGAAGTCAAATGTAAGACCTTTTAAGACCTTTTTTAAGACCCTTTCCATACATTTTAAGACCTCATCGCCACTTGGAGTTTTAACCGGTTACATTGGCGACACACTTTACCTCACATTGACTATACACAGTATTGATTGTCCTTCCTCCTTATCTTCCAACCATTTGGACGCAAACTTGCATTTCCCCATAACGATGTTGTTTAACAACCGGCGTAAACGGACCTTCGCGCGCTATCAAGCAGTGAGCGTGCGATGTCCTGTTCAGATGACGTCAAATCCAACGGGATGCCATAAATAAACTACACAGAATCACACTGCACACCTACGCAATGATTACATTCAGGCAGACTGTAGAATACAACCTCTTTGGACAATTTATATACTTATTGAAAACAAGCTACAAAATGTAATACCTTGGAAAATGCCCTTTAATACTTTTTAATAGCCTTCATTTTCACTAAATTGATTTATCAACTTTTAATACTTTTTAAGACCCCGCGGACACCCTGATAAATGTGCTGTGATTTCTTGACCCTGCAGCACATCCAGAGCCGATTCCTTTTTACACCCGATTGGCCAGACTCTTTGTCCCCAAGGTGATAAAATAGCACACTATTCTTTCCACTTGTCTCTTTTCCCTGTTATTTATTTATCTTTCTGTATTTTATGTGCACGTACTACTTCTGTTGGTTGTAAATACTTTTTGGTTTGTAAACATGTCTGGTATGCACCGTGAAAAATGATAGTTTTAAAAAGTTTAGCAAGAGTCCAATTTCTTTGTTTCTCTCATCAGTCTTTTCACCTATTCTCCCATCTGCAGTCTTTATGCAATTCAGTTGTAATTGTGTTTGCAAACAACAGCTTAATCTTGCTTTTCTAGGATATAAAGCAATCCATACTGGTAGTAGCACACAGGATAGAGATCAAATATTGACAGGACAAACACTCTAATATATAATAATGAAGTCATTATACAGGTTTTTCAAATAATTGTTTTGTTTTGATCAAAAGTTTTGTATCTATGTTGTGTTGTTGGATATTAGCTGTACATTTCCATTTAAATAAAAACCTTAATCACTGGCGGACAGTAGATGCTAGTTGCAGCTAGAAAAGATTAACACTAAAACTGATACACAGTTGTTGTTGTGTTTTCCGGTGCGTGTTTGTCCGCATGATGTCAAGCAGACACATTCTTCACAGCGCTGGGAGTGTGGTCGTTTTAATTAAATGAAAACATCCGAGGGGAAAGGGCCTATCACACTTCCCTTGCATAATTTAGCACAAACACACAATATCGTTGTTTGCAATTCCTTCTCTGAATGGTTTCAGCAGGACTTTTGTGCTAATGACAAATCAACCTGACGAGTCTGACACGCAGGCGGAGCAGAGGAAAAGGCTCGGCTATTGATTAAAACCCTGAGTGCATTAACAATAAACAAACAATAGCCTGGAGGAAGCTGCTTTGTCACCTGCAGTTTGTGGTTATAGGTTAAAGGAGAGAAAGACAAGAGTGATAAGAGGGGGAAACCGGTAGAAATGAAATCAAATGAGAAGGCATATAGCGTGCTTGTGTGAACCTGTAAATGTCGAGTGCCAGTGTTATGTCAGAAATGTATAGTACGGGTCCCCAGCACATAGAAACTGCCTCAATTAACAGTGTTGCATTAATTAGCATATGCAGACAATAGGAGAGAAAAAAGGGCTTGGCTGATTTGGGCAATTTTGGGGTGGTTTTTTAGGATGTTGAATCAATTTCTGACATTTAAAAGGATCAAAAATGTCATTTTGAGTCCCATATAAATTTAAAATAGACCCAAAATCATCAAAATCAGCCCACTGGGAGTACGAACATGGCCACTTTCTGATTCAAGCTGCCATTTTTTATCTTGAAAATGTCAGGAATTGAATCAACACCATGAATAACATCTAAAACCACACCAAAAGTGTCCAAATCGGCCAAACCATTTTAAAACTATTGTCTGCATATGCTAATTAATGCTAATCTTATGCTAATTGTGCAAAGTGCCCAACATATACAAGTTAGCATCTGGCAGTTTCTATGTGCTGGGGACCCGTACGATACATTTCTAACAGTAAACTTTGGTGTACGCTACATTTCCGGGTTCTCAATAGGACTGGCAAACAGACTAATATGTGAGTGTTTGCGTATGCTCTTCCGATGCCAGAGAGAATTACAGTTATAGGTCGGAGCACACTTATCAGGAGGTGACACTTGATGAATATCCTGGAGACAGAGCTGCCCTTATCAAGAGGAAGCTTTAATTGAAAGGGGGGACATTTGGACTTTCTCTCAGAGCTCGTGAGCGGCGACTGAAAGCCTCGCTCCCCTCCTCTCCATAAAACAAATCACCCCGCAGCAGATGCCCGGGTAATTATTCAGTCGCACAGTTGTCGTAAATATTAACGGCTAAAACCAGAACTGCGGAGCGAGGGATGGAAGAGGAAAGTAGAGGAGGTAGTACTGACAAAAAGAAGAGACAAAAGAAAGAAATGGCTACACAGAAGGAGGAAGGAATGAAACATGGAGGTAAAGCGGAGTTGCTGCTGCCATCCAGACAATTTAATTAGGTGTCACCTCAGGACAGAGCGGCTCAATGGATTGGTTCCAAGTCTCCTCGAAAGAGCAAAGCAGGAGTATTTGTTATACGTCAGGTACTATCACGCGCTGCCCACCCGTCTACAATTTGTTTTAGGCAAATCAATTAACAGCGCTAACAGCTAGCTGCATTTCCATTTCTTCACGGCCACTCTTCCCCCTGTGGGAGTTGAGGGGCAGGAGAATATCAAGTTACCATATGCTGACACGAGGTCTGCGCTTAATATACAGCACTGTACCGGAAAACAGAAATACAGCTGAGGCTCTGGTTCACTGAGTTCAACCCCAGAGGCTCCGCTGTGTCTGTGATTGTGTTAGCGAGGAACTTGTGGTCGTACTTTCTATTTTCGGTCAAACTGTTGACAGAAAAAAGGGTGTCTGCAACTCCTGGGAGACAGTGAGAGCACTTCTGTCGTGTGTTTCATGAGAGTAGAAATCCATACATGAATATATGCTGTATGGGGACTGAGCACTTCTCACCTGCACCAGAGCCTCCTTCATGGCGGCCCAGTTGGAAACCCTCCAGGCACACTCCAGCATGAGATAAGGGTTTGAGTGACCTTTGGATTGGCCGTATTCAGTCAGAGGTTCCCACTGGTTCAACTCCTTAGAACAGCTGTGGACATGAAAAGTTAAGGCGAGTTTAAACAGCTCTTTCTCGTAAATATGCCACACATGCTGTAACTTGTATACACTGTCAGAAACAGGAGATCCTAGGTTTCCATTGTTATCTTAACACAAAACATAATGACTGCTACAGATCCACCATTATGAGATACAAGAGAGAAACTCCATCTAGAGCGAGCAGAAGGATTTTAGCCTTTGCAGACCATTTACATGCACACAAACCCATACAACACACTAAAGGAAAGGGAGAACCCTTAAAGGCATAATAGGGCCCCTTTAAGAGGGACCACCAAACTTAATATTAAGGGGGTACAGACTGATTTTAAAGGAGTGGGTCACAAATTAGGTTAATATCCTTGAAACAATACATGCTATCCTTTTATAAGCCCAATAGAGAAGGTGTACACGGATAGAAGTTCACTGCTTTTCATTTTGACCTTTTTTTCCTCTGAATGTTTTGCATGGTAAAATACCCCAACGATGGAGGCAAAATACACTTAATAGTGGACACAGTAAAATGACAATAATGGTCTTTAACAGGCTACAGGGTTCATACACTTTTTCACCAATGATTTTCAATGACTTTTCCATGACCTTTACCTAATTTTCCATGACCAAAAAAATTACTCTCTCAGCAGTACCACTGAAAATGGTTTATTTTAACATGGAACAGGAAAATAAGGTCTGCATATGAAACATGTTGTGCCTATCTAAAACAAATCAAATAGTAGGCGTACTAGCTTCTACACGCTAAAGCAACTAAAATCTCTCACCAGCAAAATACCTCGTCAGTTAAATGCCATTTTACGTTTCATTACTATACGATACAGTATTTATTATCATTATCGTATTACTATTTCGTCGATTAGATAAAATATAAATTATATTTGATGCAACTTTAGTTACATTTCCATGACTTTTCCAAAACTTTGGGAAAAATATTGTTTTCCAGAACTTTTCCAGGGCCTGGAATTAGCTTTTTGAATTTCCATGACTTTTCTAGGTTTTTAATGACCGTAAGAACCCTGAGGCAGGCATACAGCTGACGTGACGATAATCACGATATGCGCATGCGCGATATTCACATCGCAGGATGTACGATTTTTTTTAATTTTTAATTTAATTTTTTAGGACGTGCGATATTAAGTAGGCAAATGAACTCAAACACGTCATGTTACAATTATTTTGCTGCTTGCTACAAAAGGAAAACTTGCGCGGCTCTCATGTCAGGGGTACTTGAGTGAGTGACAGCAAACCACCAATCACAATCAAATCTCCAAAGCAAGCGGACACGGTGATTAAAAGGTAAAAACACTGAATAAAGTAGTTTCATGTGTTTCTCCAGGGCAGTTCGGCACTGCTAACCGAGCTAGCTCAGCTTGTTGCTCTGATAACTTAAGATCCAGACGTCTGTGACTAAAATCCTTCATCCGGTTAAATATAGTTAGAAAAATACCAATTGTATAGCATTAAAGTTCAAGAAAGGATGGTTTGCGGGGAAGAAAACTGTCTTTTCTTCAATTCAATGTTTTCATATCGCAATATATATCACAGGGGGGAAAAAAATGTCAGTTTTTTACAATATCGTGCAGCCCTAGCTGGGAGAGTGATTTGGTTCTGCAGGGAGGTTGTCCTAAATTCAGACACATCAAAAACGGGTTTGATGGAAAGTTTCCCTGCTGACAGAAACATATTTTCCCAGAAACAGCATCCTTATATGCAGACACATTAGATTCAAGATTCAAGCCAGCAAAGATAAAGATGACATGGACAGATTCTAAAAGTAAAAATGTACATATCATGAAGGAAGTCATTACATTCTTCTAATATGGTGGTTTCTGTATTCCCTGCTGTATAATTCCTGCAATAAATATAATCAATTTGATCTAGTTTGAACGATCAATGGTGATATATATGGAGGGTATTAAAGCAGAAACACGAGGTGTGACACAAAACTCCAGAAGTCTCACCGTATCCAGTGATCCTCCCACAGCTGGTACTCGGGGAAGATGGCGGGGGAGACGTTGCTCCTCTCGTGATCCTTCCTCGCCTTCTCCATGGCCTTCTCGTAGCTCTCCTGGGCCTGAACACACACGCGTAACATTTAAATGCACGTTTTTTTTAAGCTAGTGAAAAGATCAGTGGAACATTCCTGCATGGTTTAACTATCGGCTACATTTTTATATATAAATGGGCCCGATATAAAATAAAAAAAACACCTCTTAGTGAAACTCAATATCATTTAACTGCCACGCAAATTACAGCCCATAAAGTTAAATAACACATTCATGGAGGTGGGATTAATCTGCAGGGACTAAGGCTGCACAATTTGGGGAGAAAAATACGATATGCGGATCAGGCCTTATTAAAATGATATATATTTTACTCAATAAACTGTATATGAATTGTTCAGCCCTACGGTGAACCCAATACATTTGAAACTGTGATTAATAGAATCATACATACTGTATATTTTAATGTGGCTTTTTTTCGAGCTTTCTCTCACCTGTTCAAAGAAGCCGTGTTGCTCGTAGGCGATGGCAGTGGCGGTCTCAGGGAACTTGCACCTCTTCTGCCACAGACCGGCCCACATGTCCTCCTCCTGGAGCAGAGAGTAGAGCTCTGCCAGCGAGTCCAGGATCTCCTGCAGAGAGGGAGAACCAAAGGTTAATGGAAGCAGAACAAATAGAACCGTTAGAAGGGATGAAACTGTAGATTGAATCAGGGCAGTTTTTATTAATGAGGCCATTTTAAACATGACAAGAAAATACAACTTTATATAAGCAATTATTTGCAATGAGGCTTTCTAAAAAAAATCAATATCCAAACACATTACCTGTTGCGGGGGTGTGATGCTCTCCTGCTCGTAGAACTCGGTGCTCTGCTTGGGTTTGCTGTGCAGGCTGAGGCCCTTCTCGAAGGCCTGCTGCTCCAGCATCAGGGTGGAGCGCAGCCACAGGTTGTGAGTCTTCCCCAGGTACTTCAGCACACAGGGGCGGATGGGGATGGGGGGTACGCACTGAGACATGGCCTCCACGAAGCAGTTGAGGGCGCTGGGCTGACAGTCCCTCTGCGCCTGGTGGCTGCCGCTGCACAGGAAGGGGCTCATCTCTCCAGACAGAGCCTGGAGGGGAGAGAGAGAGAGAGAGAGAGAGAGAGAGAGAGAGAGAGAGAGAGAGAGAGAGAGAGCATCAAATACACAGTTTCACTTAAGTGGCATTGCACTGATACGGCATATTGATAAAGGCATTTTGTTGCATGTATGGGATGCAATGTGATGCGCTTTTCCAGTAACAGAGATATGGTAAGAAACTGGAAGAAGAGAGGTGAGGGGGAAAAGGTGACATGGCTGGGAAGTGACAAACAAAAAACACTTCCAAAATGATGCGACATACAGAAATGTGCCAAGAATATAACTGTTACTGGTATTTGGTATAAAAAAAAAAATATGTGACTATTCCTGCTTCTCTCCCTCTTTCATTAATTATCTCAACAGTTCACGAGCGCCCCCCCCCCCGTTGACAGTTCATGATCCTCGGCACACCGATCCCAATTATTTATTTTTTTTAAATGGCACTTCATATCAAAAAGGTTGCCGACCCCTGCTCTACGCAATCAAAGCCTCTCAGACGGCCACATTTGGACATACAGACTTTTAAAATATGGCCGCCGAGTTGGTGCTCTGATAATTATGACTGACACACACTCAGAAATAAATGATGAACTGGTAATGAATATAATTTCCACTGCCCGTCCACGGCTCAGTGTAATTAACGCCTTGATGGTCACTTTAATTAGCCTGGTGGTGGAGAAGGCCAATAAGTCATCAAATTCCTTCCTCAGAAGAATATGCTTCTCTATCATCACCATGTCATAATCCCCCCCAGAGATATAGCGCCTGAGCACCAGTAATCACTCTATTTTCACCATTAATTCATAAAGTGTATTAGTGGCATGAAACGCAGGCATCAGGATAAACACATGTGACATATTTGTGACTCCATGTCTGTCACAGGAGGAAAATATCATCTTTTTGAAGACGTCTGTCTATTGACGGCATGTTTAAGAGCTCAATCACTTCAAATCATGGCCTTCCAACGAGTCTCAAAAATACTCTATACGCATCTGGTTCATTAAACTCATTACAGCTTTCCTCTCTGTCCTTTCTCGTCGCCGTATTTAGCATAAATGAATCTGTTCTCATTAAGTGGAATTGCTTGTTTTGAGACAGGACTGGGATGGCCAAGGTCAGATTTACTTTCTGCCTGATGAGATGCTGAAAGGGAAATCGGGACTTGATGAGTTTGTACACAATGAGAAAAAAATAAGCAATGTGCAAGATACAAATACTTGGAGAGGATATAAGTGTGCACCTGTCTTTATGCTGTATGAGCCGTACAGAAAAACAAGCTGTGCATGAAAAAATATAAAATACCTAACAGTGAAAATGTACCACAAGGCTAGATGGGCATCTTTTTATGATGCAAATGTTCGTCAAGCATGCACTTCTTTTTCTTATTCAAGACTCAACCTTATTGTCATTCCACAGTACAACAAAATGCAGTTGGCGACGGTAGTAAAGGGCATGAGTTATCAATGAATTCACGTAAAGGCCCCGGACACACCAACCCGATTTTGGCCATCGATAGATGTCTGGCCGCCGATGAGCGTCCTGTCGCCCTACTCAGATTGTTGTGTCCCGCACCGTCGTGTCTTTTCGGGCGTGCCGACACCTTCCGCCGCACTCTGATGGGCTGTTCAGCTTAGCGAATCAGTGCATGAGAAGCGAAACGGAAGTGAGGGACCCAAACAAACTATTAAAGGTGGGGTAGGTACGTTTGAGAAACCGGCTCGAGATACACTTTTTGTTATATTCCATGGAATGCTCTTAACATCCCGATAGCAATGAATATCTTAAGTGCTTTGACAAAAAATCCATAAAAGAAATGTCATCAGTGGAAGCCGTGGTACTGTAAAAAGTACGACCAATCATTTTAGCCGGCCCAGCTAAAATAACTGGATGGCCTACCTGCCTGTCAGCCTTCCATCTGTGCACAAACTTATCTCGTGCCCTCATTGGTCATGTGCGCGTTCGTGTGTGTTGGAGGAGGGGCTCTGTAAGGAAGTGGCAGATTTTCTCCGGTTGTGTATTTTCAAATTCTAGAGATCTCGAGCCGGTTTCTCCAAAATTACCTACCCCACCTTTAAGAAGGCAAATCTGAGATTTCATTTAACTCCAGCTCTCGACACAGGTTCGGGAAAGCCCCATGAGCTTCTCGCTGTAGAGTGAAAATGGAACGCACACGCTATTTGTTGTTTGTTTATATCGCGCAATCTGTTCTTCTTCTCTCTGTGTATCACGCAGTCTGTCTTCCGGTTGCCTCTTTTGAATGACAAATACACACTACCGCCGCTTGCTGGTAAGGAGAGTTATTGCCACTCACACATGCGCAGTTCCTACGTGCTACTTGGCCGTCGGCTGAAGTCTTTGGTGGTGTGTTCAGGGGCGAAACGTGGCCAAGAGACGTGAGGCGACACAACAGTCGTGTTTCGTCGGGAAGTGTTCTTTGGTGTCAGTCTGGTGTGTCAGGGCCGTAAAACAGAACCATGCTGTAGTAATGTTTCCTGTTACGGCTGCTCAGGATGTCCATTTTTACATCAAAAGCTTCTATTGAGGTTTTTATGATGAAGTCCGTTGTTTTTTCACGACCTAATCTTTTTAATACTAGAACAAAATCCTCAATTTGAACAGAGAGATTCTTCGGATTAAAGGAGGACGTCTTTTTCTTCTTTAATATAATATGTCACTACGATCCGCAGTGAACATTTGAAAAGGCAAAACCCCCCAAAAACATGGATTAAGGCAGAAAACATAGTAGATAGAAAGTGGTAAAGAAGAGTTTTTCAAGCATTTTGGAAATGACTTAATCATTAAAAATGTTGACTTTTGGTCTTTACAAAACTGCGATCTAATTCTCCTAATAGTATGATACTAATAATATTAGTGTAGCCTAATCTAAATCTGCTACTGAGCAGAAATACAGGGTTTAAATATTCAAATTCAAATGTTAGTTTGGCATTTGAATGTCAATGGTCATGGATGAAGCTTCAAACTAATTGGTACATTATATTAATATACTTTTGATATACTTTTAGTGGTTCCTAGAGTCCTTAAAAGTAGATTAGGAGTCAGAGCGTTCCGCTAACAAGCTCACTTTCTTTCGAACAAACTTCTTGTTATCTTGTCTTTTAAATTATACTCTTGTAATACTTTCATTCGTGTTTGGTAATCTGTAAAGCCCACTGAGACAAACATGTTTTGTGATATTGGGCTATATAAATACACTTTGATTTGTATCCAGCTGAAGTTACCAGCCCTACTTGCTTGTATACTCTGGGTAATTACTAGATAAAGACCAGTAAGTTGTACTCACATGCTGCTGCCTGTCGGAGAGGATCTTCCAGAGGCGAGGGAAGAGCTGAACCCAGGTCTTCTCAGCCAGCGGGGTGGAGATGTGGCAGAGCTGCACCAGAGCGTTCAGCAGAGCCCCCGTCTGAAAGAAATACATCAAATCAAAATGTATTATAGCCCCAAATCACAAGAAATGCCTCAAAGGGCTGTCGAAAAGCAAAGACAACATACACACGTCACAGCATAACAATTATACATCAACATAAGTATTGCCATGTGATAAAAGCATGTAGTGATGGTACTGTTGAAACACAGACAGCTGCTGACTCAGCAAGGCTCTGGATCCGTGTCTGCTGATTTACTTTCGTACTGGGTGGTTAATTGTATTCGAATAAACTTCCAGGTTAAATCGAGTTTTATTTTATAGCAAGAATAAAAGCAGCAGGTTTCTGGATCATGAAAAACTTCTGCACAGCATACATTGAAACTGTTTTTTTATGAATATGATGTTCAATATGTTTTATAGTAGCCCCTGGGTAATTCGGGTAATTCTGGAAACTCCACAACGGTTAGATAAATCAATCCTTGCAGTTTTATCAAGATCAAATCAGCTTCATCAGCCCCTCAGTTCACTGTAGAACAGATCAGAAGCTGGCTTTAGAGAGACAAACGTACCTTGACCTCCCGTAGTGAGTCGAGGAACTTGTCATGGCGGTTAGTCAGCATGTGAAGCTGGTTTCCTGCGTCTTTCTCCGCCTGCTCCTTACTCTTTGGGATGGCTGTTTGATCACCTGGTGCCAACTCTATGTCTATCTCCACATCCTGCCAGACAAGAGAAGAGAAGGAAGTGTGTATTGTCAGAAAACTTCGGCAGCAAAGAAGCAATACTTCACATCAACATTTGGTAACACACCAAGCAATAAAATTGTCATTCATGTTTGTAAACGTGTCTTTTTTGTGTGTGTGTGTGCGTGTCTCACCTCCTCCTTGGTCTCACTGTTCTCTCTCTCACGTGGCTCCTGCTTGACATGCGTTGCCATGGCGAAGGCGGCGCGGTCGTGGCTGTCAGCGAGGTTGATGACGTTGGTAATTGACGGCAGCATGGAGCCCTGGCAGCTGGTGCCGATGATGGTGTTTCGCTCACACACCGCCAGCAGCAGCTGATAAGAACGAACACACACACACGGTAGTTACAATATCAAAAAATAATTGTACATAGGAACACACTGACACTGTCCGACTGACACTGTGTGAGTGTGAAGGTAAAACATCACAGATAAAGAAACATAAGATGATGGAGAATTATGTCCTTAGTAATAACTATTTTACTTGTATTAAAGTTGCGATATGATTCACAATATTCAAGGGATTGATCATTTTTACATCACTATTCTCATTAAAACACATATTAAAGATGATTATCTGTACCAAACAAGGACTTTTAATGAGGTCTGTAGGATCGGATTTGTAGCCAGGACTTCTCTGGAGTACCAAAATAAAAATATAGCATGATGTTTTCACATATTTAGCCTTTAAAAAGGGGCCATATGATGCTCATTTTCCCTTTCCTGTACCTTTTTAAACATTAAATCATGTCAACATGTCACACTACAGGAAAGGGAAAACCACCAAAAGCATATCAGGGCCCCCTTTAAGGAAATATTGCACTAGTCCATCGTCGTGCAGCCCTAGTTACCTCTATGCACTGCTTGATCCAGAAGTGGCTGCCCATGGCCTCCCAGTTCTGAGAGCAGCAGATGTAGAGCAGCCGCTCGTAGACGCGCCGCTTCATGGAGGAGTCGAACACCTCAAAGAACTTGGCTCTGATCAGCGGCTGAGTGCAGCGGAGCCCCGAGAGGAAGGCGGGCTCCAACTTGGACGTGATGTCACTTCCTGAAAGGCTCTCATCCCTGGATAACGGGCAAAACATTTATCGGACAGAGCTCACATGCTGACTCGTACACAATGTAACTGGTATGATGATGATGATGACAGCTGAACACTGACTTCTTTTGATGATAAAACACTTCATCAATTTTTTACAGCAGTCACTGAGCAGGCAGTGATGCAAAAGCTAAAACGACCACAGAAATATAATACAAATTGGGAGCACCTAAACTCTGCAAAAAGGCCACAGTTTTTAAGCCTATAATATTCAGTTATTGTTGAGTATTTCTATAGATGTGTGCTGACCCTTTGGCCAGTTTGAAGCCGTCATCTCTGCTGCAGATGTCTTTTATTCAGGTCAATTATTCTTCCTTTGAAAAGTTGATTATTACAAATCCTCTCTTCAAACTCTCCCCTTTCTCCGAGCTTCATTTGGTTACGTAACTTGTTTTTTAAGCTGCAGCAACTGGACTGACAATCCTCACTCCCAGTGGCACTTGACTTTATGTTTTTGTCCTTTTGTTAACATTTGCAAATCAATATATTCCTCAAAATGTATGTTTTTGTTTCTTTACAATTACTACTAGTTATATTTACAGATATGTTTCTTGCTTTGCTGTATAAATGTAAACTAATTACACAAACGACATATTAGCAGAATGCAATCTTGTTTGTGATTAAGCGCTAATTTACTAATATTGCAGGCGTGTATGAATCTAAACATATCACATGCACAAGAAAATGATTCCATGGCAACAAGGTGCCAGCATGTTTTAACAGCTGTGTCGTGCACCATCACTGAAGTGTGTGAGGACCGCAGTTAACACTGAATATTCGGTGATATTTAGACTTTCTCATGTGGATAATGTACTGTTAGTATAGCCCAAACCGTCATACATTAAACACTTAAATAACATAATTTCTTGGATGTGATTAACGTAACAGGAGGAGACAGTGAAGGTGGGATAAAAGCAACAACAAAGGCAGCGCTGCATGTGGTCCCTATTTGTAATTTCTTTTAATCACACATTGTTCCGGCACAGCTGCTTTTTCATTTCCATCATTACTCGCTGTCCATCATGGCTTTACGGCTCCTTCTAAATCTTCTGACATGAAGAGCCGATGTAGTGGAGGGATAGAGGGATGCATTTGGCTGATTAAGTGTGTGTGTGTGTGTGTGTGTGTGTGTGTGTGTGTGTGTGTGTGTGTGTGTGTGTGTGTGTGTGCGTGTGTGAGACGGAAAGACAAAGCGATGCCAGGTTTGATGAATAGCGGGCAGTAGGGCAGTGTCTCCCCTCTAACCCCCCCCCCCCCCCCCCCCCCCGCTGGGTGTCCTGTCAGGAGTTGGTCCTCACGCTACTGTAGCGCTGGGGAAAAGCCTGGCACGTTATCTATCCGTCTCCATCTCCACCTGCTGTCTGTCTGACCCTTTCTGCACGATGCCACATCTCCATCTTTTTCTTATTAACTTAATACATCTCTGCTTTGATCACCATCAGCAGCTAAAACCCTCTTTAACTGTGCAATTCAGCAATAATATCTTAGTTAAAAATAACAATTTATTATAGTAAATAAAAGAAAAACCCTAATTTAGGACGAATATCTTATCCGAACCACTGCAAATATTTTAATATACATATTTGTATGTATTGTTGTTATATTTACTTAAACTTCTGATGTTTATTTGTTATTTTAGTGCACATTCTTACTTTGATTTAATTTGTTCTAATTATTTAATGCTCCTATAATTTAATTGTATTATATTTCTTTTACATATTATATTTTGTTCTTATTTTTATATTTATTTAAAAATGTTTCCCAAATAATTTGTATGCAATAACTATATATAATTACTTCTTACGGTTGTATAAATTCTTTAATTTTAAAATAAAGTAACTGTCATTAAACCTTACCTCCTCCAGATAAAAAGAGTACTGATGAGTGATGAAACACCAATGACTCCAACTGACCCCCCCCCCCTCCCCATTTTCCATCGCTCCAACCTCCCGCGTCTTTACCCGCCTCACGCCCCCCCCCCCCCCCGACCTTCATCCCTCCCGTGAAGATGGATGCAAGGGCGGCAAGGCGTCGGCGGCACGGCCATTTGGCCATGTGATGAATGGCGGTAATTACCTGTAGACGTAATTAACGAGGTCCAGGAACTGGCCGTTTAACTCAAGTTCATCGGGGAAACGCTTCTCTATGTAGGTCATCATCTTCACCAGCAAGATGGACTTCTCTCGGAGGTTGGGCATCTAGAAGAGAGATGTCGATTAGAAAAGAGACACAGAGGAAAGGTGACAGAGGGGAGGAGGATCAAAAGACAGATAATCTATTTGTAAATGTAAATGCATCTCTGGGTCCAGCTCGGCCATTTACTGTCCTTTGAAAGCTCTAAAGAAAATAAAGACACCTCTGAGGGTATTATGCTAATGGGACCCTCGCTGGGTTGAGAAAATGTGCTTTGCTTGTCCAAAGGTTTCACACGTTGGAAAATTGCTGATTCGCTTCTCTGATTCCCACCTGCTAGTATCAAAGACATAATGCGACGATCTGCTGAATCTCAACTTTATGCTTGTTTGAAAACACAATATAATTTGAAGTTTTTTTTACAGTCTCCTCTTACCTGATTGGCCGCCATGGGAGAGTTGTTCTTCACCCACTCCTCCACGATCTTGACGACGGCTCGGAGGATTTTGGGGTCAGGTGACTTCTCAATCAGCGAGGTGAGGATGACCTGGATGAAGTTCTTCCTCATCTCCATGCTCATGACTGACAGGCGAGTCTTCACCAGGTCGAGACTCAGCATCACCAGCTCACTGGTCACTATGGGAACAGAGCAGGTAACTTTAGGTAAATTAATTAGATAAGCAATACAGGCACAATCCTAACAGGGAACAGCCTCTCTGGTCAGATAGCCTCTGGTCTTTTAACTGCGCCTGGTGGAGGGTAAATGTCTGTGTTCTCATTTAGTCATTAGGGGCCAATTTAAAACCCCGATAGCATCTTACAGCCATTACCTCCATCTGAGAAGCAACAGGAGTTACGCATTTACAGACTGACTTCTATAAATCTAGTGAAGACAATGAACCGTGATGAACTCTTGTAATAAAAAAACGACATTTGTGAAGCTCTCTGCCTTTGCTGTGTGACACACAAGGCTCAGTGCCATGCTTCAAACAGTGTCTACTCTTTTTAAACTTGTAGCAAAACGGCACAAGGTCACCATCTGTTTGCTTTAGAGACAATACAGGGTGGGAACCAGAGCGGAGGAGCGTTCCCTGTGAAACCAGACTGTATCTGTAGAGAGGATCTCCTCTGACCACAACAGCTACTGAGAACAGAGCTGGGATCAGTGATTCAAAAACTTTTGATACGGTCTTTGAATGGAGCCTGATACTGCTGAGGAACCTGGGATATCTGAGCTCTAACTGACTCTGAGGAAGGTCAACATAAGAGTGTGCTGTTCACAACTGACCTCACACACAGAAAACCCCTTGGATCAGGTTTAGGGAAAGTACACACACTAGCTTTCATGATAATGTCAGCTGTAACTGCAGAATACACTCAGCTGATATGGTAATTGGTGTGTGGTGCACTGATGGTGACTCATGGTGCTGTGAACTGAAGAAGTAAGGTGAGTTGTCAGGATGTGTTTTGTACCTGTGCTGGTCTCAGTGACCCCCGGGGTGGCCGCCTGGGGGCTCAGGTGTTCCCGCACCATCTTCTGCAGCGAGCGCATGAACACCGAGATGAGCCGGTCGATGTAGCTGGCGTTGTAACTGCAGGCCGACTTCAGGATCATTAGTGTTCCTGGAAGACGAATGAAAGGGGAGAGAGGAGGATGAAGAAGGGGGAAAATGGAGAAAGACAACATATGACAAGAGAAGCTCCGGGGGGAAAGTAACAGACACACACCTGGAGTCAGCTGTTCATTCACACAGCATGACAACTAAGGTTGGAATTTGAAGTTTGTTACAGAGCCTGCTACCTAGAAGGGATACTTACGTTAAAGGGGCCTTATTCTGCTCATTTCAGGTTTCATCATTGTATTTTGTGTCTCTACTGCAGGGTATATGCAGGAATCCTGAAGTCAAATGTAACACCTTTTAAGACCTTTTTTAAGACCCTTTCCATACATTTTAAGACCTCATCGCCACTTCAAGTTTTAACCGGTTACATTGGCGACACACTTTACCTCACATTTCCTATATACAGTATTGATTGTCCTTCCTCCTTATCTTCCAACCATTTGGACGCAAACTTGCATTTCCCCATAACGATGTTGTTTAACAACCGGCGTAAACGGACCTTCGCGCGCTATGAAGCAGTGAGCGTGCGATGTCCTGTTCAGATGACGTCAAATCCAACGGGATGCCATAAATAAACTACACAGAATCACACTACACACCTACGCAATGATTACATTCAGGCAGACTGTAGAATACAACCTCTTTGGACAATTTATATACTTATTGAAAACAAGCTACAAAATGTAATACCTTGGAAAATGCCCTTTAATACTTTTTAATAGCCTTCATTTTCACTAAATTGATTTATCAACTTTTAATACTTTTTAAGACCCCTCGGACACCCTCTACTCGGACATGATTCCATGCTTTAATGTTTAAAAAGCTCTTTATTTTTCTCATACTGTCTGTGCTGAGCCCAGACTGCTCCGATTGGTTAGCTCTGTTCCGATTGGTCGATCGCTTAGAGATGTCCCGCCCCTAAGCATATCACGTATGTGTTGGAACGGCTAGCCAATAAAAGCTTGATTGTTTCATAAAGATGTGACTTGTTACAGAAGTAAACAAAGGAGTGCAATGGAAGCTTCTTTGGGATTTTAGCCTTTGCAGACCATTCACAAAAAAACCTTTATAGGGCCCCTTTAAAATATCCCTCCCCCCCCCCGCCCATCACATCAGCTCTACCTCTCTGTGACAGCAGGATACCAAATGCGTTTTATTGACTGCCATTTTGGGAAACCCTATAAAAATGGCATTACCTTCACGGTCCTCTCCAATAACCATTCATCACCTTGAGGGCCCTTTATTTGGGAAGCTACAGCATATTTCAAATAAAAAGAAAAGAGATATCTCATAACTGTCTCCTTGGAATAAGCTGTAATATCTATATATATATATATATATATATACTCTGACATCTGGGAAGACAACAGTAATGTTTGAACAGGGAGGGTAGCCAGAAGCAGCAACCCTACCCGGGACAACCTTCCCCGAACCGCTGGACTGTGGCCTGGGTTTAAAAAGACCAGATGTTAGCCCGAGCAGCAGGGCTCATCGGCTCGCATTTTAACGACCCACTCAGCGGCTTAATTGCTAAGGTGGCTTGGTATTGTAGGGATAGAGTGGGAGTGTGAAAATTATTATAATTTTTTAACGCAGAGTTTATGAGCAACAAAGGGAAGGTAACAGAGCACGAGGGATAAATGAGAAGAAGGAAAAAGCGTAGAGAGGTAAAGGTCTTACCGAAGAGCTGTGTGGGGTTCGTGTTGCTTGTGGCTTTCTCATAGTTGGTAAGCCCCTCATAGATGACCTTGCCCACAGCAGCGTACAGACACTCCAACTCCTCATACTTAGATGCCACTGTTGACGTGCCTAGAAGGAGAGAGCAGTGTGTGAAAATCAGAACGTAAATCAATCAATCAATGGTCCACATATTTCCACACATCTTTCATAAACACAGACTTTGTTAAGATGCGTTCACACTAAGCAAATGTGTTGCGCGGCGCGATAACATGTCAATTCAGTGCAAAGACGTGGATAGACGCTACTTTCTACATGTCTGTATGACGTTACTGTGACTGTCGATGAGAGCAGCTCCTCTGTAGCGTAGCCTAGCTGGTCGATCCGGTTTCCATTCAGATAACACACATTTTAAAGGGTTTTGCCAGCCGTCTTGTAAGCACACTTTCCAAAGCATTGACTTTACTAACCGGTATCAGTATGATGTTATTTCAGCATCATTGTGATACCTGCATTACAATTACATCACGGTAAAACATGTTCATTTAGTTGGTGTTTACATGGAGATAAGCCCCGTTGCCCCGTCAGCGCGTCTAGTTAGCCTGTTAAGCCCCGAGCCTGTTTTTCAGGTTTCAGGCTCGAAAATGACATGCCCAAAACAAATGACTACAACTTAACTTCTAAAAGGGTTATATGAATAATTTCTTTTATCAAAGCAAGGTTACATCTGTGAGTTGGATGTAGAAGTGTCAGAATCAATATAGATTTTTCTCAGTCAGAGTAAATTCAGATGGAACATAGCAAAAAAAGCTAAATTCTTACCTCCGCCTAAAGAAAAAACATTACTTATAGTGAAAACCACCCTTGGATGATGGGTTAGTAGACTAAAAGCTTTAGGAATCCAAACTATAACATATAATAAGTACCCTGTATCAAGATTGAGGCAAAACAAGTTAAATTTGACCTTTTTAGAGAGGTTTAGCAAAAAAGGTTCCAGGTGGAATAAGCTTTCGGCACATTTGGGTACATCTGGTTCCATCAGTGCCATTTGACCTTTTTCAGGTACCAGACTATACAAATTGTGTATTACATTGAATTATCACCATAGGTATTCATTCCATCCAAAAAAAAAAAAATAAAAGAAAAAAAAATTATAAAAAATAAAAAAATAAAAAATAATTGTTTTAATTTGTGGAGAAAAAAAAAGACCCGCCGACGGGGTCTTTGGGGCTTAACAGGTTAGAGTGATGCAAGTTTACACAGATGATGACATGCAGTGCTTTCCTGAGTTTATAAATAAAGCTGGATTGAAACGGTTCAAATTAAAGCATTTTGCACTCACTAGGCTCTGTGGGGAAGATGCTCATGAGGCGGGACAGGAGGGAGTGGACAGCCCGCAGGACTTTGGTGTTTCCGCAGGTCATGCACGCAGCGATGCCTCTCTGGAGGGGTTTAAAGTGAGCCAGGATGGCCGGGGACTGCAGCACTGTGAGCAGGAAGCAGAGGATCTCCAGTCCAGTGCAGATGTTGGAGATGTTAGCCGCGGCTGGCTGCTCCTGAGAGGAAAACAAAGCGGAGAACAGGAGGTCAGTGGAGTTAAATAAGTACATGAATCATGTTACAAAGGCCTTTTGTATCCTGGTCTTCATATCAAGGTAAATATCCAGGCTTATAAGTCTAGACATTAGAGTACGACCCTAGAACAAAGCAAGAAAATATATTGTGCAAATTCATCAGATGATGCCTTAATCATGGCAGTTTTTTTTTTAAACATGAACTCCAGACAACTCTGAAATCAATATTCTACACACAGAGGTATTTCTCACACAAAAGCACCGCTGTTAAACTGGAGATCAATAGACAACATCGGGGCCTAATTTTGTCTAAATTGCAGTCAAGGTTTACAACGACGGCGGGGCCAAGAGGATAATCTGGAAAAGATCCATAGCACTAATCTTTGCTAATGAACAAGGTGACTCTAGTGATAAGGCCCCTGGTAGATATTAGGCTGGTATTGATTTGTGTGCGCATGTTTTTGCACGTGCTCGTTTGCCCTCTCACGCCGACTCTTAATCACTGCCATGTCGGTACAATGAGATGATAAAAAAAGGTAATCCGATTTGAAGCATTGTTCATTAGTGGGAGTAAGACGGCTCGGCAGGTAGAGCGTGCTCCCAGGGGGGAAAGGGCCCGTGAGTTTGCGTCTGCATAAGAACCTGCAGAAAGCCTTGTATTGTCAGACCATTTTCCCCATGGGACCTGGAGGGGCTGATTGGGTTTGAGTGAGTGTAGCTAGAGAAAAACGCACAGCAGTGATCCCCAAACGGGAACAGAGGAAGTACGTGACGATTGCCGGTGCGTGGCGATAACCTTGTCTGAACAGTGGCGCTGAATCCGAGCGGGGAGAAGGAGAGGATAAAAAAAAAAACAGAAGAAGATAAGATGCTGAAAAGAAAAAAGGACGGAGGAGACAGAGGGGAGATGCAGAGAGGCACAGGATGAGGATTTTGGGATGGAGAAGGGCGGAGGGGCTGAATGAGGAAGCACAGGCCAACCCGGATAGACTCCTGTTATCTCGCCACTGTCATTATTTTGTCATTATGGTGGTTGGCGCCTCACTTCATGTCTTGCTGATAACAGACAAAGGACTTGGAGGCGTTAGAGCAAACACTAAGACAGAGCTTAGGCGGAGGCAGGGGAAACTTCTGCGCTCTCTGGGAAAGCGTACAGCAGGCACGCATTAGTTATCCTTTACTGTTTGATGATTATTGCTTGAAGCTGCAACAACAAGCATGAATATTAATCGTTTTTATTCAGACTTGTGTCCCAAAAACACTTTTTGATGACTGACATGCACAGGCGACTTCAGAAGAATCTGTGGAAGGCTTTCAAAGGCAAGTACTGTATTCTTTGGAAAGACATGAATGGTCTACATTGCAAAATACAAAAAAGGCAGTTAAAAGTGGCCCTATTGTGCTTTTTGGGGTTTTCCCTTTCCTATAGTGCGTTATATAGTTTTTTTGTGCATGTAATTGATGAAAACGCCTCCATTTGACTCATTTGTTTACCTCTGCGACACACTGTTGTGATATAAGTATGTAACACTCAGGTTTCTATTGGCTAGAACTCCAACACATTGTACTCTGGTTCAAGACAGTGGGTGAAAAGAGCTGCTAGTATGAATAAAATAAAGACCTTTTGAACATTAAAGCATGGAAACATGTCATACTAGAGGCACAAAATACAAATATGAAACTAGTATGAGCAGAATAGGGCCCCTTTACTAATAATGAATCTTTGGAAAAGCCAAGGAAAAGTGACCTCTGGAGACTGCAGTGCAGAAACACAGCAGTCAGTTTAGCACCAGAAACGTTACCAACACAGGTCTTAAGTGCACAATGCGTTCTTACCACAGTCATAAGCAGCTTGTCGAACCACTGCAGCTTGAGCTCTGCGCGCGGCCACATGTCGGGCCTGAGGGCGGACTTCATGAGGCTGACGCAGCGCCGCGACAGCAGCTCCCCCGGAGACCCCGCCACGTTGGTGCTGTCGTTCACCTGGACAGGAGACGAAGACAAAAGTTGGTGATCATTATCAGTGACAAGTGTCTTCATCTCTGATAGAATGTATTTTGATGGTTTCCTAAATGTTCAGAATCAGAATCCCTGTATTAATCTCACAGAGGGGACATTTACATTGTTACAGCAGAAAAAGAGCCAAAGACAGCTTAATGTTACTTAAGCATGCATACAAAAGTATTAAAGATATCAAATAAAAAAATTAAAAAAGTTACATATTTTACAAAATACACATCCTGTAACAGCGCTGAGGATTTGGCAGCCAGGTATATATTGCACAGTTTTTAACGGCATATTTATATATAGCACATAGTTGGTATTTAACAACAAGAGGTGTTATAGTCTGTGTTGTTGTGTGTGGGGGTCTACCAGGGGCCGTGGTGGTTATATAGTCACATTGTTAGTGCTAAAAATACAAATATTGAAAGACATATAATGGCGTAAAGGGGTGATAAACAACACAGAGCAAGAAGAGACCAGAGGCCTGTACTACGAAGCCGGATTTTCTCTTAGCCGGCTGACTTCAGGGAAAACTCGGGCTTTCCGGTCCTACGACGCTGGTTCTCTTTTTAGCGGGCTAGATCTCCATGGTAACTTATGCTGAGCGGCAAACCTGCTCCGGAGGAGGTTAGGTGGCAGGCTAAGAGATCAACTCAGTGAAAGCACCGCCTGCTGACCAATCAGAGCTCCGTGTGCGGAGTTTAAAGCTATCAAGTCATATTACAGGATAGAGGAAATTGCCGTTGCAGGAAAGACGGCCGGCCAAAATCAACTGACTGTGTGAACGTGAAATTTAATAGAATATCCCCTCCCATCTTCAGAGCAATCTGACTATTATAACATTAGCGTTAAGAAAGCTTACTTAAATATCTGCCACAACATAAGTAACCGGATCAGAGTAACATTAAGTACAGTCCGCGGCACTGTGAGTGCAGACCTGGATGTGTCCCATTATCATTCATATCATATCACATCATAATGTATCATATATTTCCTTATTTGAGTCAGCTTCTTGAGCCGTATCTGGCCGTGCAACACTCACAGTGTCACATTGTATGCAGAAGTATTATTTTAAGCAACACATTAAGTTGACGAAACACTCGAGTCAAATTCTCCTAATTAAAGTCAGATCCACTCGTGTCTTGGACGGGGCAGTGATTTCATAAACCTGTTAATGTACGCATTCAAACACTTTTTCTTTTACCAGCTGTATTCACCTTGCAGGTGCAGCTATGTGGCTTTTATCCTGGATAAAGTGTTTAAGTCATGGATGTTTAAAGTTTAACTTCTTCATATTTGACTAATATTAAAGTTCAGTTTTCATTCAGGAAGTATGACGCTGCGCTGTCAGTACGCTTGTCCATGTTTGTGATTGGTCGAATGCTCCAAATACCACCCCTTTCATGTGAACGCGCACCTAACTAGATAGGACACGGCTGGCTTGAGCGATCCACTTGATAACCAGCGTCGTAGTACAGTTTAGCCAGAGCACGTATGTTTTGGATTGGGCCAACCGGCTAACTCCAACATATCCAGGTTAGGTTGAACCAGCTTCGTAGTACAGGCCTCAGGACTTTATTCATGCAGCTACAGTGGGAGGGAGCCCTGCAGAAGCTTCATGTTTAGAAGCATCCTGGATCAAGTCAATGAATCCCTATCAGCTGCAGGTGTGCTGTTCTTTGGTGGATGTTAATCCTCTGGGGGCCGAGGGGAAAAGATACAATTTTTTCCTACAGGGATCGATTCAGTATCACAATACACTGTTATCGAGCGGAATACAAAGAGAAGATTATGTTTCTTTAGACTGTTCAGTGAGCAGCGATTCATCCCCAGCGGTTATACAGAAGGTTATAATCAACAGAGATGGTTGGATGAGCAGTGAGAAAGGAGCTTGGCCCCGAAAAAGAAAGAAAGAAAGAAAGTAGGAAAGAGTCAAGGTGAGTGAAACCTCAGCAGTCTATTTCAAGCAAGGTCATCACTGCCACTAAACCAAGGGACAGCTGTGTGAGGCGACGCATACAGGACTGTGTGTGTGTGTGTGTTTAAACGTATCTCTACACACACACACAGCCACCAGGTGTGTCCTACCTTCACAACAGAGGGGCAAGGATGGCTGTGTCCTACCTGGCAGGCACTACGGATGGCAGAACTGAACCTAGTGTGTGTCAGAGTTGGAGGGTGGTGTGTGTGTGTGTGTGTATTTGAGAGAGTTGAGGTGTGGTGTGTGTGTGAAGGTGTTACCTGGCATGCGATCCTGATGAGGAAGTTGACCACGGTGTCCGTATGTTGTTTCTCGACAGGCTTTGTGAGCAGGGTCTCTGTTCCTGGCATGGACTGGCTGCGGCCAAACACCTGAAAAACACATAAAAAAAACATTTGAGGGTTTTAATATTTCAGATATTTTTTTAGTTTTAAAGATAAGATTAGCTTTACTTTATTGATCCCAGTTTGAGAAATGTTTTTGTCACAGCAGCATGTTAAAACAAGGCATTGCACATAATGTGAACATTAAAAGAGTAGAAAATAAACAATTATAAAATCTAAAAATAGAATATATAGCAGAACTAAACTCAAGTTGACAGTGAAAGATACAAATATGTAGAATGTCTCTCTCATAAACACTATGAAAGGTCAAAATACAGCTAGCAAAATGTTAAAGTACGATATTTTTTATATTAAAGTGGACCTATTATGCTATATTGGAAACATATATTGTAGGGCCATACCTATACAAAACATGTCTGTGAAGTTTTTTGCTTAAAATACCAAACAGATCACCCGTTGTAGCCATGCCTCATACTGCTCATACCCCTCTATTGCAGCCCTGTTAGAGAAACGCGGATTTTGGGTCCTTAGCTTAAAAAAGAAAAGAAAGAGGAGGCAGAGCTAATGCCTGATCAGAACTCTACCGGAGATAAAGTTAAATTCTGCTGTGATAAAACGCCATCCTGTTCTAAACCACATCAAGGATTATTTCTGAAACAGTATGGAGCTCAAATGCTTTTTCTCTTGCGGGTTTATCACAAGGTGAGTTCCTTTTTTAATTTCCTGCTTCTTAAACACATGTGCTCTCTAGGACAGGTTAGCTCTGAGTGTTAGCGAGGCTTGCTAATGTAAACAAAGACGAGATTACGTCCAAAACACGTCAGGCATTGTTTCTGATAGCAACTTTCTGTGGGTCCGCCGCCGATTTGACGTCATATCGGCAGCAAATCAGTATCCGCTCGTTGTACAACCGTTTTTAAAAGATTTGGGTACGGAGGAAAAGAGAGAGGGGTTTATTTTCTGACGCTGCGTGAGTTCCCCGACGCACCGGGGACACATATTGATGTATAAAAGACATCACAAAGTGCATTTTGCATGATAGGTCCCCTTTAAGTGTGCAAGGAATAGCATTTTACATTAACTATACATGTAAAATGTACAGTGTGAAGGGTAATAATAAAACTAAACAGACTCAGGGACAGCAGTGCAGACGCTGCATGGTCTGTATTTAGGAGGGAATATCAAAGAGCCTGTACAAAGTGAGGGTTTTTTGTGCATTTCTAAGAGTGGAAAGTAGGCTGCAACTAGGACTTTCTGAAAATAATCCTGGCACATTGTTTGACTAATTAACTTTTTTTTTCATCTTAAGCAGAAACAAATGCTGCTGTTGCATTTTTCTATAACACGGGAAGAAGAAAAAAAACACTGCTACTATTAAGAGTTGCGCTACAGAGTAAAATAGCTTTCAGTATAAAAGCAATTTTGAGCACTTAATAATAAAAAACTATCCATCTTAAAATGTGCAACCTGTTATTGAACAAGATGTATGCACGGTCAAAAACACGGTTCAAGTTTTGGAATACTAATTCTTTAAAGGTCACATGTCATATATTTATATTGTGCAATTTTCCAAACTTTCATTGGTTTCTCATACAGCATCTCTGTATAGTATGTGTATTCACTCTCTGTCCTAAACGGCTTGTTGGAGCTCCTGCCCCCCCCCCCCCCTCCCCTCCCTGTGAGCCCAGTGGCCGTCTGCGAGACAGCGAGACACAGCGAAACCCAGCCCAAAACACACACACACCCGCAGCCTGGCTGGGAGTTTGTGTGTGTGCTCGGGCTGAGTTCCGCGGTGGCTCGCCGACCCCACACCAGTGAGCCAGCTCACAGTGTCCCGCTCCTCACAGCAGCGAGCCTCGCAACGTCCCTCCGAGTGTGTGTGTGTGTGAGGAAGTCCGCGGATTGGTCCAAACGTAACGTCACTATACCCGAAATACGTCACTATACCCAATAAGTAAACAATGGAAAAAGAGAAATGTCCAACGAGGCGTTCTGGGGCAGCATAGACAGGTCTTTTCTGTGTTAGAGTTTTACTCGCTACAGGGTGTACTTTGAGGGTTTGTGACTCTGCAGACCGTTTACATGCAGAAAAAGCTACATAACACACAAGGGGACGGGTAATAACCGGAAAAGCATGACATGGGACCTTTAAGTATCAAGATTAATGTGTGCCGTTTGTTTTTTTTAGGTAAAAGAGAAAAAAACTTTAACAATATCTTGAGTTACACCTGAATCATTGATGAGTTGTTCAAAATGTATAAAAAAGGATGTTCACATCACATTAAACAAGGAATACTGAAAATCACCAGGATAAGTATTCTACAATAGTTATGGGGAATAAATCAACTTTATATGTATTACAGACAGACTATATTGCAATTCAACAACTCTTCTTGAAACAAAGGCATCTCATCTTTGCGTTTGAGGAACTCAAAGAACAGATCACAGAGGGATTGGAGATGAGACAGATGTGAGGCTGAATTTGTGTTGTTAGGAAAAATGTATTAAGGCAACAACAACCGCGCTGTCACCTCCTGTCGGCAGTTTTTTGTTCCAGACAGATGAAAAATGGCTGTTTGATCAAAGTATCTTTCAAACCGCTCTGCGATCATTCAGGGAAGTGGGGAACTGAGGGACAGGCAGAACAAACTTTGAGGCTAAGAAGACGCTCTTGTAAATGTTGGAGGTGGTAACAAATAACACAAAGGCTTCAATTAAATCCCACAACTTCTCCGTACCCACAACAATCTACAATAAACTGTGCAAATTAAGATAGACATTTTATATTACAGGTGTTACTACTTGGAGGCTACATTGTTTTTTAGTTTTTATACTTAGGATCATGTATACCTGTGTCTAGCATAGCAAATGGTAGATGGGTTATTTAAATATAAGGTTGTTTATGTTGGGACTGTTACAATAACCAAGCGGCGCATGAACACCAGCATTAAAGCAAGAAAAGGTTTTGAAAAAATAGATTATTTTGGGAGTTTTATTATTATTAGTCTGAGAGATGCTGATAGGAAACCATGTAAATGTCACCAGCCCTATTTCCCCCCTTCAACTCTCCTTTAACCCTTGTGTTGTGTTCAAAAGCTGTTACCGTTCATGGTGCTCGCTGGTCAATTTTGACCCATGATTTATCTCAGTCCAAAACACACACAAAAAATGACTATCATCCAATATTGTTTTAACTCCATCATAACTAACTTATAATGCATTCATAACCGTACAATCCTGTTGTTATTTAATGTTATGGCCCCAAAACACATTACACCACATATTGTGCATGCGTGTGTTCAGGTTCAAGTGTTAGTGTGCATATTCTTTGAGAAAGGTCGAGTTCCCGTGGGGGGAGGGGGGCCAGAGGGAGGGGAGACCAGGTGCATGTTGCGAAAATAAATTGTTACAGTGGATGAAGGGGGGGGGGGGGGGGGGGGGGGGGGGGGGGGGGGGAGGGGTGTCTAAAGTCAAAGATGGATCTTGATTGGGCCAAATTTGACCCCGAGTCACCCACAACAATTCTGCTGGGTCTCCCCAGACCCCAACACCAAATGATACACTTTTTTTTTTAGAGACCTTCAGACTTGGCAAAAATGGTCAAAATCTGTTTTGTAGTGTTTATATATCTGTTGTGGAGGATATCATGAAGCCTCGTTCCGATACAAAAAACTAGAGCGTAGTTAATATATCATTTTAACTTGAAACGGGTCACCGGAGACCCGAACACAACATAAGGGTTAAAGGCTAAACATATGTTTTTGTTTCTGTCGGAGGGAGGGAAGCTAGCCCTAAATCTTGCTGCTGTACACACTACCTCTTGAAGAAGGAGCCTCATTTAGCCGTGAGTGTCACTACAGATGGAGTTCACTCTTTCACAGAGTGGGAGTGTGTAGGGGACAGTTTGGAATTAGGCCAGAGAGTTACCCACTATAAAGCGAATCCATGGACAAAGTGACCGGCCACTGGATCCTGTCCTAAACTCTTTTTCTAAACAAACTCACCGCTGATGGAGCTCCTGTTGCCGTGCGGAACCTCTTGGCGTCCGGTCCTGCAGCAGCAGCAGCTCCTCCTCCTCCTCCTCCTACTCCTGCTCCTCCTGCTCCTCCTCCTCCAGGAGCAGTGACAGCAGAGGAAGAAGAAGCTTCCAGAGACAGAGCTCGTTTCACTGCCCCCCCGCTCGTCCCCTCACCACCAGCCACAGCTTCAGCATCCGACTCCGGCTGGACAGTCAGGAGATTCAAAGGTGTTATTGTTGTCATATGCACATAAGGTACTGAGTAGAAATGGCAATGACATTCTTCTGACCTGAGCTGCTCCAACATATATAATAAAATACAAAAAACTAAATAAAAAGTAGTGCAAAAAGTCTATATAGAGGAAGTGAAGAGGAGCATTACGTTATTACAGCTGACAGAATGAAACCAAAGAGTATATGTGCTGTAGTTTCTGACCACAGCAGTACTTATGGACTAAGACCATGTTTTAATCTCTTTGATAAATGGCCCTTTCTTGTGAAATAATAAGCATGTCAGCAGTGATTCATTAGGAACGCTTAGAATAAAGAATAGAGAGAAGTTAAGGCATTCATTCTGTGGCATAGTCATTTCAACAAGGCGCCTTAAAACACTGCTGTTGTTCACACACTCGTAAGGAAATACAAACTGTATGAAAACAGCCTCCTGAATGTTTGTAATAATAATAATGTATATAAATCCATGAACACACCAGCTGGTCTTTGATCCTCTGTAACTCCCACTTGATGACGACTTCAGCCAGATCCACGGCCAGCTTCCTCTGCTCGATGGTCACGCTGGGGGTGAAGCCCAGACGCTGCATGGCGCTGATCATGTGCTGAACCAGGTGGTGGCGCACTGGGTAGTACACCTGGAAGGAGACAGCAGTGCATTAATAACAGAGGAATCAATTATACGTTAAATCAGTCGGATAAAATAATAATAAAAAGTGATTAAACTTCAAGAATATTACAATCTGCTGCGTGAAAGCTTCCATATTTGGTATTCTAAACACAGAGTGCCTTGTTAGACTTGACTGCCTTTTCTTCTCCTAAAGCTCTGATGCCAGATGGTCAGTGATGCCGATGGCAGAGTTCAAAAGAAACAGAGGATGTGAATAAGCAAGGATATTGAGAAAGGCTGAACAGATGACCGAGCAGTACTTAAAGAACACAAACCCTTTACATAAACTGTAGCTTGGGGACATTTTTTATTTTATATTCCTTACTTTACAAACAGGCACAACTTAAACGTCTACACTGCAAAATAGATTTGAAAAGACACACTGCATACGTTTCCCAAAATGTGATGAAATGAAGCGTCCACGTTCTGCATATTCAATTCACATTGGTTTGCTATTTCTGGTTTGGCAAACTTGTTTTGGGAGCAACCTCTGACTTCCCCCAGCTTCGAGTTAAATGGACTGTTTTACCAGTTTTATCACATATGAATTACAATAGCTCCCACTGCCTTAGCAACCATCCTAAAACTAATTATTAAGAGGGGTGTTTTTGAGTAATTCTTCCAAGCAATTGTTCGTCTAAATGCCAGATAATCAGAGGTCAGATGGCCCACGGATAGGGTTGGGTATCGTTTGGATTTTAACGATTCCGGTTCTGCTTTTCGATTCCGGTTATTTTCGGTTCTCGATTCCGGTTCTTTGAGAGGGTAAAAAATAAGTCCCATGCCAATTTCACTGGGAGAAAAATATATTTATGAAAACATTAAGTCAAATCTGTATTCCTATTTTTACAAATAATTTCATACCGTTTAATTTTGTTGCGGTTATTGAATACAATTATATTAAAATAATCTCTGCATTGTTTAGTTAGTTCTAAATGGTGCAGTTTGAGAATGTACAATTGGCCAAGTCTCTGTTACACTGCAACCTACCTGAGAGACAGAGTCCAACCACACATGTCCAACACATGTCCTGCAACACACATGCTGCAGCTGCCCGGATGCTCACTGTTTGTAAAAGTAAATAAATAGTATTTTCATTTCAATACTTTCTTTACCCTGCTTCATAAACAATACTGACATCCCTGTGCACCTCCGAGTCTGTCTCACAGTCCGGGGATGTGAGGACAGCGCGAGGACACAGACAGGGAGGCTGTTTTACTTCAAAGACAGAGAGGGAGAGGGAGAGAGAGGGAGAGAGATGCAGAGACGCTGAGCACCGTGCAGCGATCAGCTGATCCGGAGACAGCTGCAGTCCTCCTGTCCTCACAACTCTTATTAATCCCGGTACCGGACAATTGTTATTTGTTCTTACTTGGAACCGAGTTTTGCTTCCCAACCCTGCCCACGGAGCACCATAATCACGAATGCTATAAACGTGATTCCAAATGCCACTGCTGTTGTTTTTGGGGAGAATTGAATTTTTTAACAATGCCAATTCTTCGCTCCAGATGTTAGGGTGATAATTCCCAATCACTTTGAGCCACTGAGTCAGAAGAGGCAAAACTCTGAAGTTGTATTCCCACTTAGTCTCAAGGACATGATGACACACACTTAGCCCTGAGAATTCACACTCAAGAGTCACACTCAAGAGTCACTTAGTTTCATCGCAAACTGAACCGGGACTCTCCAAACGCGCTGACAAGAGAGCAAGAGATGAGATGTCTATCTGCCAGTGTCAGAGAATATTAAAGCCTCTCACTTTGAGGGTAATTATAGTCGATAGAGCGCGGCTTCACAGGCCCTTAATGACAGCGTGGCTAAGCCCTGTCTATCACGTGTGCACACACACAAACGCCATTTCTTTATCAAACACACACACACACACAAAGTCTCTCATCTGTCTGTCATTATCTGCTCCCCAGCGTAATTATGCTGATGTGATTACATTAGATTAGTCATCTGGCCCAGTGAGAGCAGCCTGTCAGTGAGACAGAGGGGAGCTGAAGGGAACGTCAGTCTTCTGCTGAGAGACCCTCGCTCTCTGACCCGGAGAGGCAGCGGACAGCAGCCAGACGAGCGAGAGGGCAGAAAGTGTGTGTGAAGTTTGAGGAGGCAGGCAACAAAAAAAGGCCAACCATCCTTTAGCTGGTGGTGCCAGAGTAGGCGTGCACTGTGATACTCCTACTTTTACTTAAGTACAAGATCTGAGTACTTGGAAGTGCCTGCATTAAGACGATTGGTTCACTGTTAGCACTGCTGCCTAGATCTGATCCTGTTTTTGATTTCAAACTCAAATTTGGTGAATCAACTAGTCCAAAAAAAACGATAAACTGGGTCAGACAAGATGATCCAACTTTTAATGATGATGCTCCATTCCCATTAGGCCCGGTTAAGAGGCATCATTTAATTCAGGGCACTCAGATAATCAGTCAAAATAGCTCCTCAGCTGTTTTCCCCCACATGTGGTTCTCTGAAATTGCCGAAGCCACACTGAGCAGGGAGGCTGGCAGCAGCAACAAATGGTCGGGGATTTGCATGTTTCCCAGCTAACCCTGGTTTACAGGAAATGAGTATAAGACAGTGACATTTGATAGTCAGTAATTAGTTATCCTTGAAAAGGTGGTCTACATAGGGCAGCATTTGTTTTGATTATTCCGTATGGCCCACCCAGCCAAATGAAAACCGCTGGGTATCAATACATCTAAGACAGAGTGCAGGAATGAGTCTTTAACCCGGGAATGAGTCCTAAATCCGGGAATTAGTTAGCATTTTAGTTTTTTGGTTCGATGCCTGACCTAAGATCTGTGATTAACTCAAGCTAACAACATTTTAAGATTTGTCGCATCTTAAAGAAGGCGTTTCCTAAAAAGTTGCTAAATGAAACTGTACATTAGCTGCCGTTAGCTTAGCGGTGGTGACTTGCTTCTCACTTCTGGCGATTGCACTAAAAAAAATATGTTTGATTTTTGAAAATCACTTTTGTCGTCCATTTGTCCCTTTGTTGCTAACTTCCGGGTCGGCTTATAAAAAAAATCACTGCACCACTCGGAGTGATGGGCTGACAGAAAGTGGTGTTGACAAAACTGATTTCTGTTACATCTGCTCACCCTGAAGTGCTGCACGATGAGGTGCAGTATGTGGACCAGCTGTGGTACAGTGTGTCCCTCCTCCACGATGATTTTGCGAGTCCAGTGCGTCAACATCTGGTGGCCGTCCTCCATGCGGGCGGGAACAGCTGGAGTGAGGATGGCCATCGCCTGTCGCACGATGGCCCGAGCCTCCATGGTGTGGGCCTTCAGCAGGCTGTGGAAGACCTGAACAGAGGAGAGGTTATGTCGTTTTTCTATCATTCTATAATCTACATGTTGTGTAGCATTGATGCTTATCGATATATTTTTAAAAAGACTCAACAAAACATTTATTATAAATAGTATGTGGAACACAACATGGAAAGGAATAGGAAAACTAAAATGACACTCCTAAAAAAGTGCATACCAACTTCTCCGTCTACCACACACACATGTCCAGTCCTTCTAACTGATACTCTAAACATATCTTGATATCTATTTTCCAAACATTGTAGTTGCCTGATATACAAGGATTCTTTTTTTGAACTTCATTTAGTAGTTCTTGTTCTCTCTTTGCACGTCTCCTCACCTGCAGCACGATCTTCTTGTGGATGGCGAACTTGGCGATGATGTGAGCCAGGAGCAGGTGTCCGCTGTATTTGCATGCGGGGTCCACGCAGGCTTTGGGCAGCAGGCAGGGCCAGGCGAAGGTCATGAGGCGCCGCAGCTTGCTGTTGCGCGACTTGTTGTTGTCATGGATGTGGTGGGGGGCGTGCTCCACCAGCAGGGTGGAGAACTGCAGGAGGCAGATCCTCAGAGAGTCCAGCAGGTCCGCCTGCTTCTCTGGATCCAGAACCTTGGAGAGGGATGGAAGAGACGTGGGGTTAGAGATGGTTGAGTGAGAGGGAAACAAGAGCTTTTGCACTCCATAGCACAGAGTGAGTACAGTGTATGTAAGCAGTCAATAACAATGGATCTAGGGATATAAGTGCGCTTATTTTTGGCTGATATTGCAATTACTTTATTGGGGATAATGATCACTATTGAAACATTATTCACATTATCATTGAAAAGTATTGATGAGATGATCATTGTGCGATTGTTTTAATCAGATTTGTACAAAATAATACTATTTTATTCAGTCTGTAGAATACCGTTTGTAGGCCGGGGACTTATTTTCAAAACCATAATACTTCTTTCAGATATTTGTACATATTTTGTCTTTACCAAATGATGCACTAAATATGAGTTGAATATAATTTTGTTCCCCAACCAGCCTACTTAAAACACTACAAATAAAAAAATCCAGGATTGAGAGTGAGTAGTGCAGGAATGAGTCCTATGTCTGGGAATGAGTTAGCATTTTATCACTCAGTTTCCCTCGTCTTAAAGAGGACATATTACACACATTTTTTTCAGGTTAATTTCATTGCACTAGGACATATTTCGAGTTCACTCAATGCACGACCCTAAATGTATGAAATGTTATTTTTTTTCCAGGTGGTGAGATGCTTTGTGTGTGAAACCAAACACTTTTTTTTTAGCGTAGAAACCAAAATGCCTCACACCTGTTGTTGAGTGTTTAAGTTGTACCATGTGCAGACAGAGAAAAGACATGTCTTGGATTGCTTAATGCACCATAAGGCGTTATAAAGAGAAACACATTTTTGTGAACATACCATTTGCCTGAAGTGCACTGACGGATGTTCACTAAATAACATTTGAATGATGTCGCAGCACACCCAGCTAAGAGGGATAGAGGCAGCTGAGGGAGGAAATGAGTCTCAACCGGCACGTAGAGGAGCCATTAGCAGCCATTAGGCCTGGTGTTAGTCAGTGATGAGATCCGCCACAGCACAAACAAACATGCTGACCTTTCGCATGGTCACAACATGACATTTACACCAGGAATTACAGCCCGGCCTGACGAATGAAATGTGATGGTGGGAGGGTGAGATAAAAACAGAGACAGATGGAAAAAAAGAGGCGGAAGAGACAGATAGAACGACCGAAATTAAGGAGTCGAGTAATGTGTGGAGGCCACTGGAGAAAAAGACTAAAGTGGGATGTAGTTGATGATGACTGAGAGTATGGAGATGTGCTGGACTGATAAGACATTATGAGAGGAAATGCAGCAGATAATTCAATCTGGGAGATGGATAGAGAGACAAAGCTGGGGAGTAATGAACAAAAGAAGGGGGAGAAGCGAGCAGATTGAATTTGAAGAGAATACCTGCAAGCCTAAGTGTGTGTGTGTGTGTGTACCTTAGTGATGAAGACACTGGTGATGCTTTCTGGATTGTCTCCTTCAGGGTTGGGGGGTCCAAGCAGCTGCTCCCCTTCCCCCTTCTCAAAGCTGTGCAGGAAGGCTAGATTCAAGATGTGCTGCAACACCTGAGAAACAAGAAAAACACACTATTTATTTTTCAATCAATTCCATTGACCTCGAAGAACATGCGACCTGGAGTCCTTCAGGTTTTTAAAGAGTTACAATGGGTGATTTCGCTGACAGCACAGCATTAAACAAAGGATCAAAATCAGTGAGTTATCGTGTATGGTCTTTCAAAAGCTGCACTCTCAACTCTTCATGACAAATGATTAAGTGATTAAATATTGATTTACTCTCAGGTCTATTCTAAAAATCAGAGCGACACGAGTCCCTTTTCAAGTTGATGATAACAGAGGATGTGATTTTTTGAGAGTGAGAAATGACTTGGAGCATAAAGACACACTTGAGGAACAGCACAGTCAAAGGCCACCCAATACAATGGTTATAGAAAATGTGTCATTTCAAGAATCAGATTCAGATACGCTTAACATCTTCCCTATAACCATAACAATTGGGAGCAAAGACAACAACAAAATCCTTTCTGAACATTAAAGCATGTTAACTTGTCACAGTAGAGGCACCAAATACAACAGCCTTTAAAGGTGGGGTAGGTCATTCACTTCAGAAACACTTTTTGTTATATTCCATGGAATGCTCTTAACATCCTGATAGCAATGAATACATGAAATGCTTTGACAATAAATACATAACAAAATGTCATCTGTGGAAGCTGTAGTACTGTAAAAAGCACGACCAATCATCTGAGCCGGCCCGGCTAAAATAACTGGATGGCCTACCTGCCTGTCAGCCTTCCATCTGCTGCACAAACTTATCTCGTGCCCTCATTGGTCATGTGCGCGTTCGTGTGTGTTGGAGGAGGGGCTCTGTAAGGAAGTCTGAAGGAAGGGGCAGATTTTTTTCGGCTGCGTACTTTCAAATTCTAGCGCACTCGAGCTGGTTTCTCCATTCTAACCTACCTTTAATACATCTTCAAGAAATTGGAAGCAAAAGTAAAATATTGCTGAAAGAAAGAAAGGCTCAAATTGCAATTTAAACACTGAAGGGATTGTTATCTACGAATGAAGAGAAAGGCTTGATTAGCTAGTAAAAAGCAGAATAACCCGGCGACAACACAGCTAACGACTGCATTTCATAAAGAAGCCGCTATCTGTTAATGAACCCTCTATTCCATCCATCACTGGGGAGGACAGGGCATCGCTCAGCGGAGAACGAGCTGTGGCAGCATATGTTCAAGCTTCTCCATTAGCGCATTATTCACATGCACAGTGTACATACATGCATGCAGAAACACACACACAACTAAATGAAGACACAAAGAAAGAGCGTGGAGCACCAGTCTGTTCCTCAGCCTCATCTGTTCCTATTCATTCTGAGCTCTGTGACATCAATCACGGCAGTGTATTTCTATAATGCTGTTAGGCTCCTGCAACACACACACACACACACACACACACACACACACACACACACACACACACACACACACACACACACACACACACACACACACACACACACACCACACACACACACACACACACACACACACACACACACACACACACACACACACACACACACACACACACACACACACACACACACACACACACACCACACACACACACACACACCACACACACACACACACACACACACACACACACACACACACACACACACACACACACACACACACACACACACACACACACACACACACACACACACACACACACACACACACACTATCTGGCTCTGCATGTGTCTTAATTTTCTTTAATTATATTTACATACATTAAAACAAACAGCATGAGTGTGTTGTAGCAGCAGTAGTAGTATGCCTTCATTCACTCCAAGAATGTACAAATAATTGATGTGATTGTGAAGTAGCCGCTGGATGTCTTGAGCAACTACCACTTGCATTCTTGAATCATATCAATCGTTCTTAGAGTAATTTGTCTATTTGTAGTCAGTACACAAGTTTTACATACTGTAGGTGAAGAGCTGCTGGATCTCACTGGATTCAAACTTCAAAGCAGCCCTGTTGTGCTTTTTGAGCCTTTATATAGGTTTGTGTGCATGTAAATGGTCTGCAAACGCTAAAATCCCAAAGTTCCCTCCGGGGTGACATCACTATGGATAACTCAAGCTTCTATTGGCTAGCACTCCAACACATTGTACGTGAGGCTATGGGGCGGGACATCTCTAAGTGGTTGACCAATCACACCAGAGCCGGCCAGCTAGCCAATCAGAGCAGACTGGGCTCTGGTTTCAAACAGAGGGTGAAAAGAGGTGCTGCAGCACAGGCAGCATGAGACAAATAAAAGAGCTTTTGGAACATTAAATGTCACAGTAGAGACACAAAATACTCGTTTAAACCTGAACATTAGCATAAAAAGGGCCACTTTAAGGTAAGTTGCGGAGAAATCTGCATCAATAATGTGATTTCATTCAGTTAATTTTGTTTAATGCTTGGACAAGAATATAAAAGGCAATTAATTTGTGTTAATAAAAATGCACTTAGATGTTAATCTGCTGCACCTCCTATTAAGACATGTTTTAGAAGAACATTAGTCTCTATAATTATTTTTGCAAAGAAGTAAAAAACAGTATTTAATGTGAAAACCTTTTCCCTCTTCACACACACACCTAACACGCACAGCTGTTGGTTGTGTACAACAACATGTTTTTGCTTGTAAATGTGAATTCCCAAATGCTAGAAGAGGTGTAGAACTAGTGCAAAAACATTCATTTGTTTCAACCAACACCGTTTGATTTCACTCTCCAGAAAGGAGCGGATACTGGCACAGCATGAAGGCCGATTTAACATTCTATATAGTAGAAAACTTCTGCTGCACTGTGCATCATGTCGGGAACATAAAAAGGAGTAACAGAATGTGAAAGAGACGCGCTGTGTTCATAAAGTTCATCCACTTCTTTGTTTACCTGTCTGCTTGGAATCAACTCCGTGGATTGTCAAACATTTTTAAACAAAAAAGCAGTTTTTTCAGTGAGAACTTTTTGGATGAAACAAAAGAGACAATACTGGAGCAGCGTGAGGTCATTCTGCGCCACCACAGATGATTCATTGCTGCCGTCGCTCTACTCTCTCTCTCTCACTCCTCTCTGCCTTCAAGTGAAATATTCTCGGAGACCCCGTGATGCAAGAACCTGAGCCTCTATCTAACTCCCAAACACACACTTTCCTGTGATATTATGCTCCCGGGAAAATGCTAAAGGCAATTACTCAAATGTCAGATGACTACCACACTCTTGCTCACGATTCCGATCAACACAAACGCATTCACACACAAACATATCCTCGGTCTCCCAGCCTCACATGCACAGCGAGCATCTGCTGTGCACCAGAGGAGGACAATTAAGGGAAAAACAACAATATGAGCAACATTCTGATGGAGGGTCTGCTATCTGAGGGACTCAAATCTGCTCTGCTAAAAAGTCACACGCAGCATTTGGGTATTGGAATCATACAACATAGTTCATTGTCGTTTGTTCTCCCCTTGTCCATATGTCACTGAGGCAAACTGAGCAAAAAAGGGGTAGAGTGGAGTGAACAGCAACCTAAACATAAGTGTATGTCCTTGGATTTGGGAGGGTGTGCGTGTGCGTGTGCGTGTATGTGTATGTGTATGTGTGTGTGTGTGTGTGTGTGTGTGTGTGTGTGTGTGTGTGTTCTTACACAGCCATTTGGCATTGTGCTAGTAAGTGGCAGCCAGGCCAGGCCTTCCCCACTGACCCGTTTGTACTTAACAGCAGTGCTGTTGCTCTTCTGTGCCAAGTTGTGTGCCTATTACAGCTGGGCAAAATGTGTGTGTGTGTGCATATGTTTGAGTGTGTGTGTGTGTGTGTATGAGGGAGAATGAGCTTAATTAAAAAGCAGCCTGAATGATTGTAATGCTTGCAGCAGCAGCAGCAGCAGCCGGTCAGGTGGAGGGGACAGAAGCATTCATCTGTGAGCCTCTGAGGGTCTGACACCACACACAATGACCTTCATGACTCTGTCAAAAAAACTTCTGGTGCAAAACACACCAACCAGAAAAGACACACAGATCAGGGCCCACACCGAGGAGAAGCTTTAAGAATTCCATATAATTATAATTCATTATTAATTATAGGACTGGGCAACAAGGCCAAAAATAAACTTTGTATATTTAGGCACAATCTAAGATTTAATCTAGTTTTCCAGCACAATGCAAATTGTTTTCCCCTTTTTAAGGCCAGAATGTAGCCCCGGTTTCAAATTATCATATTCATATAACATTTGTTTTCTTAAGCAGGCTATATAAAACCAAAAAAGAGCAATAACTGCTGTGCTAGCAAGCTGTACGCTAAAAATAATCCCTCCCTGAAAATGTAATTGTGTCACTGGAAGTAAGAACTCCATTTCCAAATGTTGACCTTTTACACATTGTACGAAAACAGAGATTAAAATATATCCATCCATTCAATCTTTGGGGTCTGCTGGTTTTGGCTTTTTCACACAACCCATAAGACATATACGGTTTTAGTGGGACTGTGTATTATACCCCTGATGATGACTTTTATTCAAAATAAGTTTGTCAAAAGCCGTTGTTTTCAGGTCCCTGTAGCATGTAGTCATACATTGACTTTCCTGCTCTTTTCGTACCTTAGCTTTAAGCTCATCGTTGAAGTGTGGGTCATTGAACTCGACGAAGCGGAAGAACAGGGCCCTCTTTTGGGCGATGGAGTAGTTCTTAGGAATCTCCTCCTCCATGTACTCCTTCAGGAAGGTCATGTTGCAGAGGAAGCGTCCTGTGAAGGCCCGCAGCAGCTGGAACAGCAGCTCGATCTCAGAGTAGTTACGCCTGTTGAGGAGACAGAAGGTCAATAGGATCAGTGTACGGAAAGAGATGTGTCAACAACGATCCTGTACATAGGGAGTTTAAAAAACATCTAATGTGAGTTGGGTTAATTAGCCGGTATTATGCTTGGAAATCAACTTGTTTTTTTATCCTAAGAAGGTTAAATGAACACACATGCTCGAACATCAGTGGCAGGAGAGGTCAGGGTTAATTGTAGGGTCTGAACTAAACATCTGCTATGAGTTTAGCACTTTCTCTGTGCACAGACAGAGAGGTGGGGTGAGAGGTCATACATGATAGGAATGCCATTATAGTAGGTTAGTTAAAGTAAGAAACTAACCTTAAAAGAAACGTTAAAAAACTGGCCTTAAAAGCTTGTCGTTCTTACACAAGCTAATAACTCAAATACGGTACTTCAGTCATCATGTTTCACTGGTAGCATTGTTCATTTAGTAGAAGTAGTTGTTGGCCCAAATGCTCATCAGCAATAATAGTCGAGAGAGAGAGGGTTTGTTGTTTCTGCCCAACCCAGATTTCCAAATCAAAAGTCCATTTTCAGATCAATTCTGTCCAACATTTAGGCTTTTCCAACTATTTGAATGAGTGTACATACTTGCAGTAGCTGAGCAGGCAGAACGCCAGCAGCTTGGGCTCCTTCCAGTTGGTGGCGGCCATGTTGTCTTTGCGATGTCTTTCCTGGAAGGCCTCGCTGACCCACACTCGTCTCAGCTGGCTGACCAGGGAGTGCTGCCCTGCCAGCCAACCCTCATCGTTCTTCACTATGATGCTGATGATCTGTGGGGAGGGGACGGAGAAGGAAACAGTTAATTTGATGGATCTACTGAGAGTTATGCAGTGTTCAGAGTAGGACTAAGGGTAACCTTTACAAATATATACATCTGACCTGACAAGAAATGTTGTTAGGAATGGGCAATGTCAATATTATATCAATATGGGAGTAACTATCGTCTGAATATTGTAATACTGCATAAGTGTTTCCTGGTTTTAAAGGCTGCATTACATTGAAGTGATGTCATTTTCTATGTTAAGCAGATTAAATATTCAGGTATTTGATCAGAAATATTGTCATATTTGATGTTCTCCATATGGCCCAGCCCTTTGTGGCAGTGTGGAAGTATAAATTGATCAAATGTTATGAAAATATATACAACTGTTTACCTTGATAGCCTGAAACTGCAGGTCCAGTCTGGCTGTGGTGGTGGAGGGCGATCCGGGTCGAACCGTGGCTGCAGTGCCAGCGGGAACCAGCAGGGGGACGAAGCGGTTCGGATTAGAAGCCAGCACGTCTCTCAGAGGCTTGGCATCTTTGTGTTTCAGGAAACTCTGTATATCAAAAACAAACACATGCTGTAAATATGACACAAAAAGAGATGTAGTAATGGTGGCAGAGAGAACCATCTTTATGGCATTGGAGCAACAGCTGTAAAATCCTGTTTAAAGAAAGATGATACAGAAAATTAAGAACTGTTACTATTCGTCTCATTTTGGTGTTAACAGTACAACAGTGGCTCAAAAGGCCAATATATCCCTGATTATAGCCTATTACTAAAGCAGCTAAATGCAGTTAGAAAATGTACAACATACAGTAAGAGTAAATAGTTTACTGCATTGGATTAATAGCTTTTCAGTAAATGAATTGTCATATTTTGATGTCAACAGCCACTGAGCCTGGAAAACGTGTCAATAAAAGCGTTCAGAGACTGCGAATAAAAGCTGCCGGTGTCTGACCATGAACATGCGGCTCCACTGGGGGTCGTTGAGCGTAGCCTCCATCATGAACAGCTCCACCGTCTGAGATGGGTGACGCGTCAGGAACTTGATCAGAGGCTCCCTGAAAGGACTGCCAGCCTGGAACCAGAGGGAAGAGAAATTAGAAAAAGGAGCAATAGTTCTGATTTAATGAAAGCAAAAAGCACTTTTTTATGAGGATCTGCGCTGAATAACAGAGGTTTAAATTCTATAAAGACTATAAACTAGATCAATAAGGATTAAAATGTTTATAGCAGGATGTAAAAATAAATATGGTATTCAAGTAATTCTCTAACTTGAAAATAATCTGTTTTTAAATAACACCCTGCAATATTAACTTTTTGTATCCTACTACTGGTTGCTACTTCACCGATGTACGGCAAAGTACTTGGTGTGAAAGCGGCTATTAAGACAAAACTCTTCTACAGCAGTAGTAATACCAAGAGTCTGTGTCCTACCTCGATGAGAATATGTATTTCTACTTGACCAATAAACCAGTTTTTGTATTGCTTCTTTTACCTACACAACACAACCATGATAATACTGGTGTCCTACCTCGATGAGCATGGCCCTCTCTGTCTTCATGACCACCTCCAGCAGAGGCTTCACCAGAGTCTGAGGCGCCGCTGGGATCAGGTGGAAAAGGTTAATGATGGCCGAACAGATCTTCATCTCCTGGAGAAAGAGTCAGAGAGAAAGAACAGAGGAAAGAAAGGAGTAGGTGAATTTTTTGGAAGCATGAAGGAAGTAGACAGGGACATCATTTCTTGATTGACAGCCAACTGTGGAGAGACAATCTTAGTCAGAAAATGCAACCTGTGTTTGGTTTACTTCCCACAGAACACTTTGCATGAGCTCCTGGATTAAATTCAAACAAATAATAAGGGACATGAGAATTTCCTTAAATCTTATATTAGCGATATCTTAAAAAGGTGCAAAGGGAAACGTGGAGGGTTGGACATTTCTAAAACAAAATGAGAGGCTGAGATGACATTTCTAAAGACAAACAAGGGACAACGAGATGCAGGGAAACTCCAACAGCACCACTACTACTATTGGTTTGACTAAAAAAACAATCACTGAAAGAGAGTCACCAACAGGGGGCGCAACACCGGGTCACATCTCACCTCAACGCCCTCCAACGCAGGCTGTACCGGAACGAGAGACAATGGTCAGAGTCAGCAGAGCAGTATGTGTGTATTTTTGTGTGAGTAGATTAGACAGGGTGATAATGAAGTGAATGGACACACAGCGGCAACCTTTATGAGAACTTTTTCTCTGGGGAATATCGGGGCAGGGGCCATATTGGATTGTCTGAATCGATGGCATTTGGAGGAAAAAGGAACATAGGGAAAAACTCCTGCTTTCATGCCCACATGTCTTCAGACCCTCCTCTTAAAGCCTTCTCTATTTCCCCTCCTCACTTTCTGTCTTCATCAGCTTAATTGACCCCCCCCGACCCGGGCTTTATTGTCGCTGCCAACACGCACAAAGACCACCGGTTTGGAGGGAGGGAAAGACAAAAGGGCCAATTTGCATCTAATTAAACACCATTTTGCGACCGGACAGGATGAACTTGCATAAAGAGAAGGGAGGGGGAAAAAAAATAATCTGTGAGGGAGAGGCAGCTGTTTTGTTTTTTTTGACTCACTCCCCCTCTTTCTCTCTCACCTTTTCTCTGCCTTTACAAGGTTATCTGTCGGGGAGATAATGAGGAGACGCAGCGCTGGGCCCACCACCGCCTGCCTGGCGCCTAATTAATCATTGATTGTAATATGGCCACTCACAATTCATCAGGGAGGAGGCCACAGAGAGGAGGTGTTCACTACATGTGACTGTGGATTTGTGTGTATAAGGGGACATTTCTCTGCTCCCTCCAGTGTGTGTTTGGACATTTAACTGAACAAAAGAAGTGTAAGTGGACAGATGCTGCTACAGAATATAAAAAGATTTCTACTAAAGTAAATGGAGGAAACGCAGGAGTTGAATTTCACATTTGCATTAAAAAGTCTCAGTGTTGTCAGGTGTGCATGTGTGTGTTTTATACTTACACTGCCATCGCTGCGCTGGCCTCCCTTGTGTGTTATTACCACCACCTCCATCCACTTCCTCAGGTGTTGCTATGAGAGACACAGAGAGATAATAATGAGAGTGTGTGATGGTGAATTATGTGTGTGTGCACTTCTGCTTAATAGAAAGAATAAGGGACTAACAAGGACGGAATATTCACTCAAAAGATTCAAGGAAAAAAGGATAAATAATAAGAATCAAATCTGCAAGTAGCATACCAGTTGAACTACTAGCAACAATATTCAAATATGCTACAAAAGTGTTTGAATTTCAAACATATATACACTGTGTCTTACACACATACTTTAAATTGACTGTATTTAGTTAAATCTGCACAATAATCCAAATTCTGTGTCAGACACCCTAAAATCTAAAGTTGTTAGCCTAGCACAAACACCGCCACACTTAAAGGATTTCGTTTTCGATGCCACACTAATTTCCCAACTGTGCGATCAGGTGTTTTTAAGTTGAAGTTGTTGGATGAGGAGGTCTGAGTTCCTCACCATCATCTGATCACAGAACTTGTCGTTGAACGAGTTTGGGAAGAGGCGTGTGACGGAGGTGAGGCGGTTCACCACGTTGAGCGTCAGGCTGCGGTAATCCCCCAGCATCATCAGCAGGGGGCGCATGTGAGTGTGGATCTGATCCACCTCGATGGTCGCGCCCTCCAGGAACTGAGATAAAACACAGGGAACATTAGGTGCAATTAGAAAGATGTTTAAATAAAGTTGTGTAACACTCTAGAAATACAGTTTGGCAACAAAAAAAAATCCAAGATGGAGCTTGTCAGCTACATTTGTTTCTTTCAATAATAATTGAAATAATTCAACATTTGTATATACAGTCAAGGTACGAGAAGACAAAGTTAATCGGGGGGTAGAACAGCTTATCATAACTAATTAAATAAATAGCCGCTTCGTGAGTTTTTCAGTTATCTTTTGGCAAAATAACAACAAACTGTATGATAAAAAAGTTTTAAAATGTAAAAAAAATACAGAAATATTCCAAGTTCTTAAAGTTATGTACAGGGGCGGAAATTATAATACAACAAAACAGAAAATGAAACAAACACAGAAAACAAATGTCATACAAGCACATAAACAGACCACAAGATAATTTACTATAACTCTATATAATGTCTTTTTTAACGATTCACCAATTTTGTTATTAAAACGTTCACAAACGTGTGCCTCGCTGTGATGCCGTCAAACTTTCATAAAAAAATAGTTTAAAACCCTAATCATTTTCATTTCCCTGACACACCTCATATTTTTTCCACATTAGACCTGGCCTTGTCAGGTTTTCCAGCCCCATGAACTGCTCGCTACCCCTTGTGTCTCCATTAAGGAACTAAGGCCACTCAAATGAGGGCATGACCAGTCATAAACAAGCACACATGCTAACAGCAAACACTGATGACGCACATACACCCTCACACACACACACACACACACACACACACACAGACACAGGAGGGAATGATGCATGGCAGCCACATTCATTTTCCTCTCAGTGCTGAGAACAAACACTCCATCCTGTATCGATCCGGCCATGGCAACGCTCATTAGTACTAGCAGGGCAGAGATGAGAGAATGGAGAGAGCTAGAGAATGGCTAGCCAAAAAAATAAATAAAAAATAGCAGGATAGTGAAAAGGAGTGATGGTGCTAAAGAAAGAAAATGAAGGACACAGAAATGGAAAGAAAAGGGGACAAAGAGCTGGAGGTGGATGGATGGATCGAATGGATGTTTTGATGAATATAGGCGCGAGCGGTTCATGGAGGGTATGATAAAGCGGAGGGAGGTCTGTGTGAAGATAACTGGGCGGGGGAATGGAGTGAGGGGAGGTTTAACAAAGGGCCTCAAATGACATGAGTTATACAGTTGAAAGAATAAAATAATAAGTAGATGAATTAAGAGGGGAAGCATAAGGGTGACGGGTGCATTTTTAGAAAATATTTAAAAGGTGCCAACAAATTCCCTGGTTTGATTTTGAGGTGGATCGCTTCAAAGCTTAAGGGCACGGTATTTAATCCAGATTAAGAAAGGTCACGTCTGTCTTTTTCGCTCAGAGGGAGTTGCTGTTGAAGTGAGTGATGTTACACAGCTCTGAGCTTTCTGAGTAATCAATACGGTCTTGAAATAAATTCCAAATCAATGTTTTCAAAGAACTGATGTAAGACGCTCAGATAGGAAAGAAATCAAGTGACAGGTGACATCTTGCAACATGTGGTAGAGATTATTGAAAACATTGCCTTAAAATAATGATGTAATGTAGTATTATTACCCAAGAACAATCAGGTGTTGCACTGACCTTCCTCATGCACGCCTCCCCTGCTTCCTGCAGTTCATTGTTAGTGGAGTTGAGGGCTTTAAACAGGGCGGCAATGATCTTCTCTCTGGACTGTGGCAGGTAATTACAAGCTGCAAGGGCGTCTAAACAGGAAGAAAAGATACATTCATTAAAGGACAATTGAGTAAATCAATAAAACTGTTTTACTATGGTTGTTAAAACCCTTGGATGCATAAGTGGGTCTTTTTTGACCCGGTGAGGTGGTTTTCTTCAAGTATCTTTGAAATTACTTTTTTTTATCATTTCATATTCCAGCTATTCCTTAAAAAACATGTTTTGGATATCATGCCATTCAAATTTTTTATTTACATTTTAAGAAATTGTAGTTTTTGTATTACTACCCCATGCTTCCATAAGTGGGTCAAAAATGACCTGCATGCATTTGATGGAATTTCGTTTTCTTTTCAAAATGTAAAAATGTCTAAATAGTGAACAATTAAATATTTCTAGTGTGAACCAAAATATAATACTAAATATTATACAAGTGATTTCTCTTAACCAAAATGACAAAAATGGCATAAAAACACATATTATTCTAATACGGGTCCTTTTTGACCCACTTATGGAAGAGTGTAGGGTCCGTCACTCGTGCATCTAAGGGTTAACTTATTTACAAACAAGATACAAATAAAAAAAATGGTCAGCGATAAATATCAAAACAGACTCTAATTCGTCGTATTAGTTTTCCAGGTTGAGGATTTTAGTTGGCTTTAATTATGGACAGTTTTCAACATTTAAGGATTTATATTCGTCCAGAATAGTTTGCAACTAACACACAAGATGACCATCAACACAAAGGACGAATATCCAGGTCGAGCAGGAAGTACTCACTGAGAGCGGCGATGCGCAGGGGAACCAGGGAGGGGAGGCTCTTATAACAGGGAAGCTTCATCAGAGCAGCATCCTCTGCCTCACACAGGTTCAACAGCTGGAAGGAGACAAGAGAAACATTAAGGTCAGAGGTCAAACATCAGGGCGCTGAAACTAGTGATTTCAGATGTTAGCTTGATTGAGTCCAATGTTTGCAAAACGGTTATATAAAATATCTTAAATCTAGGCCTAGGGTGCCTTTGCATTGTTCTAAATAAGGCAAATAGCTTTGTTTAAATAACCATAAAAAAACGGAACTTTTAAACAAATGTGTGAGAAAGAAAAATAGATTGTATTAACATCCAATCCAACTTTATTTATATAGCACATTTAAAACAACAGAGTTGACCAAAGTGCTGTACATCAATAAATATATAAAAAGTAGCATAAATACATTTAGACAAAACCGATAGGACAAATAAACAAATGTAAAAGCACGAGACAATAAAACCATACTTTGATATGAACTCTCATACATGATGTAAAAACATGTTTCATACCTCTGTGTAGAAGACCTTGTGCTCCATGACATTGAGGTCCATGGTGAAGAGGCGGGGCTGCAGGGTGGTGCAGAAGGTGTTGCCCTCCATCAGGCCGATCTGAGCGTTGGCAGGCTGGTGGCGGAGCAGGTGCTTCTTCGGGGGAACCATGTCTTGCAACACCTGAAGAATAAAGGACATCCCAAGAAAACAATTAGAGAGATTTCAGAATGTATCAGTGATCCAACACATTCCCTAACTGTAGCCCATTTTGTGTTGAAGATCATTTCACAGCTGTTTTTATATCTAGCACAGCATTTACATGTAGTTTTAGAGAAACTGTAGTCCTTGGTTTCACCTCTTTGTGTGGTTCCATGATGACAGTCACACTCTTGCCGGTAACCTGAGCCAGCACCTGCAGGGAGTGCATGGCCTGCTTCCTGACGGTGGAGTTTGGGGAGGTGACCTCTCGCACCAGGTCATGAGTCACCATATGGAAGGACTTGTCCTGGGCGGCCAGCAGCTCCTCAGTCTTCTCCTCATCCTTCAGTGGAGTCGCACAGCGCACCAGCAGCTGCTCCAGGGTCGTCTTAGCCATGGCTACTGCTCCGTTTGACACCTTGGGGTGAAAATCAATAGATTGGTAAGTTAAATGCCATAAAGTGAGAGTATGGTGGTGCTACAAAATAGGAACGCTGTTAAATTCCACCTGTGTTAAACATTGTGCGAGTACAAAGGTAAAACATTTGCTGAATATTAGACATTTCAGTCATTTCCTCTCACCTCTCCCGTGAGGTCCATCATGACGAAGAGCAGAGCCTTGAGGAAGGTGAGCTGGTTCTGCAGGACCCAGATCAGAGGCAGTCTCTCCATCAGGAACTTGATGGACACCACGCCGCCCAGCTTGGCGTACCAGGCCTGCTCATAGCAGCAGGCGCACAGACGCTCCACAATGTAGGAGAACAAGGGCAGCTGGCACGCCTGAAGAAGAGGAGAGGACAGGGTGATAAACTGATTCTCATCTTAGGAATATCAAATATGAATACATAGATCGAAATGTCCAAGAATAGTTAGAAAATGTCAAAAATCGAAATCTTAATTCTGTCAATAGAGTATCAGAAGTTCACCTCAAACTTCAATATGTGAACAAAAGTAATCAATTTGTTACAAAAAATATTTTTAGAGGGTTGATCTAGTAAAAGATTGAAATAATAATAATAATTTCAGGTGTTATATTAATGGCTATTTGGTTTACCATAGTTGCAAAACAGTTGATTCAAAGAGTTAAAGGCTTGTTGTCATGTGCACAATGGCTACACAGTAGTTGTTGGCAAGGAAAATCTAAAGTCTCCTCCAGCTATACAACATCACACATAAAACACAGCAAGAATATGGAGCAAGAGGCACAGTGGTGCAAGTAAAATGCAGAAATAAGTAAAATATATACATGGAAAATGGTTCAAGATTAGATAAAAACTGCATTTAAAATGAAATACTGTAAAAAAAAATGCTGTGTAATGATATATATAATAATAGCTTAGTTGATAGCATGTTTAAGCATAAGTGCTAATGTCTTTACTACATTGACAGACTACTGAACCCCCCCCCCTCTCCCCCTCCTCCCGGTGACGTACCCTCTCCTTGGAGCCGAGGATGATGCTGGCCACGTCGAAGATGACGGCCAGGGCCACCTCTCCGATCTTACACAGCTCCTTCTCCTCGTAGGCCATGCAGATGGCGATGGCGTCGATCAGAACCAGCGGGTCCATGCCCTTGGAGCCGTTCTCCTCGCTGTGGAACATGGCGGTGCTCGGCTGGCTGCCCAGCTGGTAGCTCGGCAGCAGGAACGGACCTGGGGTCACGGGGGGAGGACAAGTGGAAATTAATGATGAGTATACTGAAATATATGGATGTAAATTGCTCTGCACAATATTTGGTAAAGGCAATAAATGTGAAAATATCTAAAAGTATGGTGATTAAGTCCCGGTTTTACAAATGGTATTCTGTAAACTTAATTTTAAATTCTTGTTTAGTACAGATCGTCCTAAAAAAAAAAAAGTATTTAATAAAATATTATTTTCTGCTAATACAAATTGAAAAAGATTTGTATCTTTCACGGTCAACTTGTATTTATTTTACAATTTTAGCTCGGTTTTATTTTCTATTTTGAGATTTATTTTCTATTTCGAGATGTTTATACTTTATGATTGTTTATTTTCTACTAATTTTATTTTCCAAATGATGTGTTTCAACATGCCCAATGTCCCAATGTGGGATCAATAAAGTATATCTTATCTTAACCAGAGGACACATTTAGTAAGTGACTGATATTCCCGTGCAGCTGGGACTGAACACCTAATGCTAAAACAGAGAGCTAATATTAGCTGCAGAGCAGAAAGAGCAGCGGCCCCTCACCACACTGCTGGGCCACGGCCACCATGGTGTAATGGCGGATCAGGCTGGCGACGAACGGCAGCGCGCTGGGCCTCAGGTCCTTTATCACGGCTGACATGAACGCCCCCGTCAGAGCCTGCTCAAAAGTCCTGCGGGCCGGCGTGTCCTGAGCTTTGTAGCGGTGAGAGATGATGACATTGGGGATCCACTTATCAGCGAAGCTAAACAGGGGACAAAAGACACAATGAATAAGAGGATTACATATTAAGAAGGGAACTATACTATGTGGAAATTTGACTTTCTTTAAAAGGGGACCTATCATGCAAAATGCACTTTTGTACGTCTTTTATACATGAATATGTGTCCCCGGTGTTCCAGGGAACTCACCAAGTACATATACTCTAGTACGGTGATTAAGTAAAAAATGTAGATACTTGTACTTTGCTTGAGTATTCTACTTTCTACTTCTTTAATTCACTGCATATTGTAGGTGAAATGTTATACCCTTTAGTCCACTTCATTTATTTTACATATTTACTTCTTCCACCTCTGGTCTGCAGCCCCTAAACCTCTAACTCCAGTGTTTCCCATACATTGATTTATGTGTGGCGGGCAGCCACAATTAAATATTGTCCGCCACAAATGGGTCTCATAAAAAAAGATATATACATATATTTATATTTTTTATTTTCATTTTTCATTTAATCGTTTATTTGAAGAGGGACAGTGCACATTGATGAACATTTAAAACAAATAATGCTTTAAAAACGTAAACATGCCGGATTTTAGCTTTGAGCTAGTTTCCATCCGTAGTCCCTCACATACAACATTTAAGAACATGACATTTATATACATAGCAAAATAAATACATGATATGCAGAATAGTGAGGTGGGCTGATGATCGGAAGGTTGCGAGTTCAAATCCCGCCTGGAACACCACTACTAGTGTGCCCTTGAGTAAGGCACTTAGCCCTCAGTTACTCCAGGGAGAATGTCCCTGTAATTGGTCATTGTAAGTCGCTTTGGAATAAGGCGTCTGCTAAATGCCTAAATTGTAAATTATATTTTTGGGAGAATAAACCCCACAGATCCTCCGGTGTGTCTCACTCATTAACAAAGCAACCCAGAGCAACAAGAACGTTGTCTACAGTAGCCATGAACTCGCATGTATTTTCTTATTTTCAGGGGGGGTGGATGCGTGGTCCACCCGAATAGGTTAAGGGGCCTTTGGCTTTTCTTGCCGGGGGGGGTGCGGTGCCCCCACAAATAGAATCAAATTCTGTGGGAAACACTGAACTCTATCTTTGTCCTTAATATATTTCCTTTCCTTAGCTCCTTTCCTCTTCCTCCCTCTTTGTCCCCCCGTTGGTATTTGTGTTATTTACTGCAGCTGAAGGCAACAGGGCCTTGGTGTGATTGAGCAGCTGTTTTCTCCATGCTTGAGCTTGTGTTTTATAATGCCACACGCCAGGGGCAGACCTGATGGATCGCTTCATTTCATTATTGCCATTTAAAAGACCTGCTCTTTGAAGGAGGAGGGAGAAGAAGTGGAAGTGAGGGAAGGGTGAGGTGAGAGGAGAGGGAAGAGGCTGGTGGGTCAGAGAAAGTAGAGCCGCCCTCTACTTTGACAGGATGTCAGACAGATGGCATTTCATGATTTGTGTTATTTTTCCTTTTAAAACTGAAATTCTAAATACTGAGTGACCACAAACTGAAGCAGAGATTGGTAAAGAAGATTAAGGGAGGCAGAGAGAGAGAGAAAAGGGAGACAACATCTTTCAAAAGATAGAAATAGGACGCTGCAAATGGAAAGATGGTAGCAGAGGAAGGGGCAGGCCTCCTGATCATAACTGACACACTTCATTATCCCCGCAGAAATGTGCACACGGACCCATTCATGTTCATGTGTGTGTGTCAGTGCGTAATGACAGGAGAGTGTAAGGGCCATGGTGAAGCATCAACAGACAGCGGAAAGTCAATTAACCCCCTGCCCGGGGATCAATGATGGTAATGTGACAAACCAGCCAACAACCAACCCCCCCCTTTCTCCTGTTGGTCTCTTCATGTATGTGTCTGTGCCTGCCAGAGGGGGGGGGGGGGGGGGGGGGGGGGGGGGGGGGGGGGGGTGTAATTAGCAACTCTGAGAAGGAATTGATGAGGAAGTGTGCGGTGGGGAAAGAGGTGAAGACGTGACGTGAGAGGCTGAAAGAGGGGCACGTCAGCAGGTGGAGGGGTGGGGGTGGGGGTGTGACGATATACTGGTGTGGGGGAGTGAGCAGTTGGCGGGGATATATCTCAAGGTCAAGATGAATCAAGTAAAGGTTAAAGAGGGGATCAGATACATACGATCTTCTTCTGCGAATTGTGAAGTGCAATTTCCACTGAATGTATGTTGATAAATGCACTGCAAAGGACGTGCCTTCAAATATATTTGACACATCTCAAATCTAGCTTGAATAATTCATTAAAACTACACAATAACAAACTGGCACACGTTTATAATCAAAATAAATGGATTTTGCATCCAAGCAGTGCTTCTGTTTGCACGGTACTGTTTAAATTAACGTTATATAGCTAGTAGCTGAGTCTGTAGGGACTTGGCTTTGTAACCGGTGCCAAGACACCGGTTCAAGTCCCAATCAGACCTAACTAATATGGACTGTGGACTGGTTGTTGTAGAGGTGCCCTTGAGCAAGGCATGTGTGCACCTACACCTGTATTGCAAATGCATGTGTCTATTTGAACTGTTCGTGTATTCAGCACCAGAAAAGCTTCCGTCTATTGCGTTATCGCCTTAAAGTTACCAATGACATCATTGCTTTACATGTGGTGACAAATACTATATGGCTCAGGAGGCTGCCCATAAAAATGTGGATATTCCCCACATACCGTATGGTTATTGCAAATACCACAATAACCAAACAATCCAGACACATGCCACAGTCAGAGGACAGATGTTTTACTTACTTGGGATGAGAGAGGAGCTGGTAGAGGGCGTGCTTGTTGTCGTCCAGACTGGTCATGGCCACCAGGAAACACTTGATGACCTCCCAGGCCTGGCGTCTGTAGTACGGCTCCGTGTTGGCGCTCTTCAGACAGTCCAGAGCCGTCTCTATCGCCTTGAAAGAAACATACAAGACAAACCATTTTATTATTCTGAAGCGACGAGTTCCCATGTAGCAAAATGTCAAAAAATCCATATGATTCATAGGGGAATTAAATTGCGATTCACGGCTATATATCTGATTCATTTGAAGGAAGTAACACAGGGCGCCATCTGGCCAAGCAAAGGTCATTATGATTTCCACATTATGGCTTGACAAGCCCACACAGGCACTTAAAAAGGGAGAAAATGAGCTAATTAATGCCACTCAGAGCGGAGGGGAGAAGATGATGAGTATCGGAGAGGAGAGGAGAGGGAGGGTGAGGGGAGAGATAAGGGCAGAGCAGAATTAAGTTGTAGACCTGTCAGTGTTTTAGGATATTTCTGTCAGGACTAAGGCTATGAATAGTACTCTATTACTCGTACTTAGATGTGAATTTAAAGTGGACCTATCATGGTATATTTAAATGATATATTGTAGGGCCATACCTATATAAGGTATATTTATACGTTTCTGTTTTCAAAATACCAAACAGATCATGCATTTTAGCCATGCCTCATTTCGCTCAATTTGCACTTTTTTTTTTAGCTCTGCTCTGCAAGGGCAGATTCAGTGAGAACACCACCACCTACTGGCCTGGCATATGTACTACAGCGTCTCCAGCGCTTTCGAACGGCAATGGCCGTGGCTGTCTCCTCCTGATTGGTGGAGTTGGCCCAATATCCGTAGCGCCACCGTCCTGACGTCAGGACAGTGTTCAAATCTGGATCAGTTTTTATCAGATCCGTTGCAGCCCCTTTTTTTAGAGATTTGGGTATGGAGGAAAATAGAGAGGGTTGTGTTTTCTGACACTTGGTGAGTTCCCTGGAACACCGGGGACACATATTCATGTATAAAAGACGTACAAAAGTGCATTTTGCATGATAGGTCCCCTTTAAAAGTAAAGTATGCTGCTTGAAATCCAGTGTTTTACTTGTGCTACCCTAAAGAGATTCAAGTTTTCCAAATCAGTTATTTGATCTCTCCGTTCACCTTACAGCACATTAAACCATCTCTCCCTCAATGTGCCAACTATCCATATGGCTGAATCATAAGCCTAGAGATTCAAGCCTTCAGCATGAGCAGTGAGTGTGAGTGTGAGTGTGAGTGTGAGTGTGAGTGTGAGTGTGAGTGTGAGTGTGTGTGTGTGTGTGAGTGTGATGCCTTTGCCCAGGATGATGATGGCGAACACACAGATGGATAGCCAGAAAGAAGGAGCAGCCATTAGTGAGAGTAAATAATGCTGTCATGGTGGCCCACACTAGATTGATGATTACTGACTGGGGATGAGGAGGAGAAACAGGAGATGAATTTAATTACCTAGAGGACACACACATCTACTCACTCTCACACACGAGCGCAAACTCCTGACAAGGATGTATTGCTCTCAATGGAGCACAATAATGAAGAGTATCTAGCTATTTTACATTTAATTCCTTTTTGTCGAGCTGAAATAGAATGGTTAAAAGGGGGAAGACAGACTCTTTGGATTGATTAGTTAGTTATAACTGAGAGGGTGGTCTTACCTTCTCCATGGGGAGCTGTATGGACGCCTTGCAGTCGGTGAATTCTGCCTTGATGCTCGGCCCCTGGACCTCGGTCACCACGTAATGCAGCCTCTGAGACTCCTTCAGCATCTTCCGGTTGCTGCCACCGAACTTTCCCAACACCCGGTAGGCCACGTGAGAGATGCTCTCAGCCGGGTTACGAAGGGTACGCCACAACGCCTGCAGCACAGGAGGAGAAGGAGAGGAGTTAAAAGCCTCAGTGTTGATAGGAAACAGAATAAGGGGGTAAACTATTTAAAACAGGGAATCAATGTCTACAGTCATGAAAGACTACATCTACGGGGAGGCATGTGGCGCAGTGGACTAGGGCGTTGGTGATCGGATCAGGGGAGCACAGGTTCAAACCCCACTGCAGTCAGCATGTCGGTCTGTCCCTGGGAAAGACACTTCACCTCAAATTGCTCCTGTGGGGATTGTCCACAGTATTGAGTATGTAAGATCGCTTTGCGTCTAACAAGTAACATGTGATGTAATGTGATAATCTACACCACAATAAAGTCAACACAAAGCAGGGAGAGCTTATAAGTCGCACAGGACTTGTCATTGCAGTAATGAATCACACATCACAGTTCAGCAGTATTGTTGTTAAGTGGTGTGTGTGATTGATCCTGGTTGTGTGTATGTCTGGAAATATTGTAATATCCACTGTTTACCACTAGAGGGCAGGTATGCCAAGGGCCTTTAAGTGACTGCTCTAATGAGTCGATATAAATCAATGAGGACCCTTAGAGACAAGTGAGAAAAAAGAGCTGGTGATTTATATTTTAATACTGATCTAAAAGTTGTTTTGTCTTCTATGTTGACTTAACTCTTGAAAAAAAAATTTTTTGCAAGGATAACCTTCAGAAGTTTCTCTGAAGAAGTGTGACAAGTGTGTTAAGTTACCTTTCTGTCATCCGTGAGAACAGGTGAAATAATACAATATATGTTCCTTTTCCATGGAGAAATGATAACTAACCTGGAGGAACACAGGGACTACATAAATGCTTTTAGCCATATTTATAAGAGAAAGTAGTGGTGCACGTCAGCATATGCAAGAGTCTTGAAAAGTGTATCCTCGCCGAAAACAATGTTTCCACCTACTTTTAAAGGGGGCTGTAGCACCCCCATCTGCGAGGCTCCACTAGCACCCGCACCCCCAAAAGCGGCGCACACAGTCCACTAGCACCCCCCCCCCCAGCGGATCACAGTTTTGCCACTGAGAGAGTGTGTGTATGTGTGAGGAGCTCCACGGATTGGTGGAGTGATGTGACCATACAATGGAAAAATAGAAATCTCCAACGAGGCATTCTGGGGCAGCATAGACAGGTATTTTCTGTGTTTTACTCGCCACAGGATGTACTTTGATCAACACCGTAGAGGAAACATTGAGATAAGACTTAGAAAGAAGATTGCCATAATGTCTTCAAAAAGCTCACAGGGCTACTATAAAATCAGTGTCAGGCCAGGCAGCTTAGAAATATTTGCATTGGACATTAGGATCATAGGAACACCCCCCCCACCTGCATGAGCTCGGCTCTGACGGGCTGGATGTGGTCGTACAGGAAGTCGGGCTGCAGGTTGTCCACACACAGCTCCAGGGTGCGGAGGCCCTGGCTGACCAGAGTCTGAGAGCCGTTGAGAGCCGACACCAGCGGGTCCATCAGCATCGGTAAGTACGGCAGCAAGGAGCTCAGACGCACCGGCACCGTCAGACACAACTCCACAAACAGATCCTTCATGTGCTGCTTGTGAAGCCCACTCTGCAGCATGTTCAGACCTAATGGCATGGAAAGGATTAAGGATTAATTAGGCGAGGAGAAGGTATTAATGGAGGGGCGTACGTACGTCTTCAACACTCATCAAATACAACTCGTGTTTCATTCAGAGCATGCGAGGCGTTACCTTGCAGCAGGTTAGGTAGAAGCGGTAGGAACTCCTGGTAGAGAAGATCATGGCTGCCTCCACCAATGGAGCGGAAGAGAGCTCGGAGAAGCAGGAAGTAGTTGTAGGGTTCCTTAGCTGATTGGGCGAGCTCCATGGAGCTGTTCACGATCTTGTGGAGGTGTGGCTGAAGAAACAGGGACAGTTTAATATTAGTGAAGAGTCACAAAAAATGACACAGCCTTGGAAAATAAGACCCAATAAATCCTCCTACCTTTAGCATTTGCTCATTCTCAGCAGCAAACAGTGACACTGAGCCAAATACCAGTTTGAAAAGCTTGAGGTAAAGATTTGAGAGCTCGACGTTAGAGCCCATCTCTGGTAGTCTCTCGAGAAGATACTCCACGAGGATGGTGGCAAACAGAGCCGACGTTGACAGGTTGGCCAGGAACGAATTTGCCACAATCTGGGAAACAACAGAAAACAAGAAATATAATATGAGCACAATGGATAATTTCTTGTTTAATAAAAAAAGCACCCCATTTCTTGTTTGTGTGCAAGACATCACGTACCTGCAGTGCATAGTTCTTGGAGATCCTCTCCACCATGTAGGGCACAGTGGTCTGAAAGATCTCCTTGAATGTGAGAGGGTTCATCATGGTGAAGACTCCGGCAAAATGCTCCAGGACTTCTTTCTCCTCCTTCATGCGAACAGTCTGACAGTTTGCCACCCTGATGTACGTCTGCTGGTTGTTGGCAACCTGAACCTGGAGAGGGAAAAACATGACCGCTGTTAGACTGGGATGTTGCTGGAATGAAATCACTGTAATTACCAGAGCCCTGTCTTCCTGAACTTACATGTGAAGAATTTCGATACGAGACAACTATTTTGTCATTGCACAAATAAAAGTTAGAGATGGTAAAGTCACAATTCATTGGCTGTACCTGGTAGATGTCCAGGGCCTGCATGGCGTATTTCACCAGCTTAATGTAGATCTGGGTCTCCTTCGGCTGAAGCTGCTTGTTAGGAATGAATTGAGCCTCTGGAAAAAGAAGATTTTAAAAAGACAGACGTTAGAGAGTGCATGTAGGTCAGCGTTTCCGCCAGGGGGGGCGTCTTGCCGTCAGCCCTGGTCTGGCGGAAACACTGATGTGGGTACATTTCAAACAATTTAAGATAGATATGCATTTGTATGCCATGCCCAATGCCTAATGTATCCGTGTCCTCTCACCTCCTGGAGCTTTGCAGGACGTGATGCCCCAGGTGATCGTCTTCACTCCGCACACCAGAGTCTTCACTAAGCTGCGGCAGTCGGACACCTGGAACGTCTGCTTGTCTTCCTTCTCACCAGCTCTGTCTAAGGACGTTGATGGAGGTTGAGGCGCCGCAGCCACGGGTGTGGGAGGAGCGGGAGGAGGTAAAATGGCCGGAGTGGTGGATGGAGTGGGTGTGGCCGGTACACCAGGTAACACTCCTGGTTCGACCACACCCATCTCTGACTGGGGCTTGCACTTTTTGAAGATGGAGACCAGCTGGTAGCGTGCGATGGTGTGGAACTTCAGCACAAAGACCTGAGGAGACAGGAAGTGAAAAAGTGACTCAACATGTCTTTATTAAAGGTCCCCTATTATACTGTTTTTCATCAATATATCACAGGTCTCAGATATATACAGAGCCTGTCTCTGATTGGCTGAAACACCAAACAGATCATTGCAGCATCCCATAATCCCCTCTGTTTCAGCCCTGTTTCAAAAGTGCTGATTCTCTGTCTGTTACTTTAGATGAAAATAAGGAGCCCCTCCCCACGCCCCTCTGAGAGAGATTTGGTTACAAAGAACACAATGGTGCTCTAGGAGGAGATTCAGGTGATAAGGTGGTTGGGGGGGGGGGGGGTACCTTGGTTGCTGATTGGCTAATGGTTACACAAGCCAAAAAATCGTTATGACATCATAAAGTGGCCAAAATCTGATCGGCTCATTTTCAGACAGGTTTTTATATAAATGGATCAGGACAAAAAGTGAGAGAATCTTTTTGCCTGAAACTTTCAGAATCTCTTTACACAGAGGGGACACATGTTGATGTAGAAGAGACATGAAGAAGAGGGGACACATGTTGATGTAGAAAAGACATGGAAAAGGTGGATTTTGCATGATAGGTCCCCTTTAAAGTATATGTAATATGCATCATTGATATGCTCTGTGTTGCGTACCTCCAGCATCCTCATCAGGATGTCCCGCCCATTGCCGTTCTCCTGCTCTGACTTAGAGCGGATGCAGTCCACCAGGTTGAGCAGCAGCTTGCAGGACATGGTCTGGATGTTGCTGGGAAGGGACTCGTCATCAATGTTCTTGGCAAAGAGCTGCACGGCTAGGGATAAATCTGTCAGGGGCAAGTTCTGACGGACGTGATGCACCAGGTCTGCCAGGGTGCTGTAGGCCAGGGGTCTGAAAAGAAAGGGAATCATGTAACTATGACACGTGGAGCACAATTCAAAGGTATTATGTCCCTTTGCTCCAGTGTGTTATATTGGTTTGTGTGCCTATAAATGGTCTGCAAAGGCTCAAATCCTTAAGTTCCTATGTAACAGCCAAACGCACTTCTATTGGCTGATGCTCCAATACATTGTACGTGGCTATGGGGCGGGACATCTCCAATCGGTTGACCAATCACAACAGAGCAGGCCAGCTAACCAATCAGAGCAGATTCGGCTCTGGTTTCAGACAGAGGGTGAAAAGAGGTGCTCACTCTCACTACTACTCTCACTTTTTTTTTTTTTTAAACCATTTTTCTTTTTGTATTACTTTTAATATAGTATATTTTAATATTGGTTAATATTGTCTGCTTATCTGTATTATTGTGTTGCACTGTTGGAGAAGCCTGTGACATAAGATTTTCAACGACATAATTACTCTGTAGCTATGTTAGTTTGACAATACAGAACCTTGAACCTTGCAGCAAAGGCAGTTTGAGAAAAATAGACCTTTTTGAACATTAAAGCATGATAACATGTCCCAGTAGAGACACTAAATGCAAATATGAACCTAAAAATGAGCAGAATATATATTCTTTTTAATTATATTTTATGACTTAATAGTAGTAGAAACCGAACAGCCGGCTCTAGTGACCTGACATTTTCTAAAAAACTAGTTTTAGGAAAGGATAAGCCAGGAAAAGGTTTGACAGATATGGAAAGCAGCTCTGGGATGCAACTAACTGCGAGGGAGATGTGGAGGAGAAAGGGGAGAAAGGGAGCTAATCACTGACACTAATAGTCCTGCCAACTGCCTTGTTTCCAATTCAGCACTAATGTGAAATGACAGCTATTTTGTTGATGAGGTGAGCCAGTTTGGCATCTGAAGAGGGTCAACAAGGCTTTGAAATCGACCTGAGGAGGGATGTCAGCACGCCCTCCGGAGATGCAGGTGTACGTGACAAATTGACATTGAGATCTGCTGCAGGCGCCGAGTTAGCTTCCCTGAAAACCTCAGCCGTACAGAGAAACGCCTGATTAATATGCTAGGACACTTACCATGCACCTGGCTGAGAAATCAACCACAAGAGAGAGAAAGAGAGAGATACAGACACTATTGAAAATGATGGTATAAAACTCACCTCAGAGTCTCTCGTGCGGTGTAGCCAGAGCCGATCAGGATGGATTCATCGAAGAGTTTGTCCATGCAAGGAATAAACTCTGAAAAACAATAACATATATTTTTGTTATTAAAATTTGAGGTGAAACCCAAAATGGGGTAGACATGTTTCTTCACAAAAGAGGTGCATATTTTGATCAATTTCTCATCTTTATTATCATTGAAAAATATGTCTTCATATGTCTTCATGAATATGACTTCATGAAGTCTGCTTCAGTAAGTCTGTAGTAGGTCAAGATATCGCTGCAGCGTCACAGTACTTCTTTCAAAATGGTATTTTAACAACTAAATATACAAAATATTGGGGTTCTTGCGATTTGAATATTGCGATTTCGATGTATTTTGATTAATTCTGCGTCCCTACTACACTTGTTGCAGTATATGGTGTTAAAAAATACATTTTTACAAGACAAAAGAATAATAAACGTGCATGAAGATATCGAAAAATGTGTTTTTATTCAATATAATAGTAACTGTATCACTGCCCCTTCCTGAGTGACAGAACAGTGGCTGCAGCACCTATCTATGGTAAGATAGTTTCCTCAGTTTTCTGCAACTCCAAAATGTCAAATCTCTTGCAGAAATTGATCCAAATGACTGAAAATGGTTTGAGCCCAGAAGTAACTCACGATATAAAGGCAGAAAATTGTCCCAAATGTGTTATCGCTGTCTCAAGTTTCCCCTGATGGGTGGTTGAGCTTTTATTCCATTTCATTCAGTCTCACCGCTCAGTCACAGAATCAAAAATGGGGGGTTTTTTGCAGCCGGGTTCACAGCTTATCAAAAATGTATTTCAGTGTGAAATGTGCAAAATAGAGTTTGACATTCTCTGCAATAATGTAGGCTGCTAATGTCTTGACCGGGAGGAATATATTAAACTATATTATCTTTAAAGTTTCTTTAACTTTTACTGAGGAGAAAATAAGTGTTGGAAAGAATTAATTGGGAATGGGAAGAATATTTAAAACTCCTATTAAAACTAGAATTATAGCTACACAGGTAAGGTTTGCTAAATAGTCCCAGTTTACATACAAGTAATTTGAGCCGAGCTTTTTTTTCTTCGTTTAAGCGAATGGGACAAACACATTTCAAAGAACATAAGGGATATGTGCAATTGTGTCACCGGTGCAAATCTTCCAGCCTTTTAATGTTCCTGTTTTTTCAGTGTCCGTGTGAGTGTGAGAGTGTGTGTGTGAGTGTGAGTACATACGGCTGCGTAGGTCCGTGGTGAGGATGTGCTTGGCGGCGATGAGCAGTTCCTTGCGGAGGTGGGCGGTCTCGGAGGGGCAGTTGGTCAGCAGCTGCAGCATGCCCTTCACCATCTGCTGGGAGTACTTCCCTACCAGGTCCTGGTCAGGTGCAAATACAAGAGATATGAGTGAAAGCAATATTAACTCATAGTAGTCCTGTTGTTAAGGCAAGCTATGCTCGGCCAAGAGAAATTAAAACATCAATCAAGTCAAATGTTGGAGTGATTATTCAATAATTTTTGAATTTGATATATTTTCATTTAATTTGGACAGACAGGGTGTCAATAACAACACAAACAACTATTCACTAAAACCCCAAATTGAATTATTTCTATGTTTTCTTTTAAGTTAGAGCCAATTGTCAGATTGTTTACTGCCTTTAACACTATCTTCAGAGGAAGCTATTTGTGCTGTCATGCAGTGTGAAAACTCAATCTAAAAGCTCAGTAAATAAACAGTCGTATTTTCATTTTCTAATTGTCTTGTTTTATCTTTATTCTTCTGAGCGTCAGTGTCTTTATATCAGCGAGCACATTATAATACACTCTGTTTTCTGTCAATCACCGGACGCCCACGAGGAGAAAATATATCAAGAATCCTTCAAAACACGCCGGCTTGATTTACCATATCTACATATTTATGCAGGGGATTTTCACTTGTAAATAATATCAAGCCGAGTCTGACAAGAGAATGCAACAAGAAAACAAGCATTTAAAAATGATATGTGTGTGTAGTACACATTGAAAGATACTGGTGAGAAAGCACATAATGCAAGAAGAGACTTAAAACACAATAAACACATATTTCTGTAAGGCAGGATTACTCATTGAACTCAATAATTGACGGTGTAAGCTTAAATCCAACAGGTGTACCTGGTAGATGCGGATGATGTAGGCCAGAAATGACAGAGTCTTGATCTGAGCAGCGATGAAGTCGGCGTACAACTCCTTGTTGTAAAGCTTGTGTTGTCTGCAAAGGAAACGGCACAATTTACACATTGCAGTCAGTCCAATAGAAGGTTTAGGGAAAATACTGAATGTAGTCTTCCAATATCAGAGTACACATGATAACAAAGGCCCTACGTAGCTGTGTACGTGACCCGGATGTATGATTACCTAGAAGAGCGTCAGGACTGTTTTAGGCATATGATAGCTATGTGATTAACATGATGATTCAGCCTCTATGGAGATACACATATGACAAGCATGATCATTTCTGACGTGGAGCTAATCTGAACTAAACATTGAATACTGCTTTCTATTCCTCCATCTTGTGACTGTGTAACTCCCTCTCTTGTATATCAGCATGTGAAGGACACTGTTCAGGAACTAGTTGATGCTCTGTATGTGATGACTGCTTTTTTGAGATTTTGGGAAAAAAAATCAGAATTTAGAGATTTTGAATGAAAAGTCAGAATTTTGAAATGTTGAGAAAAAAAGTCAGAATTTTGAGAAAACAAATACAGAATTTTGAGATTTTGAGAAAAAAGTCTGAATTTTGAGATTTTGAGAAAAAAGTCTGAATTTTGAGATTTTGAGAAAAAAGTCTGAATTTTGAGATTTTGAGAAAAAAGTCAGAATTTTGAGAAAAAGTCAAAAACCAACATTTTGAGAAAAAAACTCAGTATTTTGTACATGATAGTATGTATGATTACTTAGAAGAACTGGTATTCCTCCATCTTGTGACTGTGTAACTCCCTCTCTTGGATATCAGCATGTGAAGGACACTGTTCAGGAACTAGTTGATGCTCTGTATGTGATGACTACTTCCATTCTTGAGAGGATCATAAATACATGGATCCTGAGATTGAAGCTCAAGCCTGTGACGACGAGTGATACTTTTGTAACAGAAGGCATTAATGATGTTGTCTACCTGCAGTAGGTGACGATTAAAGAGGTTGATATAGTTGGTCTACATATGGGACTTGGTTCTGGATGGGTGATTTGTTTGTTTGCGTCACAGCTGGTACAACACATCAGGAGAACCGTCTCTCTATACCTGCCTGAGGAGTTGTTAAATTAACTCCATTTCTGTCGTGTTGCGAACGCTTAACACTCCTGCTACCCCGAGAGCGTTTACCTCCTGCTAAGCCAATTTCTACACTTTTTACTTCCCCAAAATGGATTTTAACTCAGGCTTTGTCAGGCGAAGTGGAAAGGCAAAAGCACCAAGAAACTTAGTACCAGAGAGGAAGATGAAGAGGAATCTAATTTGTTCTATTTAACCTATGGCTGTAAAGTGAAATTTAAAAGTTGTTATACGGCATTTTTCTTTCAAACGTATCCAAGGCACTGAGAATCATCTCACCTGGCCTGCGGAGACACCTGCAGCATGATGGTGTTCATGATGAGGGGCACGAACTCCGACACCACATTGTGAATGTTCAGTTTATAAAGCTGAGGAGAAACACAGTCTCGTTTTAATACACATGCATGGTTACAACTGAAGAAATGAAAAGATGCAGTTTAAACGTTCACGGCCATCTCCTCGTGCTCAGCAGGGACGCTCAGATCTTATCAGTTTGGCTTACAGCATCCAGGTTGTTCAAAAGGTACGTCACACTCACACTCACACTCACACATACTTACCCAAACAAGCGCTCTCACATTCACGTACCTTTGACTGGACTAAAGAACATCGCTCTCATCACAGTGCCCCAGCTGAGCACAAGGTCAACATAATTAAAAAAGGTACATTAAATTAATTATGTATAAGAAAATTGTATTGAAATGTGTTTCTTTAAATATTCAAATTCCAAAAAATACTATATGAACTTTTTCGTTTTTAAAGGGGACCTATCATGCAAAATGCACTTGATGTCTTTTATACATAAATATGGGGAACTCACGCAGCGTCAGAAAATAAAACCCTCTCTCTTTTCCTCCGTACCCACATCTCTAAAAAAAAGCTGCATTCATCTTCACATGAACCCCAACTGTACTTCATGGTTACAACTGAAGAAATGTATTAAAAAAAAATGTTTTATGGTTATACTTAAGAGAGTTTTTAATGTCCCTTACCTGATACATCAGCACCACGATGATAGGTAGCTCAGCCAGAACTTTGAGGGACAGAGACCCCCGGGGGATGATGGTGTGCTGGAGGCAGAAACAAGGAGAGAAACACAATGAGGAAAGACCGAAATGCCACTTGCTTCTAAACTCTAAAATAAATACAGGAATGCCATTGTACACAGTGAAAAAAAAGTACACAAATTCAAGTTTTAAAGAAGGGTTATACTATTTCTGAGCAAAGGGCTGCAGGCTTGAATCCTTGTCAGTTTGTGTACATTTTCCATAACAATGTGTCACAGATTTTCTACACTCGTCCCATTAGATCCACATTAAGTTAATGCATCATATTAACCTGACAAAAAGTGCATGTGCAATTAAATAAATAGTTGATACACCAGTACAACTTTTATTACTATTTTAGGGTTAGTAAGAATGCAATTTTGTGGTTAATCTTGTTAATTATGTGCCAACTGTTGGACAAATGGGTTTCTGTTTCTGGTGGTGCAGTACTACCATCCTGTGGTTAGAGACAGTACTTTAGCAGTTTGGATTAAAACAAGTGGAAATATAAACTCCTGGTCGTCTTACTGTTCGTGTTTCGCTGTCTTCCCTCTCAGGTGCCGTCTTGACCAACACCGACGTGATCATCCCGACCATTTCTGGGGAGGGGACCGTGTTCTCTGCGATCACCTGCGGGTTCTCAAAGTACCTGGTCTGAGAGGAGCAGAAAGAAACAGTGGTTAAAGGAAACAAAAAGACACAAGTGGCAAGCAAGAGGAGAGACAAAGTCCTCCACTTGTTTACTGAAACCTGCAAAGAAGGGTGTACTTACAACGACTTTGGGAAGCTCTTTGTAGATCTGCTTCACAAAGTCCAGAAAGTGATGAATCTGAGAAGAGAGGATTATGGGGAAACGTGTGAATCCAAGGCTTCAAGAAAGTGTTCAATGTCTCTCTCACTTTTCATAATGAATGAGAGGAAACCAATCATTGATATTGACTTTTCTGGCATCACAGAAATATTGACAATTTCTTTATACCATAAACAAATCGCCAGTTCAGTACAGGTACAAAACAGAGACACTATTTGAGGACAGCTATGTATTTGTTTGGGTGTCAATAAAGCTGAGATTCTCACCTCCTGGGAAATCGGAGGGCGGAACTGTTTGTGCAGCTCAATGATGATGCGGAGGCATATCAGCACATTCTCCTCACTCTCAATCTGTGAAAAGAAAACAGCATGAGTGTGAGATAGCCAAATAAAACCTCCTGTATCTTTAGAATAGCTGTAAAACATTTCTTATACCAACAGATCAGAGTGAAATCATCAATTATCATTGTCAACAACTTTCTTATCTACCTTACTTGTGCCATAGCAATAAACTCTAGCTGTTCAGGGTTCATACACTTTTTCACCAATGATTTTCAATGACTTTTCAATGACTTTTCCATGACCTTTACCTCGTTTTCCATGACCAAAAAAATTACTCTTTCTCAGCGGTACCACTGAAACATTTTTATTTTAACATGGTAAGCTGGAAAATAAGGTCTGCATATGAAACATGTTGTGCCTATCTAAAACAAATCAAATAGTAGGCTTACTAGCTCCTACAGACTAAAGCCACTGTAGACTAGAGGGCGTGATTGTAAAAATCTCTCACCAGCAAAATGCCATTTTACGTTTCATTAATATACAATACAGTATTTATTATCGTTATAGTATTACTATTTCGGCGATTAGATAAAATATAAATTATATTTGATGCAACTTTAGTTACATTTCCATGACTTTTCCAAAACTTTGGGAAAAATATTGTTTTCCAGAACTTTTCCAGGGCCTGGAATTTGCATTTTGAATTTCCATGACTTGGTTTTTAATGACCGTAGGAACCGTGGCTGTTGTAATTGTTTGTAAAAAGCTCAAAATAAGTATTACCTTAACATTAACTGGTACGTGGAAAATGTTGGGTAGTAGTTAACATACGTTTTCCACCTATTTAAGTGCATTTACTGAGAGTCGGAAACTGATTAGCTTTAAGGGAGTATGGCAGATCAACTATAAGCAGTAAAAACAATTGAATAATAACGATGAATGAATGATGCAAAACAATGTAAAATGTTCTGTATATGAATAGGACTCATACCTCCAGGAAGCGGAACATCACAGACAAGATGTTTTTGGTGTGCGGTCGCAGGTGCTCATTTGTAGGAATTCGATGGATTATTTCCAGCACCAACTTCCGCAATTGCTGAAAAAATGGATAATATTTTAAAGCAGACCATTCGAATGTGCGTAAGATTACACCATAACAATATGATCAAATGAACTAGTTAACTCAGAGGGTGTTTGACATTATAATCACAGCAAGCAGTCAATCCCTACAGTGATGTTTCGACATTTAACCAAATCAGCCCAACTCTTGTCTGAAGCTTCACCTGTGTAGGTTTTTCTTGGAGGAATTGCACCTCTCCATCCTGCAGAAACGTGAGGAAGCGAGGGATGATGTGCTCCAAGAAGGTGGAGTACTGAGGAGACGATGTCACATTCTGAAATGAAAAGTCCAGGACATGTTACATCATGTAGTAACTCGGCCGATCCTGCAGTCAGGTGTTGGCAATGTGCAAAATGTCATCAAATACTTTTCTTTGTTGCTGCAGGCCTTTTTCCCGGGCATGAAACACTTACTGTATTGTCCAAGGTCAAACACATCCCTAGAGAATTACACTTGAATAGACTTCTTAAAATCCATCACAACACATCACAAGAGATAAAACATTCATCAAACTTACCTCAAAGTTCTCGCTGACCTCCTGCATCATCTTCAGCTTCGTTTCATCGGCTGGAAGTTGAAGGACAAAATGTCGGCATCAATCAAACTTGCTAAAAGATGCAGTTTAAACGTTCACGGCCGTCTCCTTGTGCTCAGCAGGGACGCTCAGATCTTATCAGTTTGGCTTACAGCATCCAGGTTGTTCAAAGGGTACGTCACACTCACACTCACACTCACATACTTACCCAAACAAGCGCTCTCACATTCAGGTACCTTTGACTGGACTAAAGAACATCCCTCTCATCACATCGCCCCAGCTGAGCACAAGAGCCTCAACAACTTCAACATAATTAAAAGGTACATTCAATTAAGTATGTATAAGAAATGTGTATTAAAATGCTTTCCTTTAAATATAAAAAAATACTATATGAACTTTTTAGTTTTTAATGGAAAAGCTGCATCCATCCTTACATGAGCTCCAACTGTAACTATTACAATTGTAAAATAAAATGTTTTAATTAATACAAATCAGTTATTAACTAACAAAAGTTCTAAAAAAAAATAACTTTAACTGGCTTTAAATCACTAAAGATAGTTTTGAATGCTAGATTATTAAAAAAAAAAAAACATGCACTTATACATTAAATGTGATTATAGATGGATAGATTTTGTCAGTAAATGAATAATATTTCAGACATCAAGTACACAAATACAGTTCAGGGTCTATGAACTCACGTGTGTTGGCGTCTGTGAGCGCTGCCACAAACTGCAGGTACTTCTTCATCAGGGTGGTCTGGTCCACCACCGTGGGGCTGGGGGCCGGCACGAAGGCCATGGTGGCCGACGGGACCGACATGGCTGCAGCAGGGAGGGGGGGGGGGGCAGACAGCAGTCTGCACTGATCTCAGAGGGATAACATGTACACTGTGGGGGGAAAGAGAGGGGGAAATGAGAGCCGTTTTATTAAATTGGATTTATTTATATGGCCAGTTTCATCCCACAGGCCATTAGACGCTTAAACACCTGAACTTTTGAAAGAACATCCATAACATTCACCTGGTTGCAACTTATATATATCAATATTCCAATTACTGTATATCAGGGTATATGCAGGAATCCTGAAGTCAAATGTAAAACCTTTTAAGACCTTTTTTAAGACCCTTTCCATACATTTTAAGACCTCATCGCCACTTGGAGTTTTAACCGGTTACATTGGCGACACACTTTACCTCACATTGACTATATACAGTATTGATTGTCCTTCCTCCTTATCTTCCAACCATTTGGACGCAAACTTGCATTTCCCCATAACGATGTTGTTTAACAACCGGCGTAAACGGGCCTTCGCTCGCTATCAAGCAGTGAGCGTGCGATGTCCTGTTCAGATGACGTCAAATCCAACGGGATTCCATAACTAAACTACACAGAATCACACTACACACCTACGCAATGATTACATTCAGGCACACTGTAGAATACAACCTCTTTGGACAATTTATATACTTATTGAAAACAAGCTACAAAATGTAATACCTTGGAAAATGCCGTTTTAATACTTTTTAATAGCCTTCATTTTCGCTAAATTGATCAACTTTTAATACTTTTTAAGACCCCGCGGACACCCTGAATATAGACTATTCTGCACTGTTTCTACTATATTCTATTTGATTTACTTGCACTATTATCTGTTTTATTGTGTTGTACTGTTGGAGGAGCCTGTGACCTAAGAATGTCATTGTCATATATACACTGTAGCTATGTACACATGACGATAAAAGCCTTGAATCTTGATTAATGTGTGTATCTGTATATATATATATATATATATAGATAGATACTTTATTTATCCTAAACTGGGAAATTATTGTCACAGCAGCGGTGTATTCCGAAGCATTACACGAGTTAAAAATATGTATAAGATGCAATAAGATACAAATATAATACAATAAAAGGAACATGGGGCAAGTATATATATAATAAAAAGCAGCTAGTATCTACAAATTCACAATAGAAAGGACATATATCAATAGAGTATCTAAATAATACACAATATAACGAAAATATTGAATACAATTGAATGTACACTACAATATACAATCTCACCAAGTTAAATACTTATAGATATGTGACTAACAACTATACATACTCGTATAATGTTAAAGTGGGTGTTCAGGTGTGTATCTATATGTATGTGTTTTTATTATTTGGGACGATGAGATACGACATTTCGATCCGTTTGTATCACACACACACACACACACACAGAGAAGTTGCCAATAAAGTTGACTTGAACTCAATCTAAACATGATTTTTGCTGAAAATGGCGTCAAAAATCTCATTAATATCGAGAGAATGTCAGAGTTTGACTATAGACTGTATATCTAAAGAGTTTGATAAGCAAAACACATCATGTAACAAATCCACAAACATGCCTCTTAACGGGCGCACATTGATGACATCATCACAAGCATCAGTTAGCACGACTTTTGTATCCCCCGATCGTATTTGTGAATTAAAAACCGTTTTAAGGTGCAAAGTAGAAACTACTCTATTATTAAGAGGCGTAACACCTTAATGCATCCACTCAATGAAGCCAACACATGCACATTTAATATTAATCTGCAGAACACGCTAGCAACCGCGAGCTAACAAGCTAGCTTTCCCAAAGAAAGAAAGCGCCCGTTGCTCTCAAACTTAAAGGAGGGAATAAACTCAAACCAGAGGGAGAAAGCACATTTTCTCAGACAAAACCGGGTTTAAAAGTTATCCGTTCACAGTAGGCTATGGAAAACACCTACTATTTGGTCACATTTCATACGAAAAAGCGAAAATGTTGCACTCACCCAGCGCCACAGACAGGAAACCGTCGCTTGGTATCCGCCGCGCTCACACTGCTGTAGAGGGTTTGCGGAGCCGAGCAAAGATGTGTGATATCCCTCCGCGTATTGTGCATCATAGTTTCCTTATGTATTTTCCTCTATGAATGAATACACCGTCATGATGTTTGATTGCCTAATTCATATACAAAGAAGTGACTAAATTGATTAACAGTTTTGTTAAAATGGGTTTTATTGGTCAAACGTTTAATTATAGTACCAGCGGAACGATACACAAGGGAAATCAGTGGTTATATGACCATCATTTTCGATGGTCTTCTGGCTCCCTGTGTTGTTTGCAGAGGAGGTAAATTAGCAGGTAACTGCGCACAGTCACTTCCATGGGTAGTGTGGTACAATGGGTCTTGGGACATTATTTAAATTAAGTGATTGATTGTTGGATGTGTTTTTCATCCATTCTAATACATTTTAGGGCTTTAATACCATGCAAATGTCAATTTAGAGGGATATTTCATAACATGGCAACCGTTAAGAGCTGATACTGAGGAGTGGGAAATAAAACTGGATAATTGATGCATGAAGAGTTCTGATGTTGCTGCCACAAACCCTGGAATAAAGGTACTTTATTCACTGTTTAAAATGTCTTGTATGAGTTTGCATTGTTTGTTTTGACCACAAGATGGCAGTCCAATGAAGGAAAGTGGGTAAAGTCACTTGCTCTGAAATCTTCAGTGCTCGGTGTCTAATAAATCACCAGAGACTGTGTTGTTTTTAAATATGTTGTAAGGATATGGCTTAAGAAATAACAGGTCATAGCAGTGGTCAATTATTGGTTGTTGTTTTGTACGTCTTATGTGTTGTTCTTTTATTAATGTTGGAAAATATTAACATGATGGGTGCCAAATAATATTTTACATGGCTTTATCTGGTTTTCATAGATCTTTGTGCAAATTAAAGTATAGTATCTTTCATGATCATTTTAAAGGATGTTCCCAAGTGTCATTGACATTATATGAAGTGGCTTTTATGCATTCAAATGAATGTGTAAATGGCCTAAAGATGTGACATTCTTTCGTTTACATAATGGTTCTTCTCCATAGCTTTGGAAATAATGAAGTCAGGTTGAAAGACGGTAATTATTCATCATGTCCTGTCTCCCGCCTAGATTCATTACTAATGGCTTTGATTGATATTTTTCTCATTCACAGCCTCCTCTTTCCACAGAGTGAACCCACTGGCAAAATACTGCAGTATGATATCCCTTTCAGTTAATATCATACCAAATGTACAAGATAATGTGACATATAATGTGACATTCTCATTCTCCCTCTCGCTCTCTGTTCCCTGAGTAATAAAGATCTGCTAAAAGATGTTTGTCACAGGCTTATTGCGCTGTCCTGTTCGTTTCATTAGTGAGGTTTTTGTGTGACAGGGGCTTTATCCTGAGAGTGGATGACACGCTGTAGTTCCCGCTTTCCAGAAACCACTCATGTGTCCATTAGATTTGTGTGTGTGTGTTTTTGTGTGCACTTCTGCAGCTGCTGATGTACCTTATGATGAAGCCTGATCACCCCTGCATTATTATTTCTCATATAGAAAAAAAAGTGCACTTTCGTTGAACCTGATCATCAACAATACCCTGGAAATCTATTCATGCGCACATCCACATTCACTCTTTCCATCCTTGAGGTCTGCAGAATGAGAGGACATTTTCTCTGCGAACCAGCCGGATGAACATTTGTGAATAAGACTCCATGCCTTGCTTTGTGAATATGGTTGTTGTTATAATGTGATTTAATCAGCATCTACAATCAGCATGAGTTCAAATTGGACTGGCTAATACCTTTTGTCTCTCTCACCTCGGTAGCAGAAAGAAGGTGTGATGTCAAAACTCTGGGTTTAACTGAGGCAGAGTGCGTTACCCATGATGATAATTGATGTTTCACAAGCTTTGCAAAGCTACAAACCCTGTGTACAGCAAACTGAAGGTGTTGATGCCCAAACAATACAGCAAGATCCCGCTTCCCCTATTTCTTTCTTTCTTTCTCCACTCACCAAAAATCTGTGCTGTGATATTTTCGTAAATCTTTTCGCTAAAATTAGCTTGTATTTTGATAACATTTACATTTGTTGGGAAGTTGTCCTGTTGTAAAATCCAAATATAATTTATGACGACAGTAGCAAAAATATTTTACAACATATCTGATTGAAATTAATCTATTGAAAGTATTGCCAAATGATATTATCCAAACACCATTTATCAGAGAAATCAGTCCTTAACGTTTCGTATTTTTCTTTTTCCTTTGCTTTCCAAACCACTTACACTTACAGTGATGGAAAGTATTCATCAAATTACTTAACTTCAGTTCAGTTATGTGTTACATAAACTTGACTACTACTTTTCAATACATTTCAGGGGGAAATATTCCACCTATCTTCCACTCGGATGTAGTTACTTTCAGCTGTATTTAAATTAAAAAATACTACTGCTTATTAAAGAACATGCAGACCAGTGGTTCAAATCATGTTTGGCTTATGACAACTCGTGACAAATCAGTGTCTGATTTGGGCCAGGGATTTGGGATTTGGTTCCAACAAAGGGACATTTCCCCTCAGAAACAATCATTTATGTTCAAAAAGAAGCTCAATTTATCCAAATATTTCACGTACGGCGTAACTTTTGTCTTCTTTACTGTCTTATTATTTAAATCACAACATCCCAAGTTTAATTCATCCTTTTGGATGGGGCCCGACCCCTTTGCTCGGTTTAAAATGTGTTTTTAAATTCGTATTTTTCCTTCTTCCACCGCAAAAAAACCCCCATTATTTTCAGATGAATGAGAAGCTAATGAAAAATGCTTTCCATTTCAGATGGCACAAACTGGTTGAACCTATCTCATTTTGCAGATGGTTTTTATTTTACAAGATACTGATGTGTTGCATTGACGTTGTTCTGAAACTGCCTGTAGGGATGTAGCCTAGTAACAAACGTTTCTGTGTAATCACTTGAGTGGAAGTGTCACTATCTGATCATCCATTTAGAGCCAAAAAGAAGTCCTGCAGCTGTGTTCCTTGCTGTTTTTTAAACGCAGACGCTCAACAATGTGCTCTTAGTGAATGAAACCAAACTGTTTCTCCTCTCATTAAAAAGAATTATCCTTGAATGATTCGGAGCCGTGTTCAAAGCACAGTGGTCTGTCTTCCAGTCTGCACACCGAGATGTATTGACCTTTCACAGCCAGGCAGGCAGCTGTGGCTAATTGTTTACCACCACATCCTGTTTCTTCCTCAATGCTTCCTTTATTGAAGGACTCACCTGCATTCATAACGATTTCTCATGTTTGTTATGGCTGGGAAAACTCAAGTGGCGCACTTAATTAGTGGTACAAAATGTCTTAATTACTTGCTTGTATATTGTGTTCTTACTTTTCTGATTGTTACTAAACTTATAAAATAATTGTGGTCGTTCTTTTTATATTATTTTAGGATCCTGGTTTTCTATCACCCGGATAGCATAATTGGATTTAAATCAACAGTGAAATATCATCAGACAGAAGTATTGAATCGACATTGATGCCTGAAATTGACACTAAATTGAAATACATTTCTCATTTTCATTTTTCTAGCAAGGTGTTTAATTTAAGTTTATTTTGATGTTCTGAAGCAATGTTACACTCATACCATGCACCTTTCATGACATTTGCTCAATTCATACAACGTTTGAACAATATATTATTGTTCTAACATGTAAACCAGACCAGTTTTATCATGTGGAGCAGCTGATAGCATGCTGCTGGAATTAGATAGCTTTTTTAATGGGTTTTTGGCAGCGTAGAGAGCACTGCATCACTTTTATCTAGTGAAATGACCCCCTTTTGGCCCGTTTTCTGCGTTATTTACCAACATTGCAGCACCAATTTCCGCAATTGTTCTTCATTACATTCTACCAATAGTGTTCCCCAATCCTCAGTTGATGTGTTGGAGAGAAAGAAAGAGTTGGCATGTTATGACAATATCGATTAAACTTTGGTACTTTAATGAAAACATAACACTATTGATTCAAAGGCATGTTTTCTTAAAAAATGTGTAACGATTTTTTTGTTCAGACTTTACAATTCTGGCTTTAAAGTTAGAACAAAAAAACCCACTTCTGGTGAGATCTCCCAAAAAAATGTGGCCCTAATCCTCTTCTGTACTTTTCTGACCAAATCTTAATGTTGAATAAGGACTGCTCTAGACAACAATACATTCATTATGGGAACATAAAACATCATAAACAAACAAACAATAAACTGAGACTCCATTGTTTTTATCACACCTTCCCAATGTTAGCCACCCTCAGCTTAAATGTTGTAATTAGTCAACTCCTTAGTCTTCATTGCTTAATAATTCACTTTGCAAATAAATGAACCAACAAATGTTTGACCCAGATGCTGACGTCAGCCTACTACAGCCAATCGCAGAGCTCCACAGACACCTTTCTTTTTGGTAATCCTCTTTCCTAAGAGGAGCTGTCCGATCAGCACCGCGCAGTGCTCTCTGTTTGAGCCACAAATAGTTCCTCTAACACAAGCCACATTAACCGGGCTTACAGTGACCGAGTCACCCCTGATCGGATTGTCTGCTCAGACCTGTCTTCATATTGCTGTTCAAGCATGGCGCTACCCAGTAGAGATAGTTATACGTGAGGTTTTTGGGGTAAACCTGCACTTTTACGCACCGAAGTTACCGGTGGATTTTGATAGAGAGTGTTTAGGGTTTGGCTTTAATTTTAATTGTAACTCTGCCGGTATGTTTTCACTCTTGTGCGGATTGGTGAGTTTGTGTGCCCTGGGCCGCGGTCAGTTAGCCACTAATGAACAGCTGGATGATGGAAAGCGGTACATCTGCCGCGCAATTCCCCTCAGCGGAGATCCCACGTGCCCGGTGACATTGTTACCCGAGCTAAACGTGGGGGGCCAGGAAGAAGAGCTCAGAAATACCGTCATGCAGCTCCGAGAGACAATCCTACAGCAGAAAGAAATGATTTCCAAACAGATAGGCACCATCAACGAGCTCACCACCAAGCTGTCCCTCTGTGCCTCAACCACCGACGATAGGAAGTACGACAAGGGGGCTTCCTGGGGGAAAGAGAAGCAAAACACGATGGGGGATGTTCCCAGAGATCCAAATGACAGCATCGACAGTATGGGGAAAACCATGCAAGGGCTGAAGGACCGGTTGGAGAACTTGGAGGTAAGGAAATGCGCAATGCAAGCCTCTGTGCCAAAGCCATAAATAAAAGAACAGTTTGACTTCTAGGAATTATAGGATTACAACACATTGTCTATACACTGCTGTGACGTTAAACTTAGTTGGCACATTGTTGGCACTTCTGAGAATCATTAAACACTGTTCAAATCAGAGGTATCTCTGAGGATGAGATTAATTAATCAATTACGCAGGACCAGTTGTGCTGCCTGGGAGTTTGCTAAGCTAAGTTCTTAAGCGAGAATAAAGTAAAATTAGTTTTTCCAGTTTAAAAGGTTAATTATGCTTAATGTCAGACACATACGTCATTCCTATGGTGTAAGACATCACAGAACTATATGTGAAAATTAACAAATCTTTACCAAAATCAAAAACATGAGAATCTGAAGCCTTTTCAAAGAAACCGAATTTAGAGTGATTTTATAGACGACACTTCACCCAGGGGAATGTTCTGATTACATAAATATTGGGTTTCAAGGCAAGGCGAGTTTAGATATAGCAGATTTCAACACAAGGCAATCCAAATGGCTTTATAAAGAAACATTTAAAGCCCCAAGATATAGTGCAACAGAAACACATTGAAAAATGACATTTAAGTACATTTAAAACTGTTAAAAAGCCAAGAAACTAGAACAAATTAAAATCGAAACCAACTAAATAGAATAAGATATAATATTCAAAGTTACAGTGCAGTGCAATATAGGAATATGTATATGATTTGATAGAAGGCAGAGGATCTTACTATAGATTTGGATTTCACATATCCAAACAACCCCCTTCCCATTCATTGTCTATGGAGCCCATCAGGACTTAATACTTGCAGATATCTCAAGTGAGAGTTAACATGTCCAAAAATATTAATTAATGAGCTTTTCCGCTTTAAATTAGCATGAAAAGTACACAGGTGGTTAATAAGTGTCACAGTGAATTCAACAAGCCAAGCCTAATTACATTTAATCAAACAACACAATTGGAAAACCAAAGCGTTATACAACCCTGACGCTGTGGGCCTGTCAATCATAGAGTGGTGATGTAAGCTCCATGGGGGCTGATGATTCTCGGTGTGCACTTCCTGCTCATGTTGTCCCGTCCGTCCTTCCTTAGCAACAGCATCTGAGAGCCAACGTATCCGGAGCGTCGTTCCCCACCGAGCTGCGGGACCTGCTGCAGCGTCGCCTCGGGGAGCTGGAGAAGCAGCTCCTGAAGAAGGTCAGCAACCTGGAGGAGGAGAAGAGCATGCTGTCCAACGCCACGGCCGAGTACAGGCTGAAGACCGAGAGTACTCTGAGCGCTTTGGTGGACAGGATCAGTGAGCTGGAGAAAGGTGAAGTGTCAAAATCACATCATAAAATCCAGATAAGAGGTTTTTTTGGGATGATCTGGTAAAATGAGTCAAAACTGGACAGAGATGGCAAAAGTACACACATCCTTTCCTCAAGTAGAAGTACAGATACTCGTGTTTAAAAATACTCTGGTAAAAGTAGAAGTACTGACTAAAAGAAGTATGGGCTTTGAAATGTACTTAAGTAAAAAGTACCCATAACTAGCAGCTGTTTTAAAGAGTACCTGACCTCCCTTTATATTAACAGAACAATAATGTCATTGTTAGCTAATGAATGTTTCCATGCTGAACAACGGCAACATGACAACGTTTTCATTGGTCCCTCTTCTTTAGAGAAGACCAGGAAATGATGGATACACGGATCGTGTTCAAATCAATAGGCACGCAATGACTCTAAATAATAATGATCACGCCACCAAACACACATTCAAACTAAAGGAACCAGCCTGTTTGGAAAATGTAAGAAGTAGAAAGTACAGGTATTTGTGTTCAAAATGTAAGAAGTAGAAAGTACAGGTATTTGTGTTCAAAATGTAAGAAGTAGAAAGTACAGGTATTTGTGTTCAACATGTAAGAAGTAGAAAGTACAGGTATTTGGGTTCAAAATGTAAGAAGTCAAAGTAAAAAGTCGTCAGAAAAATAAGTAGTGGAGTAAAGTACTGATACCAGAAAAATGTACTTAAGTACAGTAACGAAGTATTTGTACTCCACTACCTCCCACCAACTGGAATATGGTACATGGTGCCACACAAGAGGAAAATGCATATAATCAAGCATAAAGCTATCTACTACACTAATGGAGAGGAGGCAGAGGAAGGCACTCAGAGGAATAAAGGAGTGGAGTGGAGAGGGTCTGATGAATCAGAGACGAAGGGACAGACGTTTTTGACATAAAAGGCACTTTTGTTGAGGTTTTCCATTACATCTGTGTATCAAACATAAAGGGAGGTGATGCTGATGGGATGTTGTTACCTTGTGGTAATTCCAAGGAAACTATGAACATGTTTTAGAAACTTCTGTCATAAGCAAACTTAACTCCCACAAACATCAAACGACCCTTAATGTGTCATTTGAAGTCTGCTTGTTCAAGGGCAAACTAACTGGATCTACTGCAATAACCACTCTTATTCTAGTGCGAACATTTAATTCATACGCATGCAATGTCTATATTTATTCCAGTGCAATACATATTCTTAGTCTAGTGCAATAAGGACATTATATTCTATTGCAATACATGTTCTTATTTTTGTGTCATTTCACATTAAAGCTTGTGCAGTAGTTACATTCATACTTGTTAAAGTACGCTTTCCCTTTGTCTTTTTATTGAACTGATAAGGAGAAGTGCTTATTGATTCCTGTCTTTCTTTTCTAAAACGCCTCCTGGGTCACCTCTAACCTTTCCCACTGTGTCTCTTCCTCTTCCTTGTCTTTCTGTCTCATTACAGGAGGAGGAGACTTTAAGTCCCCGGAGCAGTTTAAGCTGTCCCTCCCCCAGCGGACCAACTACCTGTACGGCCGCGTCACCAAAACCCTGCCGGAGATGTACGCTTTCACGCTCTGCATGTGGATCAAGTCCAGCGCCAGTCCTGGCATCGGGACGCCCTTCTCCTACGGTGTCCCGGGGCAGGCCAACGAGATAGTGCTGATCGAATGGGGAAATAACCCAATAGAGCTGCTCATCAACGACAAGGCAAGTCAACCAGCAGCAATACTATACATGTGGTTTTATGGAAGAAAAACACAGCTAATTTGTTTGCATTGCATTGCCGGATTTGAAAGAATATATCCATCACTATTCATCAGTAAAATCAGCCCCAGTCTACAAGGTCTATTATTGTTCTGTTTAATTCAACAAAAATATACTTGGCAGTTACTTTCAACTGAATATTTGACATGAAATATCATAATATAAGCTTATAAAATCTAATGCATTTTTAAAGGGGCCCTTGTATGCTTATTTTCAGGTTACATAATTGGATATTGTGTCCCTACTGTGACATGTCTCCATGCTTTAATGTTCAAAAACCTCTTTATTTTCTCATACTGACTGTGCTGCAGCACCTCTTTTCACCCTCTGTCTGAAACCAGAGCTCAGTCTGCTCTGATTGGTTAGCTGGCCGTCTCTGTTGTGATTGGTCAACCAGCTTAGAGATGTCCCACCTCTTGGCTTATCACGTTATTTTTTGTTCCTTTCATATTATTAGCAAAACGTAATGGATGCTAACCACAGCTAAATGCTTTGCTTTTTGAATCCTAGGTGGCCCAGCTTCCTTTGGAGGTACGGGACGGGAAGTGGCACCACATCTGCATCGCCTGGACCACACGGGACGGCCAATGGGACGCTTACCAAGACGGAGAGAAGCTGGGAAGCGGAGACAACCTGGCAGCCTGGCACCCGATCAAACCCGGGGGGGTCATCATCCTGGGGCAGGAGCAGGTGAGAAAGCGCAGCCATTATCTATTCTAGGCCGTTTGTATCAAATATAGCAGGCACTTACCTGAAATCACCTCTGATGACGGAGCATCATTTCTTACAGTATCACAGGTCAAACACTTCTTGGTGTAATGTCAAGTGGTTCTGTTATGAGCAGGGTTATTTTTTAGAACACCTTTGCAAACTGCAGATGGAATATCAACGTCACCTGAAGCAGAAATAAGATGGTGGCAGGTAAGGTTATCATGACAAAACAATTACCAAGATAATAGTAAAAAAATAAAGCCTATCATTGCCCATTGATGCTGACCAATCTGCGCATTATTAAAAGAATGAGAAACCTTCTGTGGAAATTAAACCAATGTTTGAAACCCTTATTATTATATGACATGTTCAAGTTGCATGACAAAAGTAAGTAGCAATAACACAGTCTAAAAAAAAACTAAAGTCAAAGTCCTGCATTCAAGTACCTAAGTACCAAAAGTAAAATGACTCACTATGCAGAAACAAAACACCATGTATTTCGTTTTTGATAATGATTTTATTATAATTATTGATGCATTAATGTTGCACTTGGTAAAAGTGGGTATTATTTAAATTAGTTGATATACTACTGGGTAGCTAAACCTATAATAATATATGATAATATATTAGTAGATTTATATTTGGAATTGGAAACATTTGCCTACAAAATGTAGTAAAAGTATAAAGTAGCATAATGTGAAAATATTCAAGTACAAGTACCTCTTTTCTTTTACTTCAGTACATTACCTAGTAGTTTACTGCAACTTCGATGGAAATCTGTCATTTAAACAAAATGTCTTTCCATATTTGTTAGAGAAAATAGCAAATAACAAAGCCTCTGCAGAGGGACCGAGCACAATCAGAAGATTTCTGCAGCGACTGGGCAACAAGTTCACATTTGTTACACTTTATTTTAAAGAAAAACAGCTCAACCTTGTGATTTCTGCAAAGAAAGGCTAAGAGCATTTGTCCTGAATTGGAAATAAAATGTTACATTATTTTCGGGTTAGAGCTGGTTTCAACAAGCTTCAACACAATAGACACACACTTGGTTCAGGGGAAGGTCACTAGACATATTGGTACCAATGAAACTGTGTGTGTGCTGTGCGTAAGCAAGATCAGATGGTAGTGTTCTCTCACGGTTACACTGTCAGTAATTAGACACAGAGAGTCAACACTCGCTAATAAACAAGGTCAATTATATTACATTACGTATTCTTAGTATTATGATCATCTTGTCCAATACAAAACAACAAGTGAAAAGCAACAAATCATATTTTTGTATGAAACATGGAACATTTGAATGTGTTTTTAGCCATATTAGCGTCTCTAGGAACAGTCATTTTGTTCTCATGGTCGACCACTTTAGTTTACACTGAAATATGTTAATAATGGTCTAACTGAATTTTGTGCACACATTCATGTTCCCCAGAGGATGAACCGTAATGACGTGTTGATTCCCTGGCAGTTATGAAGTTATCTATCTTAATTATTAATTACAAATATCTCAACAAAGATTGATTTCCATCCATTTGTCTAAAGATATTCATGGTTCCCAGATGATATGCTGTATATTGATCCTTTGACATTTTCTTTGAGTGCCAATATGAGGATGACATTTGGGATTTGAAGGTACATATCTGTACAAGTATTGAAATGATTGATGTGTGAATTTTGGTCCTGACATTCATGTTCCCCTCAGGATAAACTATTGTGACTTTGATGCTCCTCTCACCTTTCTATGTAGAGACATCGTCACGTCAAATGTGTTCAACACTGGTTTATGACCGAAAACCAAAAACACGAATGCTATCTACAACAACCTCATTCTTACTTACTTTTTAGCACTAACTATGATAGATGGTGAACATGGTAATGAGGTGTAATAAGGGGGAAAAGGGGCTCAGATGACTGTACAATATACACACTGTATACTGGTGGCTTCTATATTTTAATAGTACCTAATGATCGTATGTATAGCTGGGATTTGATCACATATCAGATGGACCATTGTGTGTATGGAGTGGCATATGGACAATTAAACAAGCATTGTAGTATATTTCCACAAATAAGGACTATAAAACAAATATAAACTCTTTGGTTTCCTAAACAAATCCTAATTAAAACCCTATCAGTGGCATATTAAAGATTTACAGACATTTTCACACATTTGCACGCAGTGTTATGTGCTTCATTATTTATGGCATTGAACAGAAACACCTCAATTAAATGTTTAATGTCTTGTCCACCAATATTCCCACCAAGTACTTCCTCCTAACGTTTGATTACATTGTTCATAATGCTTCTTTTTAATTACCATCCCGCTGTTTATTGCTCTTACAGGACGTGGTGGGCGGGCGCTTCGATGCCGGACAGGCCTTCGTGGGCGAGCTGAGTCAGGTGAACATTTGGGACCGCGTCCTGAAGCCGGTGGAGATCCAGTCGATGGCCAACTGCAGCTCTTACATCCCCGGGAACGTGATCTCCTGGCTAGCATCCAACGTGGAAGTGTTTGGGAGGGGAGCGTTCAAGCGGCCCATGGAGACGTGTCAGGAGCGCCTGCCTAAAGCTTAAAAACTGTCGTGCCTCACTTTAGATACACTTAAAAAACTGAACCGTTGACTTTATGTAAATGTGTTATGTCAACAGATTTCACATAACTGTATTAGGTTAGTTGAAAGCAATAATATGAATTACAATTTATTTTTTAGGTTAAACTTAAAGGTCACCTATTATGCAAAATCCACTTCTTCATGTCTCTTCTACATCAACATGTGGAAAGAGACTCTGAAAGTTTCAGGAAAAAAGATTCTCTCTCTTTTTGTCCTGATCCATTTATATAAAAACCTGTCTGAAAATGAGCTGATCAGATTTTGGTCACTTTATGATGTCATAACGATTTTTTTGGCTTGTGTAACCATTAGCCAATCACCAACCAAGGTAACCCCCCCACCTTATCACCTGAATCTCCTCCTAGAGCACCATTGTGTTCTTTGTAACCAAATCTCTCTCAGAGGGGCGTGGGGAGGGTCTCCTTATTTTCATCTAAAGTAACAGACAGAGAATCAGCACTTTGGAAACAGGGCTGAAACAGAGGGGATTATGGGATGCTGCAATGATCTGTTCGGTGTTTGGAGCCAAACACTTCAGAGACATGTTTTGTATATATCTGAGACCTATAATATATTGATGAAAAACAGTATAATAGGGGACCTTTAATATAATTGCTTTCAACTAACCTAATACAGTTATGTGAAATGTGTTGTTATAATACATTGAATTAAAGTCAACGTTTCAGTTTTTTTAGTGCAAGTGTTTCCATCCATTCAGCATTTTTTTCATTGTCTGCTTGGCAGTTCGTGGGCTTTACGTTGAATATCAGCGTGTGAAAATGTTCTTGTTTCTTACTCTGCAAGGAAAGATATTTGAGAAGCACTTAAACCCTTCAAAACACCCACCTCTAAGGTTGAAGTTCCCCTCAGGTGTTGGTGCTAAGACATCACTTACTGTACATCTTCATCCCCTCGCAGACGCCCACACACTGCAGCTTTGGAGTAATGAAAATCCACTCTAGTCCTGCTCAGACGCACGCTACTACTACAGGGTCCAGACTGTTGGCCGCTGACATGTGAGTTGATGTTGCGTGCAGCATGCGAGTGAAGGGAGGAAAGATCAAGGGTCTGGCTAATGTTATGTCTATTCCTTAACTAGGGAATGGGCTTAAAGCCAACACCAATCAAACCTATTACCCTGACATGTTAGGGAGATTCAAATATGGCACTTTACCTGTTACGTGCACGTAGCTTGTAGTTCTGTGCAATAGAGTTATTGTATGCTAGAAGCACTACTTTTGATTTTGCAGCCTTCATGTAAGTAAAAAATTCACCTTGTTGGTAAAGCTTTATTCTTGGATACGGATACCGGTGATACTAGGGAGTCTATCACAGTGCTTTTTGTCTTGCCTTCTTTTCTTCTGAATGAAACCTGTTTAAATGGTGAATCATGTTGTAAAAATATGTCATTGTTGTGATATAACTTTACTTGTGATTTTTCGTTGACAGAAAGTGTAACACGTTAGACCAATCACACTCTCAATAATGTATTATAAATGTACTTGTGTAGTGTCACTGTCCGTTGTCAAGGGTATCTGTCAAGAACAAATATAGTTTTTTAATGTACTCTCTATTTGTAGTAATGTAAGGCATTGTCGATCTTGTCATGTGGCCTTCTCATGCAGACTTAAGTGCCATCAAATGTTTTCTAAGTGTTGAAAACCATATGCTTTGCCAATAAACGTAAATGTGGGAAATAAAGGAAATGACTGCAAAATAAATTCACAAAATCGTGTTTTCTTCATCTGCCAGGCCCCTTAGATATCCTGCTAATCAGTATACTTTCTGTAATCCATTATTTAAGCATTCAGTTACTCTTGTTTGTTGTTGGATCAACACCAGTTTAAAATACATTTGTTTCTTGTTAGCCGTATTAGTCAAGCTGGTGACAGGGAGGACATGATTTAATGACACAGGCTGATCTTTAGGCTCAAGTGGCTTTGGTCAAGAAAACAACAGGTGTGCTCCGTGGCATTAGCAACACTAAACAGATAAGAGAGGTCAAAAGGTCAGGGGTTACATCACTTACATACTCCCTCAAGGCAAAGCAGCTCTTGCCAAGTTCACTCTGCTCCGGATACACCTCAAGCAGTGACTATTTTCAAAAACATAAATGAATGGCATCACTTCAATCCAGATTAATTAAATAAGGTGTCCAGGCAGGATAAGCCTGTGAACTCAAAACTGAACAGTGAAATAAAATGTGTAAAGAAGTGTTCATATACTGTTTCTATATGACTATCGTATATATATATTGAAGATCATTAAGGCCAGTTTAAAGGAGATACATTTGTTTTGCATTTGTAGAATAAAATTGAAATGTAAAAGTATAAAACGTATCTTTCAATATTGATGCTATTTGCACCCGGGTAACTATAGTGAACAAGGCTATTTGAACCCAGGTGACTATAGTCAACAATGCTATTTGCACCCGGGTAACTACAGTATAGTGAACAAGGCTATTTGAACCCAGGTGACTATAGTCAACAATGCTATTTGTACCCGGGCAACTATAGTGAACAATGATATTTCCCGGGTGCAAATACAACTCTGAAAAAATTCATCACATGGGAACTTTAGAGAATAAAACAAACTACTAGCATTAGCGCATATACTGATGTTTGACATTAACATTTGAACTTTATTAACAAAAATGCAAAATAAAAATAAGCTCTTCCTACACGACCTTTTGTTTAGAAACCTAATTGTTAGAAAAATATCCCTCGTCACCGGCTTGGTCTTCAATCTCAGGATCCATGTATTTATTATCCTCTCAAGAATGGAAGTAGTCATCACATACAGAGCATTTGGTACAACTAGTTCCTGAACAGTGTCCTTCGCATGCTGATATACAAGAGAGGGAGTTACACAGTCACAAGATGGAGGAATACCGGTTCTTCTAAGTAGTCATACATCCTGTCATGTACAAAATACTGAGTTTTTTCTGAAAATGTTGGCTTTTTTCTGAAAATCTCAAAATTCTGACTTTTTCTAAAAATCTCAAAATTCTGACTTTCTCTCAAAATGTTGACTTTCTCTCAAAATGTTGACTTTCTCTCAAAATTCTGACTTTTTTCTCAAAATCCTGACTTTTTTCTCAAAATCAAAAAATTCTGACTTTCTCTCAAAATTCAGAGTTTCTCTCAAAATTCGGACTTTCTCTCAAAATTTGGACTTTTTACACAGTCACAAGATGGAGGAATACCAGTTCAAAGCAGTATTCTATGTTTAGTTCAGATTAGCTAAGGCCTGCGTAAGCAATAAACATGCAGTCATATGTCTATCTCCATAGAGGCTGAATCATCATGTTAATCACATAGCTATCATATGCCTAAAACAGTCCTGACGCTCTTCTAGGTAATCATACATCCGGTTATGTACACAGCTACGTAGGGCCTTTGTTATCATGTGCTACTCTGATATTAGAGTACATTCAGTATTTTCCCAACACTAATATTCTTTGGTTCAAATGTACCTCTCCTATGTTAAATTATATAAGGAAAATAACTTGTGACATTAACTTCATTTATTTAATAAAAAAGATTACACTGTGGGTCTCTGGAGAAAGGAGTAAGGTTTTGTTGTTGCTGACCATTAACTTTCAGTGAGCTCATCTGATTGATTTATATAATTAATGCATTTCTTTATTCCATTTATCCCCCTAAATCCTACAAACTGATCCTTTAAAGCTGCACTAATCAATGTTTTCATATTAACAATGTGTGCAATGAGAAAAGAGTTATGAACCAACTCTTCCTCTCAGCTCTATGTGGCACTTAAGCGTCCTTCAGCGTGTTGTTTTGGTTTACTGCTCCGCAAATTTGAGTTGTCTTTGAACACAGCAGGCTCCTGTTTTTACCGAATAAGCTTTAAAAAATCCTCTGCACTCTACCTGCTCAGCATCAAACTGCAGACTGACACAGATAGCAACGAGCGTGATGTAGCATTTAGTAGCTTAAGAGCCACATAGTTGGTGGAGACTAAAGGTGAGCTTATAGTAAAAAATGCATACAATTTACCTTGATCAGGATCCCAGAAACACAACTGAAAATTAATGGAAATGTAGCTAGTGTCGGAAGTGTCTGCTTGTAATCGTTGCTTTAAATACTGCCGTTATGTTTTAGTATTCAAGGTAAGACATTTCTAATCAGAAAGCCACGCTGTTTTAACTTTTGAGTATGTTGAGGGAAATGCTGGGGGTTTATATATATGGGCAACATTATCTAAGATTGTCCTGCTTTTGCACCGAGTGAGACCAACAACAACCCCGAAAAAAGAAGCTGGTACATTAGACACTTTTGTAAGTCTTTAACATTATCTGAATATTGAAGTATGAATGCGTGTTGTTTGTATGTTGTCTCCTCCTGAATGTTGTACGTCTCGTGTTGGTTTTTGTATTTTTGATGGTACCTTAAAAAAAGGAGTAGCTCTACTCATCTCATTGTACCTGTATAATGACAATAAAGGATTATAGTATATTCTATTCTATTCTATCTACTTGAATTTCTCTAAGTTATGTGTCTGACTTTCATTTTAACAACTACCCACAAGTGAGAGGAGATGCACGCAGCATGTATTTTTAGATTTGCGCTTTCTGAATTTCACACAGCTTCAGTAGTTGTGAGGAAATGTACCAGAGTTTAAAAGCCAGGTACGTTAAATAAGCTTCTTCTAAAAACAGTGGACGTGACTGACCTTAACCACAGCAGTGTTTTAGCTCAAGGTCTCACGTCTGATTTAAGTGGTGTCTTCATCTCAACACCTGCCGCTCCCCACAATGTGTGTGACAGATGGCATTCATCAACAGACTCTCAATTTATAATGTTGTGACATCTCTCTCAGAGGACGAGCTATCATTAAACACCATCAGGATGAAAATAATCTGAGTGATGCCAGCACAGTTTAAGAGATTCAAGGTTTGTCTTTGTGTGACGCTGTTATATACAATGACTCACTTTGAGTTCAATTGTATTCAACTTCAACACGCTTATGTTTTCTCAGTCAACAATTAGCATTTGAATTAGTGCCAACCATGACTCATTATCTATCTCATACTCCAACTTGTTTTGTCTTCATTCTTCATCTTTGTATTATACAGTTTACACCAGTCTAAACATTACTCATTTTAAAGAGCCTGGTGTGGAAGGAGTGGCTTTATGGGTGGAAATATTATTTTGGTTGGAATAAAAATATTAAGACGACTATTGGATTGATTGCCATGACATTTTGTACAAACATTCATGGTTTAATGACTGTTTATCCCATGATTTGTTTTTTTAGCGCCACGCACAGGTAACATATTTTACTTTTCCACTGATTTTTTTACTTAACTACAAGTAATTTAGTGTGTTTTGGTACAACTTGTTACAATGACTGTATATACTTAAAGTGGACCTATCATGCTATATTTGAATAATATAGTGTAGGACCATACCTATATAAGGCATATTTATACTTTTTTTTTTTCAAAATACCAAACAGATCATGCATTTTAGCCATGCCTCATTTTGCTCAATTTGACAATTATTTAGCTCTGTTTTTGCAAGGGCAGATTCTGTGAGAACAGCACCATCTAGAGGCCTGGCATATGTACTACAGCGTCTCCAGCGCTTTCGAACGGCAATAGAGTGGCGAAGTCCCTCCCCTTCCGGTTGAGCCCCATGGGACCTTATTTCGGAAAAATTATGTATTGAAGTCAATGGAGAGAGAAAGATTATCTTTCGATCCCGTTTGAATTGTGCCACGAATTACACATATGATGTTTGTCAATTTAAAAGATAATTTTGCAAGTCAAAAAAAAAAAAATGTGTCGTAAAACTGTGAAGTAACACATTTGTTTGTGTGAAACGCTAAATGAACTACATCTCTGGTCAACAACACACGTCACCAAGATGGCCGTCACTACTGTCTTGTCAACAAACGATTGACTATCACCACAATGAAACACGTCCTGAAGAATGTCATGCAAAGCTGCCTGCCTGCCTTCCTTTGATTCTCTCTGAACTGCCTGGTCGTTTTAATGTTTAATGTCAACCATTTGTGCAGATAGCATGAAGTAGAAAAGATCGCCGATGCTAACGTTAGCATTAGCATTTCTCCCCCGGAATTAAATGGTGTATTATAGAATGATCACACCGGTGACAGTACTATTCAAAGGGTTCACGAAATATGACTACTACTCTTACTGTTTAACATTTTGGGTTACTTAATGTTACTTCATGTTAAGGCTAATAAAAATGACAAGGCTGTAATGCTAACTAACGTGCTAGCTACTAGCTAGGTAGCTAACTTGATCAAGCCACTCCTGGTCGTTTCATCAGACGGGAAGCAAAAGAACGAGCAAGACCCATTGCTGGTATAATAACAACCTGGTACTAAGCACACAGGCATCTTGTTAAAGTTATCTTATCTTAGCCAGCGCCATATAGATAGATTATATCTATATTGCGCTGATTTTAGGTATCTGAATGGTGGAGGTAAACAATTGTGACATCACTTACGCGACTCTGGGATTTGTAGTCTTTCTAGTTACGTATTTTTCATAGTCTTATATTTCAACAGTTTTATGACAAACTGTGACTTTTTTGACATGGAAATGATTTTTTAAGATTGACAAACATTATATGTGTAATTCATGGCACAATTCAAACGGGATCGAAAGATAAGTTTTCTCTCCCCATTGACTTCAATGCATAATTTTTCCGAAATAAGGTCCCATACCTCGGAAGTAAGTGGGAGGGACTTCGCCACTCTATAGAGTGGCGAAGTCCCTCCCCTTCCGGTGGACCTCCATGGGACCTTATTTCGGAAAAATTATGTATTGAAGTCAATGGAGAGAGAAAGATTATCTTTCAATCCCGTTTGAATTGTGCCACGAATTACACATATGATGTTTGTCAATTTAAAAGATAATTTTGCAAGTCAAAAAAAAAAAAATGTGTTGTAAAACTGTGAAGTAACACATTTGTTTGTGTGAAACGCTCAATGAACTACATCTCTGGTCAACAACACACGTCACCAAGATGGCCGTCACTACTGTCTTGTCAACAAAACGATTGACTGCCCTCACTATCACCACAATGAAACACGTCCTGAAGAATGTCATTCAAAGCTGCCTGCCTGCCTTCCTTTGATTCTCTCTGAACTGCCTGGTCGTTTTAATGTTTAATGTCAACCATTTGTGCAGATAGCATGAAGTAAAGAAGATCGTTAGCGTTAGCGTTAGCATTTCTCCCCCGGGCTTAAATTGTGTATTATAGAATGACCACACCGGTGTGACAGTACTCTTCAAAGGGTTCACGAAATATGACTACTACTCTTACTGTTTAACATTTTGGGTTACTTAATGTTACTTCATGTTAAGGCTAATAAAAATGACAAGGCTGTAATGCTAACTAACGTGCTAGCTACTAGCTAGGTAGCTAACTTGATCAAGCCACTCCTGGTCCTTTCATCAGACGGGAAGCAAAAGAACGAGCAAGACCCATTGCTGGTATGATAACAACCTGGTACTAAGCACACAGGCATCTTGTTAAAGTTATCTTATCTTAGCCAGCGCCATATAGATAGATTATATCTATATGGCGTTATCTTATCTTAGCTATCTCTATATTAGTGGAGGAAAACAATTGTGACATCACTTACGCGACTCTGGGATTTGTAGTCTTTCTAGTTGCATATTTTTCATAGTCTTATATTTCAACAGTTTTACGACAAACTGTGACTTTTTTGACATGGAAATTATTTTTTAAGATTGACAAACATCATATGTGTAATTCATGGCACAATTCAAACGGGATCGAAAGATAAGTTTTCTCTCTCCATTGACTTCAATACATTATTTTTCCGAAATAAGGTCCCATGGACCGGAAGTAGATGGGCGTGACTTCGAAAAAAAGTATATTTTGAAGAAAAAAAGTCCAATTCTGAGAAAAAAGTCCAATTTGAGATGCATTGTGGGACATGTAGTTTATGGGCAACGTGCTTCTGTAAATCGCCATGTAACCGTATAATAAACATATTATATTCTTTCAGAGCTCTTGTGGGGCCACAGAAAATGAAGTCGCGGGCCGGATTTGGCCCCCGGGCCTTGAGTTTGGCACCCCTGTTGATCAGAGATCAAAACCTATCATATTGTATTTTTTATTTATAAAACAAGTCAAATCAAGCAATCTGATTGGTTCTTAGCTGTGATATAATGAGCGTATATCACGGGTAGAATTGTAGTTACTTTTCACATAGTCATGTTTCCCTCCACGTCTGAGAAAAGCTACAACCGTTACAACTGTTACATTACGTCCGTTACCAAACTAACTAACTAACAAAGCTTAAGATGGAAACATTTAAGGTTAACTTCGACCTCCGGAGTGGCCTTACTATGGAGGAGTGGATTGAGCAGTGCCAGTGCCTATCTCCAGGAAAAAAAAGCACCCAAACGACGAAATGCAGAGCTACGTGAAGAGCAGGTATAGACCAACTGGAAAAGTAGCACCATTCAAAAGCTTTCTGATGCGGGTCTTGAAACAAAGCAGAGAAATGATGACCGTTAGTGGCCACAGGTGCGAAAGCTCTCTCCAGAGCTACTGGAAGCTGAATCTCGTGGACCGGAGAAAGTGGAGCAATATTCTCGCTACGCCAACCAACAGCCTAGTACAACCTCAACCTATACAAGTAACCTCGTAAGCCATTCTACTGATGCTGGACAGTTTTTCAGTGGGTGCACAATAAACGGCAACATACAAATGAATGTAAATAAATAGTCAAATAATCGATCAACGCTCTCTGTCTAATATGTTCGCTAGCTGTTAGTGTTGTTGCATAGCAACCACATTGCATGTTTTGTGCAGAAGGCAACGGAGGGACTATTTTATTTTGAACATCATTATTTACTAATAAAAACTATTTAAATTAGAGTGTGTATTTTTCTTTCATATTGCCACACTTGTTAACCGTCGCGTCGGGCTGAACCACGCCCCTTAACTGTGATATAATGACCATATACCACGGCCTGTCGTGAGCTATTGCTATTAAGCAGTGCAAGAAAGAGAACTTGAAGAAAATGTAACATTATGTTCTTTTACTGGAATGCAAAGCAAGGCTCAAATGTATACACCAATATAAATAAAATATAAATCAATGATGCATTCACAGCACGCTTTAATCAACACTCATTGCTTAATCATGACCTGCAATTGTGCTATTAATTTATTATGAGTACATGTGAATGTCAGCCCAAGCTCTGTGACTCATTCATCGATCACCATTTAGTTTATAGCAAATACAGAAGGCATGTGAACAACTTCTTCACTAGGATGACTAAACCGTATTTAGACAAGTACATTAGGTGTATGTTGTGCAGTTGCTTTATACATGGTGAGATGAGAATGGTTATGTAATGTGTGATTGTGCATTTGCTGCTGCCAAATACCTATGTGCATATATCTGCAGTATGTGAGGGTTAAGAGGAGTAGGGAGCTCCCAACTGCAGGAGGAGCGGCTCCTTCTCTCCCCTCTGTGCGTTGAAGTTAAAGAAGATCCTGCTGTGACCTTCAGAGTCGTCGTTCTTCAGAAACACAGCATTACTGGAAGTAGCAATCTGCAAAAATCACATAGGTCCAGAGAAATTATGTAACATGTGTGTCAAAATTGATTTTAGATGCAAAACTTATTTCTGTGCCACACACAATCTGTTGCTCAGGTCTGATTTATTTCTGGGTATAGACAGCCTCCTTGTGGTTATAAACTGCATTAAAGTGCAAACACTACAAATCTTTAGGAAGGTTTGGATTACAGTATATCCATCAAATAAGGAAAATATATGCACATAACTTTTTACATTACTTAACTAAAATTATAAAAATCCACTTCAGAAGTAACAAGTAATTGCTTTTATGTGATTTGATTTCTTTTTTAGTTTTTTACATTTTGATTGGTTACTCTCTGTGTTTCATTGGGTAATTTAACTCCCTGTGTGTTTGAAATATGTTCTGTTGTTAATGGAAAACATCTTAAACAGTGCCTGTGTTTGAAATGTGCTGTAGCCTATAAATAAAGGTTATGATAATTATTAGCATTATGAATCCAGTTTAATACGATATTATCACACTAGATTTAGTGTGTTCACGTCTTTCTTTGAGCTCTCAGTCACCACTTCTTACCACTTTAAACCCATGGGAAATAAAAGAGATACTGAAATACAAAAGAATACTTTAAACAAAGTTAGTCGTCATTGTGAGATGTTGTGTACAGTACCTGTGTTCTGTTTTGACGACGAGGGCGGCAGGCGTTGACGGCGATGAAGGAGAAGGTAGCGAGGAGAATGGCAGCACATGACAGGATGAAGAACATGTGGGCGTTATCTGCAATTCACACAGAACAAAGAACATGTTGTTGAGAGCGTGATCATTTATCAAAGTCACAGTGAAACAGCATTGTACAAAGTCTTATTGAAACATTTTGATCAGAAAACTATTAAACAGAATCCATGAGAGTAAAGGAAGAAACACAATTCTGATTTATTCTGCCTGGAGAATCTCTTCAATTCCCTTTAAATTGTCTGAGGGAAGGCTGAGGGAAAAAACTATTGAATTTATGATTTTCCTAATTTATTACATTAAAAAAAGAATGGAGAAATTCTTCTTCTGTTTGCCCCACCTTTCACGGATTCACAGAGTACTCATTCTCACTGATTAAATACTTATTTAACTCATTGTTATAAAACACTTCATTTAGTTTGGTTGTTTTACATGTAAGGTTTGATTTGAAAAAAGCTCATGTGAAATTAAAGGTGGGGTATGTCATTTTGGAGAAACCAGCTCGAGTGCGCTAGAATTTGAAAGTACGCAGCCGAAAAAATCTGCCTCTTCCTTCAGACTTCCTTACAGAGCCCCTCCTCCAACACACACGAACGCGCACATGACCAATGAGGGCACGAGATAAGTTTGCGCACGAGATGGAAGGCTGACAGGCAGGTAGGCCATCCAGTTATTTTAGCCGGGCTGGCTCAGATGATTGGTCGTGCTTTTTACAGCGCTACGGCTTCCACAGATGAATTTTTTTTTTAATGTATTTATTGTCAAAGCATTTAATATATTCATTGCTATCGGGATGTTAAGAGCATTCCATGGAATATAACAAAAAGTGTTTCTGAAATAAATTACATACCCCACCTTTAAGTGTGTAATGTAATTATTGATGTCACATACAGTGTCACACATGACATGGAGAGAGAAGTGATCTTGGACCTGCCTTATAACTTTCTCTATTGAAGTATGACCTTGTTTAGTATAGCACTCAGTTTGTAATGCCACAGGAACAGAAGCCTGTAACACCAAGTCCTGAATGTCCAAATGCCATCCTAATAATACTCTGACTCTAAAAGCTGGTTATTACTGTATGAGTTTCAGTTTGATAACATCAGAGGTAAATCGATTGATCACAGCAGACATGTGGTGTCCCGATTCCTCAATTTCCTGTTCCCTCTGCGCCCGTGGAACTAACGCAGCTCAACACCACATTTTATCTGAAGCACCTCATGACACAAAACCCAGCTACTCTTTCTTTTATCATATGTATTGTGATAATGCAGAATATATAAGTATATATTACGTGTATGCATACAACAACATGTTTTTACAATACTGACAGCCATGAGACCTTGGGTGTCACTCTGAGCCATTATTAACCTTGCACGAGTTAAGTAGGAATTGGTCAATGGATGTTTGGCTGTTGTTAAATGTTACTTTACTTTCTCAAGACTTTTCTATATATTTTTGGATTATCAGAGGATGTTAGAAAGACATATTTTCTTTCAGACAAGTTTAGTTAAGAGCCAACCTCTTAATTAAACTTGACTGGAAGAAAATATGTTTATAAAAATATGTAAAAGATGAATCTTGACAAACTGAGAGCCTTAGTTTTGTTGTGTAACTTCATGACCATGAACTTTTGACATTATCTAATAAATGTTGGAACGGTTTCATAACCCTGAAGTAATTTTATAGCCTTAAAAAAAAGCATGTTCACTTATAATGATCACTGGAGTGTTACATCATTAATATACTGTCAAGAAAGCATTCATCTGCATTTTCCCCTGACTGTTTTTTTTCTTGCCAACCTTCCCTGTCTTCTTTTATGCTTTTGTTATGCAAATTGGCTTGTTAGCCTTATCCCCCTGCTGTGTGTGTGTTTGTTTTTGTGTGTTTCTCCACTCACTGTTTCTCTTGACATAAATGCTGAAGGAGGTCTGCAGCTTGCTGATTTCGTTGCGGACGCTGATGTCCAGACAGTGGACTCCTGCGGAGGTGAAGGTGTGGTTCAGGCGCAGCGTGTTTCCATACAGCATGGTCAGCGTGCAGCCCCCAGCCACGTCCGGCACGCAGTTGGGCAGGAAGCGCCAGCACACCCACAAGGGAGGACTAAACACACAGAGATGCACACAGAGAGGGGTCATAATGTTTAAAGGGGCCCATTTATGCTCATTTTCAGGTTCATATCATTGTAGTGTCTCTAATGTGACATGCCTCCATGCTTTAATGTTCAAAAAGCTCTTTATTTTTCTCATACTGCCTGTGCTGCAGCACCTCTTTTCACCCTCTGTCTGAAACCAGAGCCCAGTCTGCTCTGGCTCTGTTGTAATTGGTTAACTGCCTAGAGATGTCCCGCCCCTTAGCCTATCACAGATCACATACAATGTGTTGGAGCGCAAGCCAAAGGAAGCGTGAGTGTTACATAGTGATGTCATTATGTTGCAGGCAGGGAGGAAAGTTAAATTGAATTGTATAGGTTTAATTTGAAAGAAATAAGAGAAAATACACAAGACTCATCTTCTTCCTTGTCCTTGTCACTGTAACTTTTAAAAAGCATTGATCATATTGGTGTGTGGCATATGTCAAATTCAAAGGATAACCTGTGTTTGATCGCAGTACAGCACACACACACTTTCACACACACACACAAAACAAAATGCAGCTTACCTTCCATCAACATGAAAAGCCAAACTGGTGTTCTGCGACACCTCGTAATCTGACGGCCCCTTCATCTCGATGTTTTTGATGGCATCTACACATTTATTTCAGATATTAATAATTTCATCACTTTCTTGGTTTATTAAGGCTCAACTTTGCATATAAATACACTTTGACAGGTCATTTAAGACTGAAAAACTCATTAGAGTGGCTTGAATGTCTGAGAGGGGCAATTTGGTTTGCAAAAACAACTAACACACGTCATTCCATACATTAGCAATTTATATAATGACTCCATCTTATCTTATCTTAAATACATAACACATACAGTAAATGTCAACATAAAGCATTGCAATGAGCTCTAAACCACCAAGAGTCCATGAGTCCTTTCTAATGACAGTTTGTGGGATCATTTTACAGATCAAATCTTTTAGGGATTTGTAAGGATTCATATCAAGAGGTAACCTGCCTCATTAAGACTTTACCTCATCATTTTATCATTTTATCAAGGAAATAAAGTAACGTATGAAGTTTTAAACAAGGTAAACTGCACATAAACTACATTTTAAAACTACTTACCGAGCACTTGGACATCTGTGGAGTAGACATCTGTTAATAGAGGTGCAAGTTTGGTCCCTTTAACTCCCACTTTCAGCCGCAGAGTGTAGTTTCCAGATTCAGAGTAATTATAGCGCACAACCGGCTCAGTGCCCTGGATCACCTCTCTGCATCAAAAGAAGGAATACAAGTCAAAGAAAAGCATCCTAAATCTTTGTTTATCCTTCAAATATGACAAGTCCTCGTACCCGTTCCCTAAGTCCCAGGTGTAGGTGAACTTTGCACTGCTTAAATTCTTCCGGGGATCATAGAGTTCGAACATGGTTTCAGTTTGAATATCTGAAGCCAGTTCTCCTGTGTCCCTCACATAGGTGGCATTTCCCTCCATCTGATAGAAAACCAGCTTCCCAGCAATGTTTTCTGTTAAAAAGTAGAAAGATTTTCTTAGTTCTGAAGCCATAAAGCATGTTAGAAAAGTGGAAATGGATAACCTACCCAAATCTGTCAGAGGGTCTGATATCTCTGCCTCACCCAGGGCGACCAGAGGAAGGAGCATCAGGATCCAAGCAACATTTCTGCAAGCAAACAAAGTTTAAAAAGAGATCTAAATTATCAAATGTATGACTTAAGGGAGGTTTAGATTTACCTGTCCATATCTGCTGGTCCTCAGGAGGACCTCAAGTAGAAGTAAAGTTAATCCTGAGAGCACAGTGTGTGAACATGGGGAGGGAAATGTGGCACCTTCTGACTGCCTGTGACATTCAGATGCAGATGAGCTGCTGTAAAAGGCTTGAAATCGCCACCATGCGTTTCAATCATGTGGCTCTGCAACAACAATCAGCTTCTGAGACGCTACTGTGGCCTGGGTCACATTCCCGTCAGTGATGTAGGGCAGATTATACCAGTTTTCTTTCTTGGAAAACAAAAATTAAACTGAAAAAAAAACTGATTTCACACTGGAAGTACATTGACATCCACATGGTGGTGCTAACAACTTAAGAATGACCCAAAAAGCATGTGGTTCCAAGTGAACAATTATTGTGACTATTGCTTAAAATAAATAACGGTGATATATAACAGTTATTTGTCTGAGACACTGGGGTCATAGGGGTCATTTACACTGGGGACATATCCCTACCACTTTTTTAAATGGCCTTTATCACTTCCTTTATTACATTACATGTCACTTGTTAGACGCTTTTATCCAAAGCGACTTACATACTCAATACTGTGGGCAATCCCCACAGGAGCAATTTGGGGTGAAGTGTCTCAGGGACACAACGACATGCTGACTGCAGTGGGACTCGAACTTGCTATCCTCTGATTTGAAGATCAGTGCATTAACCCACTGCGCCACACGCCTCCTCATCTCACAAAGATAATAAAGGAAGTGAAAACATAAAAAGTCCTGTACCTTTGTGTGTGCTCTTAACAGAGAATCTTTATTATTATTTTTTTGCAAAACATTTGTTAATTCCATTTTTTTTTTGGGTTTCATATCAAAAATATTAATTCTTATTTTTATTTCTTTATTTTGTCACTTTTAGTAAAAACATTTTTAAATATTAAATGTCTTTATACATGTTTGTTCAAGTTTTTATGATTGTATTATGTATTTTACTATTATTCTATTTTATTTATTTCATTATTATTTTTTTTTTATTATTTTTATTATTATTTTTATTATATTACACCTAAAATATATTGAAGCCTTCTTCATAATTAGTTATTTTATTATGAATGCTTACATAATGTTTGCTTTTAATTTCTTGAAAGGATTAGTTTTAATGTTAGTACTTCTACTTTACTGAAATAAAGGCTCTGAATACACAACTCCCTTTGCATTAAAAAAACTCACTGTAGCATTTGTATTACAGCGCCCTCTTTTGGCTTGATTTAGCAGTGAATATCAATGCTTGGTTTTGAAACAATTATCAACATTTTTATTTCATATCAAGTAAAAATATTGATCAAATACACATTTGGTTTTGATTGCCTTCTTATTTATAGTATTTTGAATAGTGGTGCCATATTGTTGTAATTCTAAGTAAAGATGTGAAGGTTTAGAGTCAGTCCATTTATTAATGTGAATGTGAATTTTTCCCTAAAATGAAATTAGTTAATAATTGTAAACAATCTACTCATCCTGAAGTTGCTTCGTTTGTGCTGTTTTTCTTTACACGAATATTCAATATCAATTCAAATACGTGAAGTGAAGCCGAGAAGAATCTCCCTGAGGGCTGAGTTACACTTTGCGATTTGTAATGTATTTATTTGAGCATTTATTATCACACAGGGAGATTAATCTGTATAACACCTATCGTGACGTCACGGGGCCCTCCCTCGCGCTCCTCCTCCTCGCGGGGAAGTCTCTCCGGTGTGTCAGTCCGTCAGTCAGTCCGTCTGTCCCCGGCCGCTCAGCGTCTCTCTCCCGCATGCACGGAGCAGGACCGGCTGCTGTGGGATTTATTTTTCGGAGTGAACACCTGGATTACTACAAATAAACTATTTTATATTTGTTTTCCTTTTTTTTATTTCACCGACAACCTGCCACCATGTCTCGCGCTCCGGATGATGTGAGCAAACTCACAGAGAATACTTACAAGGTAAGACTTTAAAAACAAATATAAGGAGAACTAATCGATAGATAGATAGATCTTTGGTTGGGGATCAGAATCAGAATCAGGTTTATTGCAAAGTATGTTTACCAGAGGTGGGAGAAGTACTCAAATATTGTACTTAAGTAAAAGTAGAAATACCAGAGTGTAGGAATACTCTGTCACAAGTAAAAGTCCTGCAATCAAAATGTTACTCAAGTAAAAGTGCAAACGTATTGCTATCAAAATATACTTTGAGTACCAAAAATAAAAGTACTCATTATGCAGATTGGCCCATTTCAGAATTATATGGTTTTGGTTAATTATTGATGTATTGATGTGTTTATCAAAGCTGGTAAAGGTGGAACTAATTTCAATTGATTGTGAATTGAATTCACGTTTATGTGTTGATATCATTGATCTAAATCTGCAAGGTTACTAAAGGTACTATATTGTGGAGTAAAAGTACACTATTTACCTATAAATTACCTCAAAGTACCTCAAAATTGTACTTAACTATACTTGAGTACATGTACTTCATTACTGAACACCACTGAGGTTTACATTTACAAGGAATGTTTCTTTGCTGTACCATGGTGCATACTTAAACACAGTAAGATGAATTAAGTCTTTAAAAAGCAGCAAATAGAGCTGTTAAAAAAACATTTAAGTAATAAGAAATATTGACAAGAAATACAGATATACCATCAGGTAAATACAACAAGAATATGACAGGTTACAGAAAAATAAAATCTCTTTGGTATGACAAAATTTAAATTGATACAGCAGTGCAGTTTTAACAGAGCTGTCACTGTGCAGAAATGTTCAAAATAGGATATGTGCAAGGTAATGAATGCTAAGTGGGGAAAATAGATGTCATTGTGATTCAGATGTGTGACATATGAATCCCGGTCTTAAATTACAGAAATGACAAGACTGTAGACAGTTCTTGTTTTTGGGTGAATTGTATTGGCTTTCTTCTCATTTATCATGCTTTGTATCATAAACACACACAAAAATACCCGATCGAGCAACTCAAACTTCCTGTTGTTGCGTACAATGGATACGTTTGTAATCTGATAACAGTTTTATAGTCTAACAACAAGTGAAGGGTCATATTTTAAATTGTAAATCATAATTGTGATTGTGTCCGGCAGTGGCTCAGTCAGTAGGGGCTTGGTCAAGTCCCCGACCAGACCTAAAAATGTGGAGTGTGGACTGCTACTTGGAGAGGTCCCAGTTCACCTCCTGCCCTGCCGTGGTGCCCTTGAGCAAGGCACCGGACACCCCCCTTCCCCCCTCACTCCCATTGCTCCCCGGGCGCTGTACAATAGCTGCCCACTGCTCCTAGTACTAGACTCCTGGTACTAGGATGGGTTAAATGCAGAGGCCAAATGTCACTGTGTGTGCTGTGTGCTCTGCATGTGTGACCATTAAAAGAGGGTTTCATCCCTCCCAATTCTATTCTATTCTATAAAACAAAGCATACAGTCACTGCCCGTCTCCTGTCTGTCTGAATGTGATGAATGAAAAGAGTTTATCTCATCAATCGACCTACTCTAGCTTGTCAATGGACATGAAGTGATTGGATCAATGGTCGTTTGATCATGGGATTAATCTGGATTTACTCGATTTACTCGTAGACACACTCTTACTCTCATGTGATCAGCAGGTGAGAGTGTGTCTGGGTGTGTGTTTCCGTCTCCAGTAAGATTAACATGTCTTCAAATCCCCCCCCAAAAAAGAAGTTAAACGGTTATTTCATGTTTTTGGGCTCCTTTAATTTCAAAAATAGCTGTAGAATTACAGTTGGATATTACTTTTTGGAGTGACATATCCTTCCTGGATTAGCAATGCAAAGTGTGTGTGTGTGTGTTTGTGTATCTGTACAGTGTGCCACTGGGAGAGACCGAGAAAATAAAACAAGGAACCTGTTTCCATTTCTCTCTCTCTTCCTCCTCTCTCCTTTTCTTCATGTAAAGTCATACCTGCCCCCTTCATTGTTCCATTGAGGGCGTGCCAGGGGAATAGAGACAGGGAGGCTAACAGCACTTGATTGTTGAGGACTTTCAATAGAGAGTAAAGGGGGGGGTTAAGGGAGAGGAGAGTTATGAGGTTCATGCTGCAAATAGCTGCAACTTTGTGTGGGACTTCGCTCTTTTGAGTTATAAAAGCATACATACTTGAGGGGTCAAGTTAAGGATTAAACGTTTTATTGTTCTCTCACATGTCGATATTTATAGAGCGACAGCACAAACACTTGTTTCACCCGCCCACTCCTTCAAAAATAGTTGTATAAGTTTATTTTTTGTAAAGGAAATTCGAGATGTTTGTGAGATTACAGTATTAATTGAGATCAGGAAATAGATAGGAGTGTTGTCGCTTTTCTCAATAATCTTTGATCTTTTCTCTTTGTCCCAGAATGTGATGGAGCAGTTCAACCCAGGCCTGAGGCACCTGGTCACCCTCGGGAAGAACTATGAGAAATCAGTCACAGGTAAACACAGCGTTCAATAATCTATAAGTCTTAATGTGGACTTTGAATTTGACCTCAGTGCACCTCAACTTATATAGCTTCTCCCTTATCTTGGTTTGAAAAAAGTTTTACAAGAACATCCATTTAACCAGCAAGTTTCCCAGCCAGTAACATGATGATGTTTGTCTGTCTCCCCAACCCCCACCCCCCCCCCCCCCACACAGCGATGACTCTTTCTGGGAAAACCTATTTTGATGCAGTATCGAAGGTCGGAGAGCATGCAATTGTGTCTCCAGTCTCCAGAGAGCTCGGTGAGTTTCATGCGAGTCCAGGTTGAACCCACCTACAGAGGGTGAACTCTCGAGGGGGGGCGTGCCTGATATCAGTGTTTAAATGTGTCTGTGATGAAGCTTAAGCTTGTTAAAGACAATGATTCTTCACTTTCTTTTCTGTTGAAATGTAGTTAAAGTTACAATCTATGTTTCAATCTCTCTTTGTTGGCACCTATGGTGATAAGAGTGATTTCAGGTGTGTTTTTGGAGCTTAGGATGAAAGAAATATTGTCGCTTGTGAGACTTCAGTGTATCTTTTTCCTTGGATCTTCACGTTTTTGAAGTTTCATCCACTGTATTCATCGCTCCTTTTAACAACAGTAGCATAGCTAGTCTGAATCTCTTTGAAGGCAACAAAATCAGCCTACCATCCCCTCTAAAGCTCACTAAGTTATGTCTCATTTGTTTATTCAATACACAAAATAAATCAAATTAACTTAAAGCAAAGATGTAAGGGTTCTTTTTCCTGATAGTTTATTGGCTAAGCTAACTTACTGTAGCCTTATATGTATTGTACATACACAAGAGTGGTTTCGATCTCCTCATTCAACTGCAAGAAATTGAGTAAGTGTATCTCCCAAAATGTTCGTACTGATTCCCTAAAGTCACCGTTAAAGTTAAAATGTACTTATTTTCCTGGCATTATTGCAGTCGAATAATGGCAGCTGGACACCTACAAAATCCTGTTCTTGTTCAACTTCATCATGATGACATATATTTGACAGCCTGCAGACATCATCCATGTTAATTACGTTAATAACATCTGGATAAAACATTGATTGCACCCTTTGTGGCACAGGAGCAGCAGAAATTCATTACTTTGATTGAAGTGTTTCTGCTATCTCTTCTCTTAGGCTGCCATCAAGCTTGTTCAGGTTTTTTTTTTATTCATCATATGAGTCATCTCCAATTATTCTATTAGTGCTCAAATATGGAGCTGGCGTACTTTGTCCAGGGGTCCCTAATCAGTGCTGTTATTCATCATGTCGATTTTATTTTGTTTGTTTATTCTGCTGCGTCACTCCCTAATGCAGCGGTTTGGCGTACGAATAATGCCCTGTTGTTTAGCCCCTGGCCTTTAATGGAAAATGGTTACCACAGTGACTATTATGTGTGAAACAAATTCTTCTTTATATAGATGGCATTTGCATTGCCTAGCGTTGTAAACAAAATTTATTGAAATGTCAGTGTATGTGAGATGATTTTCACAAAGCTGCCACTGTGTGAAAGAGACAAGATCAGGCGTTTCTGCAACATTTGTGAAAATGGAAATAAAGGAATAAGGAAGTTTGCAAGACACCATGGCAGCATATCTAAACATAAGAGCAGTGTTTGAAAATGAAACTATGTCATAATGCTCAATGGACAGCCATGCCAAAAAAAAACAGACTTCCAGATTCTATAACTTAAAAAAACTGAGGTTTTCATATACAAATACACAAGTTACACAGGTGGAAAAAAGTACAGTATAGTTCACATGTATGTAAACCCTCCAGCTGCAAGCTAGTGAAACCATCTCAAAACGCCGCTATGACGCAATGTTGGTGGATTCTTTCAGGCCGCACCTGTCAACTAACAATGCAGGTACATCATCGCTTCATAACATATTATGTTCAAGTTACACGGTGCACTGAGGACATTTTCACTGCATACCAAGAACAATAAGGTGAAACAACTTTTTCAAAGCTAGTTAAAATGCTCCGTCATCTTGACTTTTGAACATGTGGAAAGTTTGTATTTTTAACGTTGATCCTGGCATTGTATATGTGCAACTCAAGCATATTAAAGCAGAATAACTAAACATTGAGGAGCAGGAACTGTTGATTCGGTAAAGAAAATAAATGTCTGGTTATAGAGAGAGAGAGAAGTGATTATTAACAAGCCCCAATACCACCATTAACACGGCTGTTAAAGGCACATTAAGTCTTGAACCCTCAGCTCGGCAGTCATTCCTTGAGTGCCTGAGATGGACGACAACGAGACTGTGTGATTTCTCTCATTGCAGCGAGCAGAGTAGCAAACACGCTGAACAAACAGAAAGACAGAGGAGAGTAGTCTTCCCACCACTGATCCTCCTCATCCCCTATTCCTCCATCTGCCTCACCGAAAATCCCACCGCTTTACCCTCTTTAGCAGACCCTTTGTCTGATAGGAGGCTCAAGGCCGAATTTACCATATACATTGGGGGACACAATTCAAAATGTCCCCCCCCCCCCAATATATAGCCTAACTGATGTAAAAAAATGTAAATTAAATGTTTGGTCCCCCCCCAATGTTGACTCCATGGTTACGGCCTTGGCTCAAACTGTTTGGAAATAGAACAAAATATATAAGACAGAGTTAAACAATGATAGACGTGTCAGAATGTACACACTTTTAAGAGAGGTCAGCTTTCTTGTAAAAGCTTCTGCAGGATTTACGGTTTCTTATTATTGCCTGAAGTTAATCTTCAATCATTCACTATATTTCTGAAGGTAGGGTGCTTGGTTTTGCCATAATAGTCCTATAATTAAGAATAATTTCATTTAAACTGCACATCTGGTGAGAAAGACAGACAAAAGTGTTTTGTAATGACTCAATCTCTGCTGAATTTTTTCTCTAAAGTGTTTTTTTTTTACCTCCCTCTGTAAATGGTACGGTGTTAAAGCATTTGCGTCACTGTGGTTGGCAGGCATTTGCAGAGAGTTACCTGAGGCTTTTACTTCATACCGCACGTCTCCTTTTTCCGTGACAACAGTTTGTCCACATTTTCTCTTTCAAATCAATGCTATAATAGAGGTGAAGCTGTAGGAAACTTCACAACTGCCGGAAGACAGACAGATAAGTGAAACCCTGTGCTGTTTAAACTTCCCTTTCTTGATTTGAAAGAACAACAGCATTATTTTTAGGACAAATTGTGACTTTATCAGTAGCAACTTGCAGATTTTTTAATGAAAGCCATCCTCCATAACGCTTAGAGGAGATTTTCTTTCAAGTACTTCTTTAAATATTCAGATTGCTCCACAACTGCTACCAATTATAACATGACAATAGTACCGCATTTCCATTGCAGCGCGTAGCTCGCTTTAAGCGTGCCGTGTCGTGCCGTCCCCTTTTTTGGTTGTGCTTCCACTAGGCCTCGTTCCGGCGCGGCCACTTTTTCCCCTCTTTTCTGGCCCTAGAAAATTGTGGTTCTATCGGGGCCAACAAACAGGGCTGAGTCGGGCTGAGTATGCTAAACTAGAGAGAGGAGCGCTGGCAAGAGGGCTAGAACTACAACAAGATGGACATATTTGACCGTGATTTAATTGTAATACACGTTTCAAAATGATGCCGAAGTAACAACATACTGATACCGGTTAGTAAAAAACCATGAATTAATGCTTTGTCAAGTCTGCAGACAGACGGCAGGCGAAAAACCTTTTAAAATTCGTGTTTTTCTAGATGGAGATTGGCTAAGCTAACGCAGTATATGCTCTGACCGTCCACACTCACAACAACGGCCTATACAGACATAAATAAAGCAGCGACTGTATTCACCATGACACAGGCAGTCTGTGGTGTGTACTTGTTTAACTTTTGTCGAGTTTCTGAACATATATAAGGAGCTGTGAGCTCTGAGTGCTCACAGCTAACGGCTGTGTTGTGTTTCTGGATTTCTCATTGAAGATGACGTCACGGCTCCGCCTACACTGCGTTACTATAGTAACTACCCCAGTTCCTAAACTGTAATGGAAGCGCAGCATGAAGTGAGTCGGCCCTGTTAAGGCCCAACGCGGCCAAGCCGTACCGAGCCGTACCGAGTGTGGCCGAGGCCGACCGTGTAGTGGAAATGCGCCATTATAGTACCTTCAGTTAGTTTATCAAAGAAGAAATGACCTGCATCCTCCTCTTACAAAATAAACGTTTAAATTATAGATTGAATACACTCCACTAGTTTCCATTTGTATCCAATGTTGGCTAACGTATTGCTGTTTAAGAATAGCAAACGGTGGCTAATGTTAGCTCAGATACATTGCTGCTTAACCATAGCTAATGGTGGTTAGTGTTAGCCAACATATCTTGCTTTGTAACCATAGCTAATAATGGCTAATGTTAGCTAACGTGTGTACCTTTGTTACCAAGGAGAAGCTAGTTTTAGCTAATGAGAAAGATATGGCTGTGTATTTAACTTTTGCTGGCTCTTTACTTGTGCTATTGTTAGGCTACATTTTAGCATCTGCACTTTAAGACTACTTTCAGCGTGCATCTTTTGGGGAAAATGTAACATGCTATACATTTTGTTAGTGTCTAGATTGTAACCCTCGCATTTTGCAAAGTCTCCTAACCTTAACTGTCTGTGTGACTAAAGCAAATGAAGGGGTTTCCATCTACGAAGTGTACACAGTTAAGCAAAAGTTGCGACTTTTAAGCTTCTACTTCCCTGTGAGGAGAGTTCACATGAGTTTGGCTTGACATCAGTAATAGCTTTCTTTTGTTGTCATTCATCTTTCTAATGCATTGCCATGGCAGCAATGCTGGTGTGCCATTTATCACTCTGTGTACTTTAAAATCATAGTTTTCAGTGGGCGTACAATTAGAAACTTCCTGTGCATTAGGCCATGGCTGGACTCCACAGGGAGTTGCCATTCCACTCTGAAAAGCAGCAGGTATTTAGGGACTGAAATGTTACAGGAGAAAGAATAGCACCATCCCCACCCCTTCCACCTTTTCTCTATACGCCTCAGTAGAAATAGTTTTTCGAAATATTGAATTACCCTGTCAGAATGTGAAAAATGGTAATGTCTGACGGAGCGGTCTTTTTCTCCCCAAAGATGAGGATTCAGAACTGAGAGACTGCTGATTTGTTTATGTTATATTTCAAACATCTGCTATTTTCTGGGACTGTTTTCTCTCTAGACACAACACACATATTGCCTGCATCATCAGTACATGATGGGCAATTTATCTTTCATTGCATAGTCAACATCACCAGAAGCTTCAGGGAACCGTAAATGGTT